TAGCCAAAGGCTGGCACAGCACACACAACGGTTTGTGCGATTAGTACAACGCTCAGCTTGCCCGTTTGCAAGGTTGGTAATGCCATTGTAAAAATGCGAAAGAAGCAATGTTTTAAGATCGAATTTCAATCATGCAGCATGGGCCCGAATTTTCATTCAGTTCACGGGGGGGGGGGGGGGGGCGGGGGGGAAAATCACCCTGACATTATTACATCAGCGATTTACGAGGCAAACACAAGGATTCCCAAATAGCCAAACAGTCTGTTGAGGGGGGTGGGGGGGGGGGTGCTCACAAGCCCTGGCGGTCGATACAGCGCACGAGGCTGGTGTGGACCATTTACCACGCCTGGATGTCCGTTACCACGTTGCTAATATCTGTACACACCGCAGCAGGTACTCATGAGGCCAAGTCATCCTAGCAGAGGCCAAGGACAGGTTCTGACAACTTACCTACCTGGTGAAATCTATGCTTGGTCATTTAAAAAAAACACATTGCCATTTGGTTTGTAGTGCAGCATGCCCAACACCGCTCCACACGCGCACACAATCTGGCAGTGGCGATAGGATATTTTAATTGCCGAGGATAAACTATAAAGGTCACAAAATCCCAGGTTGGCAAAACAGTCGCCTTTCAGAGAGCGGTTCCGTCTGGCTGAAGCAGGTCACGCCAAAGTGCAGCCTTTTACATTTTAACAATCGAACCGCGTGTGACGGGGCTTGGCCGTGCCTGGCTCGGTGTGTGTGGGGGGACACACACGAGGGGAGAGGTTATGCAACAGTGCCGGCAAAAAAAAACGGGGTCCCACCCAGAGCGCGTCCTAGATTTGCGAGTCTCCGAACCAATCGCGTGCAGAGCCATCAGCAGTCGCGCGCACGCAGCTCCTACTGGTGCAGCACGACTGCAGGCCAATGGAAAACAGCGCTGGGATAGTAGATTATGTAAGTTATGAATTAGAATACCGCTCTCATGGGGAAAAAAAAAGAAACATAATAAAATACATTTCGATTTAAAGCTTTCGTGACTGCAGGGATTCATCTTCTTGGTTCTTTCGGTAAAGTCACGGAGAAGGGAAGTAATAAAATAATAAAAATAAAACATAATAAAATAATTCTCACGACGTTTCGGCCACAACGCAAGCAGCCTTCCTCAGGTGAAAAACAGACCTATGGTTCCGTCTGGCTGAAGCAGGTCACGCCTGTTCTTCACCTGAGGACGGCTGCTTGCGTAGTGGCCGAAACGTCGTGAGAATAGTATTTTATTATGTTTTATTTGTATTATTTTATTATTTCCCTTCTACGTGACTTTACCGAAAGAACCAAGAAGATGAATCCCTGCAGTCACGAAAGCTTTAAATCGAAATTTAAATAAATAAAATTGGCGATTACAAAAACTGTTGCCGAGGAAAATGTTTTTCCTCACCTGTGTTCCCACGTGTCACTGGATGGGAGGAGATGGGCGGGGCTGGGTGATGTAATTGACGTCAGCTTTGTAATGCCGGGCGTGACTTGGACAGGGGTTTTCGGCCTTCAGGAGAGGCAGGATGTGGGTGCGCGGGTGCGGCCGCTGTTTTTAAATAAGGGCTCCGACCACGAACAAGGTAGCCAATTACGATGAAAATCGACGTCTACAATCGTGAGAACTCAAAAAGGAAATGTTAGGTGCAAGTGCCACCACCTCAGTGGGAGCATTTTTCAATAAGCGGAGATGATACAGTTCCATGAACACACTTCCTACGATCAAAACAGATCATTTCTCTGCGCATCACGATCTATTAAACAAAAAAACACTTGTTGTTCCAGTGAGCGATAGGCATTCTCAATGCCAGCGGCGCAGAAGTCTTTCGGATGGTTGTCGAGCCATGATGGAACCACCGCTTTCACAACCCCCCGTCAATGTCGAACAACTTTTAAAAGTGGAGCTTCTTTCAGAACTTCCAAATGGATGGAAGGCTGAAGGAGCTAGGTCTGCGCAAGACGCCGGATGCTCCAGAGCGTGACAAAAATCTATTGCCTTCACTTAAGCATGTGGTAAATAAGGCCACACACATTGCTTTATGATCTTACGTCAGCACTTTTGGCACCAGACAGGCACAGGCATTTCGGATGAGACTTGTCACAGGTTATTGAACTCAAGTTGCCACATTTATTCCCAATGGCCACAAATACATGCTCAATTCTAAAATGTAAAACAATTTTTGTATCTTACCAGGCAAGGCCCAGAGCTATATAGCTCTTTTCTAGAAGAGACTCGGACACAAATGATAGCTCAACGAAGTAGCTTATCACGTGGGAATTTAAAACGTAAGTTTCTAAACGTGGAGGGAAAAACCAGGAGGACACGGCGAAAAAGTCACACGACACCGGAAAGAGACATGCAAACTCTAAATATACAAGCATCATCACGGTCGGGATCGAACCCACTACGTCCTGTATAACTGGCGAGGTAGTTAACATCTCGCCACGACGGCACCCCAGTCAATTCCTACTTGACGGCGATTTAAAAATCAACCGCCCAGGATGAGAGATGGGGGGGGCCGACCCCTCCCGCCGTTGCCGTTCTTGCCCACTCGTAAAGTGCCACAGTTCAGTCCATACAGCAGTCGTCCGCACGAAGAGGCCTCTACACCTTGGACACTTCTCGTGCGGTTACACACGGGCTCCTGCCATCTTTGATAAGTGTGATACACTCTTAGTTCTAGCGGTAAAGTCACGTAGGTAAAAAATGAAATTAATAAAAATAAACAATATATTATTAATTTTTATTAATTTTTATTTCATTTTTTACCTACGTGACTTTACCGAAAGAACTAAGAGTATGAATCCTTGCAGTCACGAAAGCTTCAAATCTAGAATTAAGTGTGATGCATCTGCCATCTAGTGGCAAAATAAATATACGTGCAACAGTACCACAAGCTCAGGGGGGAAGGGGCTTTCATCCAGCACTTTACTGAGCATGGTTTAGAAACATGCATTTTAGAATATTTTGCTGCTATGAATGCCCACGATCATCTGTGGCCAGGTCGCTTCTGAAAGATTAGTGGGTCTTACCTGGTAAAGTAAAAATAGTGATGACGATTAGCAGATAGACGTTTTAAAGCTGACAGCGCCTCAATTGGGTGCCATAATTTAATGGAAAGTTAAAAAACTTGATCTATTAGGATGAAAGCCACATAGGCCACGAGTGATAGCTTCAGCAATGATTGATTATCCATATAGCAAGTGCCTAGTTGCAAACACGTTAACATGAAAATGTTACATATATATTGGATCATCTTCATGGCAGTTAGCATGACTGAATGTCAGACTGAGAGGATGGAGATAGCCAGAGTCAATGCATTATTTATACTTTCAACATTACTTGTAAATAAGTAAAAAGCGTAATAAATAAAAAAAGGTATGCCCCATATTGTTCACATTCATTAAGTGCACACGTATAATAACGCTCACGATGTGCACACTATAGCAACACTAGACCAGGCCAGTTATGCCTGGCAATATTCTTTATCACCGACAAACATAGCCAGTTTGCATTGGAAAAAGCGGACAAATGGTAATGCATTATCATAGGTGATGAGCACATAATTTCACAACACAAAAATGTTTGTGTGTAAATTACACAATCACATTTATGAAAATGCCACCTTATAGCATTTAAAAAAGACTGTTGGGGCAAGTACTGTTCTCGTGAGCACCTATTAAGGACCGTACAACACACGAGGGGGTGGGTGGCCAGCACCATGCCGGGCCACCTTTGCCGTCTCACTCGTGCTGATGTTTACACACCACACTAGGTACTCATTTGAGGCCGAGTCAACCTAGGGAAGCCCTTCGACCCGGTTCGGATATTCGTTACCGATGCTGGCTGCAATCGAACTCTGGTCGCCGGGTTCGTAGTGCAGTGCGCTTGCCGCTGCGCCACCGCTCCCCACGCATAAATTCAAGACGTGGTCCTAACGCAAGCACGTGTGCTTGACAAGGCCGCCCTCTGTGGATCGTTTTTATATTTGCCAAGCGTTCGAGCGATGCCAAGGGTGTACCCTCAAAAGATGCCGGAGGTCGGCATCACAATCAACGCTTTGATTTTCAAACCCCCCCCCCCCACACCGCTTCTTGGTTCTCACCATTCACAAGCTAGGGTTTAACAAATCAACCAATCACCATACGAGATGGAGAAGAACGGCAGAAGTGGAAAGGCAGAGAGCACAGGCTGGGTGGGTGGGGGGGGGATCAGGGAGGGGACTTGGTCACACGTCAGTTGTTTCGGCTGAGCTACATTTTTCATGAACGTTGTGCAAAAGGTGACAGACTCACTCCACTAACCCCTTGCTGGCCTCCACTCGTTGTCTACTACACTCACATTCTAGCAGCAGCAACCACTGGGCACTAAGTGACGGTGACGTCACCATGGCATGTGCCAGGCTATGTGCACGTTAAGGCCGTTTTGCAGGATGTCACGGGACAGACCCACTTCCCATGGGTTGACCACCTGAAATGACTGGCAGATGCATCACCTGTGCCCCCGACGACCTGCTGTGTGTTTTAGCCGCCCGGCGCTCTGCTCGTTGTGGTGCACAGACCTGCCCATCCACCCACCAGAGAACATCAATCCAATCTTAAAATCATCTATTCACTCATCTACCCACCCGCATCTTCATAGAACTAAATAACTATTTGGTAAGCGTACCAAGTTTCGTGAAAATGGACAATTGTTTGATCATAAACTTGGCAACTGCGGAAAACTCACCACCTCGCCAACATTCTGAAACAATCAACCCATGCACACTCCGAAACCACCCACCTGGAATTACGACCACTATGCCAATACCTCACCCACCCATCACACCCAGCCGAATGAACACCACACAAACTACTCAGGGTGATGGGTGCGTGGGTGACTCTCTCGTACCAACCCAACATACTCGTACACCACCACCACTCTCACCTCACTCTCCAAAAACACACCACCGCTCTCCTTTAACCGACACACCTAACCCGCCCACCTTGTCCTTGAAGTCCAGGTCCTGTTGGGTCATCTCCCGCAGCGTGTGGAGCACCTTGATGCACAGCTTCTCCTCGTTCTCCTCCATCAGCTGCTTTGTGTGCTTGATGAGCCTTGGAACAGGAGAAGGAAACAAGATGTGCCCGCCCCCCTCCGTTGCCTTCATGTAGTAGTAAAATCGTTGACACCGTTGAGATCCGAGGTTAAAATACCAGCCACATTATTTGGTTAAGCTAAGCTCTTAATGGCTAAATTCCAGCTCTGAGAAATAAAAAAATATTAGTTTAACAGTCATGTCATGACCACGACCCTACTTTCAAGAGAGTGAAATTAACAGTTGGCTTCAATGATTAAAATCCAGGATCTATTAAACTAAACTATTAAACAAGATTTTATTTTACCAGGCAAGGCACACCGAGCGATACAGCTTTTTCAGAAGTGACCTGGCCACAAATGATAGCTCAACAAAGTGGCTTATCACGTGGATATTTAATTGCAGCCGAATATTCTAAAACGCATGCGTCTAAAATGTGGAGGGAGAAAAAGCGAAGGACCCAGAGATAAATCTACACGACCAAGGAGAGAGGGGGACACGCAAACTCCCTCCAAACAAGTGCCAGGATCGGGATCAAATCCACGACCTCCTGTATACCAGGCAAGGTAGTCAACGTCGCCCCATTTGGGGTGGGGTGTGCGGGTCGTGCCGACTCCTATGCCACCAACCCACCGTGGCCAGCACCATATTTCGAGCTACAACATCTCCACATGCAGCCCGACTCACACCGTGTTGCTGGTCTAGGTTCCACACTCGCGTTAAGGTCTCAACAGAATTCCGATACTTTTGGTTTTCACGTTCGCGCAACATTCCTCACTTCTAATATTTTGGTACTGGCAAAGGAGGTCCCATGATGTAGCTGCTCACCCCGAGCTCTCATTACTCTGGTGGCGCGTTGTCTTTGAACCATGCGCCTTTTGACGTCGTCTGGTCGAACACCATATGAGACGAGGCTCTAAAGAAAGCTGTCTCTGGTGTGGACCAATCAGTTTCAAAGACAATGCACAAATTATCAGAGTATTGTTTTTTGTTTGCATTTGACTGCAAGTATTGTGGTTAATGTAAGCATGATTCCTTGCAAAAGGTGTCAGTTTTGTTGCCAGAAAAAAAAGGGGAAAACCCTATTAGTATATTTTGGTACTGGCAAAGGAGGTCCCATGATGAGATTCCTCACTTCGATAAGTAAGAGCCTGCAACCAAGTCAGCCCCAGCAGGGATGTGATGCGAACCGCGGGGGGGGGGGGGGGGGGCGCATGACCCGAAAACACGCCGGGAGAGCTGGGCAGGAGAAACGTTCGCCAGTTGCGGCCGGAGCTTTACTTGCAGATGAAGCCGCCGCTCTGACACTTGTCGCGTCCCTCCGAGCCCTCGGGGAACAGCTGCTCGGGGAAGTGCAGCACGTCCACCAGCACTGAGAGCTCAGCCAGCACCAGCGGCCTCAGCTGAACTTCCAGGCCCGACACGATGTCCTGCGAGCAGAGATGCATGCGGCAGGGCTCAAGCCGTGCCCGCAGTAAATCCCACCTCCGACCTCCTCCTCCAATATCCAGGACCTCTTCCTCGACTACCATTCTCAACCACCCTCCCCCAATTCTAGATTTGAAGCTTTCGTGACTGCAAGGATTCATATTCTTAGGTTTTTTCGGTAAAGTCACGAAGGTAAAAAATTTAAATTAATAAAAGTAAAATAAAATAAAATCACGACGTTTCGGAGGCACCACAAGGAAGCTTGTGTCCCATTTACATGCACCTTTACATCAGCAGTACCTTAACAACTCTTGGAACCTCCCAGTTCAACCAGTCTACACAACAAAGGCTCATTCCTAGCAGCGTGCTTCAGCCGCACAGAACCTCACAATAATAACCACCCTCCCCCAGTTAAGATTTTAACAAGGTTGTTGTCTTTTTTCACTCATTGGGCCCGGATCCACCAACACCCTCCCCCCTCCCCCACGGGCAACACGCCAGCCCTCGCACCTGCAGGCGCTCGATGATGTTGCGGTAGTCCCAGGAGGCAGAGCTGATGGATTCCCGTGCCCCCCTTGCGCACGCCCGTGCGTTCATCTTCCAGTTCAACGCCGTCTTCTGCACCAGGTGCGTCGGCTTGAGGAACAGCGAGTTCACCTGGCTGTCCAGGTCCACGGGGATCGCTATGGTGCGGCTTTTCGCTGTGAGAAAATAACATTTTATTAAAATAATTTGCAAAAATGTAAGTTTTGGGACTGGGGGAAGACATTATGTAAAAAAATGCATAATTTTCATTGGTCAAAAAAAAGTGAGCAACCTTAGGCAGGGGACATGTTGCGAGAAGAGACGATAGCAAAGAGGAGTAATTCTTCTTGGTTCTTTCGGTAAAGTCACGTAGAAGGGAAGTAATAAAATAATAAAAATAAAACATAATTAAATAATTCTCACGACGTTTCGGCCACAACGCAAGCAGCCGTTGTGGCCGAAACGTCGTGAGAATTATTGTATTAGGTTTTATTTTTATTATTTTATTACTTCCCTTCTACGTGACTTTACCCAAAGAACCAAGAAGATGAATCCCTGCAGTCACGAAAGGAGTAAATCTGCCAAGATAAGACATCCATGCCAGATATGGAGCAATGTAGATTGGCTCATCTGGAGGCACCTGAGTGGTTCGTCACAATTCAAATCACGCATTGATTACGGATAATGAGAATTTTGTAAATTTTCCCCCCCCCAATTTTACCAACCACGGGAGTGTAGAAATCCAAACGACATTGCGACGGTTTGATCGCACGAGACGGATGGAGGGGGGGAAAAATTGATCGGCCGGGTGAAATGACAGACAAGAGATAAAGAGCACAGCCACGGATAAGATGGAGGGAAGTTGTGGCAAGAAAGGCCGATAAGAGCGGAGAAATCTTCATGGAATTTGAATAACCTGGCAAAACAAGAAGAATATTGTATGTAGAACTTATTATTAAGCACCGTACGTAGCCAACCATGCTACTAAATCGGGGGTGCGGGGGGGAAAGACAAACTAAACACAAGAAGTGGTTCTTAAAAATAAATTGTCAACATAGAAAATTAGTTGTTTTCAAATCAAACAGGGTGTGACGGATGCAGGAAACCGTGGCGCATGCAGTCACGTCCGAATAAAGCTGAGAAATGAATTGTGGTCTCGGCGGAGTACCGACCGACTTCTGCCAAGCAGCGTATGCAGCCCTCCACACTGGCCTTCTGCATCAGGGTCGGCCACTGGCTGTGGTAGACGCGGAACGCGCCCTGCAGGAGCTGCACAAACACCGGCTGCCGCGCCTGCGGGACGCGTAACGAAGACAAAGAGAGCATCACGACTCCCCGCCCCGTTTGGCTGTGGAGCACATGCTGGGCCAAGAGATGCAAGCGAATACGGATTAACGACACGAGCTAAAACCGACGGCTCTCACCCCCCGTGCGTGCACACCTGATGAGACGTGGAGCAAGGAGGAACGTTCGTCACGTAGCAAAAGTAACATTTACATTCTCACAGCTAGAAATTTGCCAAATTAAGTGGAAAGATTACCTTGACTTTTTGCGTGCAATAATTTGCAACTGGGCTGAGAACATCAACCCAAGGACACTAGAAAACCGTTTAATCTCAGATCGATGAATCACATATTTAGACTCAAGATCTCAGTGGTACTGGCTCAGGGTCCTTACCCCAGAGCCACCAGGCCATCTTTTGCAAGGTAGTCACACGCGTCCCACTGTGCAAGCAGCGGCATAGCTATTGCATGTCCAGGCGGTGAAACTGCACTGGGGTCAAGGTGGCAAGCCACAGACAGGCAGCGGTAAAGGGTGGGGGGTGGTAAGCGCCGGTGGTTGAGCTGGGGGGGGGGCCCTGGCACTGCCAGCTTTGAGGCATGGGCAACGGAGCAGTTTGCCCAGGGCGGCGACTGTTGGGGACTCTGGAGGGGTGGCAAAGTCAGGTCCCCTCTCTACACCCCCATTATGTTAGTCATCCTTCCCCTCATCCTTCCCTCCCCCCCCATACAAGCTTTCATGTCCCCACTTGGGCGGGGTAGAGCGCCTGAAATGTTCCCCCTCGTCAAGCGCTGGCACACCGATCTCGTGTTTTTCGCTCACGGAGTTTCTGTTCCTCCCTCGTACTGTGACCGGTGCTTTGTACTGGGCTCGTGTTGAGTCGCAGTCAAAAGAAAAGTTCCGTAGTCAGGTGGCTGCGATTGGCGGGTGTGCGCGCGCGTGCCCTGCCCCCTCCCCACCCGGACCTGCATTGTACCAGAAGTGCAAATTCAAAATTCAAAGTCATCGACACAGTGGAAATTGCGAGGCGAGAGCAGACGGAGATAGTGCACGGCGGGGAAACCTGAGCCCATTGTACTTCTTGTACCAGAGAGCCCATGCCAACCCCGCTGCGGTGCGATAGCGTGGCGAGCCGTCAGACCTGCAGACTGGTGCTCTGGTCGGAGAAGGGGGAGCTGAAGAACGAGGAGACGATGCTCATCACCGTCTCCGAGACGTACGTCTCCAGCGCGATGTCGCCATGCGTCCGCTGCTTCTTGGGGCTGCACACCTATGACGGACATTCAAAAGCGAAAGATGAAGATGCCCTACAAGATTGTAGATTTGAAGCTTTCGTGACTGCAAGGATTCATACTCTTAGGTTTTTCGGTAAAGTCACGTAGGTAAAAATAATAAGAAAAAATATTATTGAAATAATAATAGAAATAAAATAATAAATCACGACGTTTCGGAGGCAACACAAGTCTCCGTCATCAGGTGGGACGGTCACAGCCAAATTTACTGTCTCAAGTGAGGCAAAATTCCAAGAGTCAAGCTCTTAAATACAAGTTTAAGGGGGGGAGGGAAGGGGGTTATTTCTATTATTATTTCAATAATATTTTTATTATTAATTTTTTACCGACGTGACTTTACCGAAAAACCTAAGAGTATGCCCTACATAGGCATGCCAGACTGCTTGGAGGGGGAATTGCTGTCAAGAGAGTACCTATTAAGCCTGGAACGGACCTCCACACGAGCCTGCAGGTCCCCGCATTGAGTGGATACAATGAGAGTCGCAATTTGTTTTCTGCAAACACATTTTCTTCGGGCGCTCGAATCCCCCTATCAAAAATAGATGCACCCTTAATGCATTGGTCTGCCAGCTTGCATGCTAATGTTGCTAGTTGTAGTCCACGGGCTCGGATCAGATATGTCACCTGTCGGTAGGCCTAACTTTAGCAGTTCCTTTAGGTGGCCAATAACTCCGAATTACGTGAAAACCATTCGAAAACGAATGGGTTATGAAGTAATTCTGAAATTAGCCATATAAATATGCCGGCACTACATTCAAACCACCTCCACACCCCCCACCAGAAATCACAAATAAAATCTGTTAAGAAAAAAAATAGCTTTCATTAGCTAACATTGGATTCCTCCAGTAAGAATAAATATTCCGATTCTCACGAGCGCCGAGCCGACGGAGCGTTCCCACCCCGGCGCGTGTCACCGCGACGTTCTTACCGTGGCGATGTCGGCGAGGAAGCTTTCAAAGAGGTTCCACATGTGGTTGCTGTTGTAGATCTCCTTCATCTCCACCTCCGTGTCCACGTAGCAGTGGTTTAAGAAGTTGACGTACGCGATTTTGATCTGCCACGCACACCGCCGCGCATTATTTTGTAATTTACAACAGCCGCCGCTCGCCACCAAGTGGCGGTGGGCGTCACCACGGCGCTTGTGCCAGGATACGTGCGCTTGAAACTGTGGCAGGATGGCCAGGGGGTGGGGAGGTGGGCAGGGCAGGGCAGATCAAGTTCAAGTTCATGTATTAGGTATAGCCCTATGAGCCATTCGGCTCTTGAAATCGGGTGCAACCGTAACAAACAAAAACCAAAAACATGAACAAGAAAACATCTAAAAGTGAATATGTGCAAACAGAAAATCCAAGAAAAGACAGCAAAATATTGCAGAAAAAATACCGTACACCAATGCGGTGTGCAAAAATCCCAGTGGGATGCAAGTCAAACAACAACAACAACCACAAGACAACTTAGATTAAGGCCATCAGCCTTACCCCGTACTACAACAAACAAACATGGCTAAACCAATAAACTTATCGAAATCACCAAAATAAAGCCATGAAAGCAATCAAACAGTGATCATAGGAACCTGTGACGGAATTTTCACAACAAACGACAAACAAACAAACATGTACCACCAAAAACCCTGCAGCACCTCAGGGATGCAGTCCTCGTGCACGACCACACGGACGACGTCCTCCAGCGGGAGCAGAGAGTTGCACTTGATCTCCGTGTAGACGTTCTTGCCCTCGGTGCAGGAGGCGAGCAGCTCGACGAGCGTGATGTGGTACGCCAGCGCACCGGCGCGGTCCTCGCGCTCGCGCTCCGAGCACATGAGCCCCAGCAGCGTCTGGAAGGACGTGCGGTCGTTGTAGAAGACCAGCACCTCCTCGCCGGCGCTCGCCAACTGCGGGGTTCCACAGCGCGCGACGCAACAAGCGGCGTTTGAGAGATTGAAACGAGTATAACCCGTAAAAACTAAGTTTTTCCACTATAAATCCTTTATACGCGTGGTGGCTCGAGTCCTCTCGTCCTCTGGCTTGAGATGGCTGCCACCTATGGGTCAGATGATTGCATTGCACCATTAAGCAATAGGTAATTAAATATAATATTTTTGTCCTAAAAAGTGTAAAATTTGGAAAAAAATTCACGAACATTAATTGTCACGCACAACGAGTCTGTGTGGAAAATGTCAGCTCGATTGGATCACGGGAAGTGGGTTAAAAACGACCGAAAGATTTGCACGGTCCTAAGCAAGCGAACTTAATATAAAGGATTTAAAAACTATTTCTTTAGAACAGCTTTTTGCGTTTAGTTTGTTGTCCTTTCACCCCCCCCCCCCGCACTTACGATTAGCACGTTGCGAAAAAGTTCAGCGTACATACAGCATGGAAGAGCAGACCAAGTTCTCTCTCGAGCTCCCTCTAGCAGGTGGAGGTGCTTCCACCAGCAGCGACGTGCGCAAGCAATTGCAGGGATGTGCCACTCCCTTCAACATCACGCTTACAATGCTGCAGATTACGACGACACTGAAACGCAATCTGGGACAGAGCCAGGCGGCGGGAGTGGTGCTCGTCCTTGACCAAGCACTTTTGAAATTACGTCAATTTCTGAAATTCCCAAAACACACTGAGATGCAGGGCACGGGTGGGCTAGGAGAGATGGGCTGGTGGCACCTCCCCCCCTCCCCTCACCTCAGCCATCACCAGGTCTTGGCACTTCTTGTTGAACTTGCCCTCGGAGCGCACAACGGTCTGCAGGAAGCGCAGGTACTGCACGTGGCGGCCGTGCGTCTCGATGCTGCGCACAAAGTGCTGCACCACGCGGTCCGTCACCTCTCCGCACAGCTGCGTGTTGTTCAGGAAGATGGCCTGCATCGTGCACGCCTCCAAAAGCTGCAGTGAGGTCCAGAGGCACAAAAGGGAAGAGGAACGATGTTTTTTTTTTTACACAAAAAAGGAGCCCGGTACAGAGCACAAATCAAGATGCGTGGGGAGGAGGGGGGGTGGGTACAGAAATTCTATGGATCTCATTCCTGAACACTCTGCAGCTGGGTTTAAAGCAGGGGGGGGGGCGGCTTGCACCGTAATCAGGGAGGTGTGGGGGAAGGACAAAACTAAATACAAAAATAACTTTTGACAAATTCTTTTCAATCTCGAGGATGATAATGGTGACAAAGAAGATCGCCAAAGGGTGCAGAATGGATGCTTCATTTTGTGAAGACAGAGCGTGCGCGCAAGTGTTCAAAATGTAATTGAATTGCTTGGCCGAATCTCTTTTCAAGTAATTATTCAAATTCAATAACCTCCTGGAAGAGTGCCTTAAAACGGAGTAAAAGTTTCTAGGATACATTTTTAAAGGGTCCCCCTTTGTCAATCCCACTGCTGAATGAAGGCCTCCCCCCACATCGTGTCAGTCACGGGAATTGTTTGACCAGGCTGGCCTGTGCTTGATGGTTACAGTGGAGTGGTCCAGGACTGGTTCAGATAATCAGTCACCATTGCTGTTATCCATGGAATGGAATTGAACTCAGGTCACCCAGGTTAATAGCATACTAATGACAACCACTGCATAAAAAAAACCTCATCTTCCCAACTGCTTGAATAGTATGATAATTTGGGTCATGTGGATCTGACCTGGACCAAATATTCCAAACGGAAACCAGTTTGCCAAAAGGTGGTCCAGACCGTTCCCATGATCACCACAAATCTGGGAAAAAAAATGTCTTACATTTCACCAACATCTGAACTTTCACCCGACGTCCTAGTCTTTCTTTAACCACAAAGAACGCATGCTATTCGTTATACATTTGAAGTGCAATTGGTTACGACCGTTTGTACAAAGGAGAAACGTGATTATTTACACATTTACGACATGGCAGGTCTGCATTGCTGGATGTAACAGCGGGGATGAGGCCAATTTAATCAACAACCCAGTTTGGAGTTGTACTCACACAGAGTGGGGGGGAGGGGCAGTCAGTCATTTACAAACCACGGGGAACACCGTGGCACATTTGCGTTCCGGTGTGGACGAGGGGAAGCCGGGTGACGCTTACCCAAGGGAGTCCCCTGTTCCATTAACCTGCTTAGCACTTGATTACAAGGGAGGTCTTGGGTTTTGAATTAGTTTTGGGCGAACATTAATTATGGTCTTAAAAACGTGGAACAGATGATTAATTTGACAATGATGAGCTGAAAGAACAGTCCGGCTGGATGGGACATTTCGGCTTCAATCACTTACCCAATTTGAACCCGATTTTTCATTTTATGGTTTAGAGTTATGTAATTGCTCATTGCAGCTCGTCTCTATGACACCGTCTCCCCCGCATTGCGCGATAGAAAGTCGTTTCTGCACAGCGTCTGAAAGGTACTTTTAGTATTAATTGTCATTCATTTCTTGGTGACATTAATTGTTATTGCCACACCGCTTGACTGGCCAAAACGTACTTCCAAAGCGCATGCAGTAGAAAACTTGAGCAATGACGTGAACAATCTTGAAATGTTCATGATGTCGTCGTCCCCCTCCATTCCCCCCCCCACCCACCCCCCCACTGGCTGGAAGTTCCCAACTGGCCTATGACACGGCCCAGCCGCAGCACGTTTGCTAGGTTCGTGGTTCGAATCCAGTGGCCGCCCTGGTTACTACTGCAGGTATAATGGATGTATGTAGAACTTATTTTCACACCGTGCATAGCCAACCATGCTAAGCGGAGGTGTGGGGGAAAAGACAATAAAACGATAATGGTGCTACTACTAGCCATCTGCTTCAGTGGAAATTAAAAATATCCCCTTGACATCATTCACAAGAGCAGGCTCGTTTGTGTGCCGGCATCACGATCCACTATTGTCGAATTCGAAAATAACCCGCAAATCACTCAATTGGGATTTTACAATTAGCAAACATTGCCTCCCCACCCCCCCCCCTATTGGCAGACGAATGCCCTAGGAGGTGACATTCTGCCAACGAGACTAGCCTGGTCTCTTGAGGTCTTACCTGGTTTAAAATAAAACGAAATAAACTTGGACGCAATGCGCCAAACTCACCCCGGGGCTCAGGAAGAGATGCAGGTGTTTGTAGAGCAGTGCCTGGTTCTGTTGGTTTCCACTGCAGAAGTTTTGCAGGAACTCGTGGGCCAGCCTCATGATGTCATTCATTCGGAAGTCTTCTGCCTGTGTTTTTTTGCGTGCGTGTATGTAGAGATGGTAGGGAATGAAAATACAAGTTTACTTGGTTGTGGTAAAAGTGGTAAATGGTACTGCCCTGACATCACGAGCTCACTCCACTGCTGGCATGAGGGCCCTCTGTTCTTGGGAGGGTTCTGAAACCCACCCCCCCCCCCCATCGAGGCTATTTTGGGCCTCTTCCTCCACACTGACCAGATGTCTTGGAAGACGTGGGAATGGTTCTTAACCGCACCTTACGCGACTACTTTAACGGTTTCTTTCAATAGAAAATCTGTAACTCTGCCTGGAGGTTTCAGTGTCAAGTCCCACATTTATGTGGATTGTCTGTTGCCAGATAAATTCTCTGCGCAAGACCCATCAGGCAGAGGAAGCTGTGATGAAGTAACCTCGTCTGGCTTTTAACAAAATCAATTAATTAAAATTAAACGGATTCATAAGCTCAAGAAGCATTAGTCGAATATTGAGTAAAGAAACCAAATATTTTAAATCTCGCGTTACATGTGGACGGGTTCACATGAACAACCTCCAACCACTGGAAATCACAATGTTAATAGTCACAGATAAAATTATCACCTCCCTCTGACTGCACCCCCCCACCCTAAATCGACAATTGATCGAATTGCACGATGGACATGAGGGGCAGGCCCGATCGTCAAGAGGCCTTGCAAAAAAAGCAACCCGACGACAGACAACTCATCTTCTTGGTTCTTTCGGTAAAGTCACGTAAAAGGGAAATAATAAAATAATAAAAATAAAACATAATAAAATAATTCTCACGACGTTTTGGCCACAACACAAGCAGCCGTCCCTCAGGTGAAGAATAAAACACCACCAAGCTTGGAGCGTATATTTAAGCTGGGTTGGAGGGGGGAAGAAGAGCGCCTTGACAAAAGAATTTGCATATCAAGGAGGAATTTAGCATATTTATGGGAAATGCGTAGGAGGTGGGCGGGGGGTTTCAAAGTCATATTATGCCCGTGCATTATGCAGGATTAGCAGCATCAAAGGGAGGGCATGGGGGTAGCGTCATCTGGTCCAAGCCATGTGAGACTAGGCTCTAAGGAAAGCTGTCTCGGGTGTGGACCAATCAACTTCAAGGACAGTGCATACATTATCAGAGTTATGGTTTTTTGTTTGCATTATGACTGCACGTATTGCGGTCTATGCAAACATGACTCCTTGTTAAAAAGGTGTCAGTTTTGTTACCAGATAGCAGTGTAAAAAAAAACAATTATCAAAGGGAAGGAATGTTAATAGTATGTAGCCGACAAGAGACAAACGCAAACTGGAGAGCATCGCCAACCTTGGAGTAGGGTATCTCCAGCAGCTCCAGCACGACACTGTGCGCCCCCATGTTGCGGAGGAGCCGCTGCTGCTGCTTGCGGTTGCGCCGCCCACTCGAGCCGTCCTGTACGCACAGCTTGCTCAGCCGCTGCAGCACCTGCGGGGCGTGTGGGCGGGCAAGGGCGCGCGCAAGACTCGTGTACACGCACACCGCTGGGGACATAATATGACTTTGAAACCCCCCCCCCCCCCAGCCAACCTCCTACGCATTTTCCATAAATATGCTAAATTCCTCTTGATATGCAAATTCTTTTGTCAAGGCGCTCTTCTTCCCCCCCCTCCAAACCAGCTTAAATAGACGCTCCAAGCTTGGTGGTGTTTCATTCTTCACCTGAGGACGGCTGCTTGCGTTGTGGCCGAAACGTACGTGAGAATTAGTTTATTATGTTTTATTTTTATTATTTTATTACTTCCCTTCTACGTGACTTTACCGAAAGAACCAAGAAGATGAATCCCTGCAGTCACGAAAGCTTTAAATCGAAAAAATTCACACCACTGGGGTCGAGCGACGTTCGTCTTCGGTTCGTCTCTCTGCTATGAAAGGGTGGGGGGGCCCTCATTGCCCGCTACAGATTTTTTTGGTTTTTTTAAACAGGTAGGGTTATTGACGAATGGGTGGAGTTGTCCGTGCCGACGCAGCGTCAACATTTATCTTTGGCTACGTTAAGTAAAGGTTTTTTTTCGGTGTTTGATGTAGTAAAAAAAAACGTTATTATGGATAATATTGGTCGCCAAGTGTAGGTTACGTTCTATGTGGTCCATTCTTAGGTGTCCTATTGGATTTTTTTCCACTTGCCCATGCGTGGGGCTTCTATGGCAAACCCCTTCCACAGTGCCAAGATCTGCTGTGCCACCGCAAGACGCGATACACATAAACAACCCTTTTGTCAATCTACTGCGAGATGAGCCCCCCCCCCCCAACCACAAAGCTCATTGGGCAGGGAGCAGAAACATTAAATATTCCGGTGGCCTTTCAATGACAAAGTCTTACCTCTTGGATCGTGGTGTAGTTTTTGATGTTAGCCGACTTCGTATGTGAAGATTTGTCTGCAGCCTACAAAATATAAAGAGATATTTTTTTTATTTTGATTGCATTTGTTCGTAAACATTTCAGCGAGTCTTCATCAATTGCATCAGAGCTTAAGAAACTCACTTCATCATCGCTTAATTATTTTTTATTTAATGGCAATATGTTATTGAACAGAATACAATTACTCTTACAATACTCAAGGCATTCAAAAAAACAGATTCAAGCACGTTAAATTAGCAGCATGCAATTATGCATTTAACAATCACTGTTGGGTTGCCAGATGTTACAGGCAACAACATTATGGAGCACATCACATAAATAACTTTAAATAAAAAATAGATTCCATTGGAACCTCATTTTCCAGTAAAAAAATATGATAATTGGTTTTTTACCCTTGTATCTTTTTTTTCATTATGGCTGCAGGTATTGTGGTCTATGCAAACATGACTCCATGTAAAATAGGTGTCAGTTTTGTTGCCAGATAGAAGGGTAAAAAAACCAATTATCAAAAAATAGATTCCCACTCCATATTTATGAAAGCGAATAAATGAAGTCACGAGTCTTTATAATTTGCCCGCTGACCATGTCCAGTGTTCAATTACCAAGGTCAATGGAGGTCAGCCGGACACTTACGGAAGGTCACCGACTTCCTCAAATATTTGAAGCTCCACGTCCCGTGCAGGGTCCATTGATGCTACGTGCGCTGGAGAGTTAGCCCTCCACAAATACTCGTTTTAGCCGGTTCTGGGTTGGAGGATTCTGAAATGAGATTGGCAACTCTGCACTCACTCACCTGCGAGATGTCCCCATCGGTGCCCGGTCCAGACGGGCCCCCCAGGTCCACGCCACCCCCGCCGCCCTCCTCCTCCTCCTGCCACCCCTTGTGGACCCACAACTCAGACTTCTCCACCAGAAGGCGCAGCTGGTCCAGGTCGGTCTTGATCTGCTTGTAGTTCTCCACGTCCTGGCTCGTCACCAGCAGTTGGACCTGCCCAAGCACGAGAAGAGAGAGCGAGAAGGGGACGATACAAATTCAAATCCAAAACATGTTTTGGTATTAAAAAAAAAAAATCTTCCGGCACGATTCAATCCCATTCCCCAAACATTTTCCTATAGAGCCACACAAAAGGTGTGCTCACAAACAGCAGGAAGGCACAACTCCCATTATGCCGTGCATGAACGTCACACACAGCATGATGGGCGCTGTGCCTTGCACGCATGTCATGTGACCAGCACATTTAATGTACAATGCTCCGTCTTGGTTTGAGCCTCTTGGAAAAATAAAGGCGCATTACAAGAAGTTTTTATTTCTTCCTCTGCAACCCCTAAAGTGTCCAAACATTACAAGGGCTTCATTCAATCTGAAGCAGGTGGGTGGGGGGGGGGGGGTGAAATCACCTGCTTGAAGGCCTGCAGCACCTCCTGCCGCTGGCTGAAGTGCTTGAAGAGGAGGTGAAGGGCCCCCGAGACGAGGGGGGGGTAGTTGTGTAGTGTGAGGTGCAGCAGCACCCGCAGGAACATGCGGCCACCCTCCTCGTCCAGGTCCAGAGCCGCGTTCTCCTCCCTGCCAACCCCCACGACACCACAGAGGTGACGACACGAACCGCACACACGTGCATTTACAATTGCAGAAAATTGTTGGATGAATGTGATAGAATCTCTACGTGGAGGTGGCTCGGTACCGAGCCGGCGCCACCGATGCAGAGTTCGAATCCAGTATTCAGCTGCTTGGGATTTTAACCGGCTTCTCACGTGTGTCAAGGGCACTGGTCTTTGCCGCATCACAAACGACTATGTACAAAAATCTAATAAAATTCGTCCCACCCCCCCCCCCCCCCCCCACCATGTGTATGGCTGAAAAGGTCAGACGAATCTTGGCAGTGGTTCTGCAATCTTCGTCCACAGGAAAGATCACAGAACCAACCTTTATGCCATGGCATTACCCCCTCCATTAAACTATTTCTTATTTTATTATTTTCGTTAAGTGCACTACTCTGGTATAAAATAGTCTTGGGCCTTTTCAAATGTGACGGGCAACCTCGACTAGCTTGTGGGTCACACGTGCAGCCCTCCCCTTCAGCTCAGTAGGCCGCAAGCTTGGCATCATGCTTGTGCACTCGTCAGGATAGCAGGCTTCACCCATAGACACACTTAGACCAGGCCACAACGAGGGGCTCCAAAGGGGCGCAGGGTTACCCACCACCGATTTACACCGATGCGCTCATTTGCTGAAGGAGCAGTATATTCGAGTATACTTACACCCCATTAAACATGGCTTCCGCTTGGTCACTGATGCTTTCGAAATCCAAAACAGCTGTGGAGGGGGGGGGGGAAATTGCATTTAAAAATCAACAATAATCATCAACATGTCTCTCAAGCATGAAAGTTACTACCCAGAGAGAAAATAATGTAAACACTTGAGCAGCAGCAGCTGGTAATTGTTAATTTAATGTATTCCCATATTTTACATCCCACGTAAAAATCCCTTTGTGCTTCTAGGAACGTAAAATAAAATTAACTTCTGAAATGTTTAATTAAGCAAACACTTGTTGTAGACGCTATTCACCTAATTAAACATTTTTTAGAACGATTATTTTAAAACAATTGCATTCCTGCACTAGCTTTACAATTCCACGTGCCAATTACCACTTCAGCTCACCGATAAGCTGCAGAACAATTAAAGATAGATGCTTGGTGCGGTTTCAAATCCAATTGCTAAAACGTGGTTTAGTAATAGGTTTCTTACCCTTTCAACTGGTACAAAACTGACACCTTCATACAAGGGATCATGTTTGCAATAACCACAACACAAGCAGTCAAAATGCAAACAAAAAGAAACAACTCTGATAATGATATGCACTGTCCTTGAAGTTTATTGGTCCACACCCGAGACAGCTTTTCTTAGAGCCTAGTCTCCATTGGTGTTGGACCAGATGACGCTAAAAGGCATACAACTCAAAAACAAATCAACTTCAAGAACAGTGCATATCATTATCATTATCAGAGTTGTTTCTTTTTGTTTGCATTTTGACTGCTTGTGTTGTGGTTATTGCAAACATGATCCCTTGTATAAAGATGTCAGTTTTGTACCAGTTGAAAGGGTAAAAAACCTATTACTATATTTTGCCACTGGTAAAGGAGGTCTCATAGTGTAAAACGTGGTTGTTAAAGAGTTCTCCAACTTGCAGGTCAGCTGAGACAATAATTTGCACGTAAAAAAAACGCTCGTACACGTGGTAGTTTCATTTGCTTGGCCGTGTCAGGTGGAGACGGGTTTTACAACACAAATGTGGCGAGATCATTACATGGTCAAACCAAACGGCTAATTCATGAATCATAGCTTGATGACGTTTTGGCTGTATCAGTAAGTAGAGGTTTAACCATTAGTCGACCCCACATGGCATTAAGCAATTACAAATTCTAATATTTGACACTGGTTAATGCAGTGGCAAATCGTGAATGGAGTTTTGATTTAAAGCTTTCGTGACTGCAGGGATTCATATTCTTGGTTCTTTCGGTAAAGTCACGTAGAAGGGAAACAATAAAATATAGATAAAACAGTAAAAATTCTCACGACGTTTCGACTGCAACACAAGCAATCATCATCAGGTGTGAAATCCACAGCAAGAAAATTTGAAAAAAGTGGCTGTTTTTCCTAACATCAGCACCACGAAAAACCGCCACTTTTTTCAAATTTTCTTGCTGTGGATTTCACACCTGATGATGATTGCTTGTGTTGCAGTCGAAACGTCATGATAATTTTTATTGTTTGATATTTGTATTATTTCCCTTCTACGTGACTTTACCGAAAGAACCAAGAATAGTGAATGGAGTTGTGAGATGAACACATTACAAACAACATTTGCACACAAAAAAATGTACACACTTCGGTGAATATATCAATAAAAATTAACGACTTGATGCGTCGTTAAGCCTTTGCTCGACGGCACATCTCGCTGTGAATTGGATCAATCATCAAGCAACCGTGCCTTAAATTGGCACCAAAGTCATGGGCCATTTCACCTGGGAATCACCAATTTTAAGACCAAAATTAAAGATGTATTTTCAGACAGCGTGTGAAATTAACTCCAATGAAGCAGACATACAAAAGTACCATCAAGCAAAGCTTAGTTTTAAAATGTAGCCCTCTAATTTGGTGTGTATATTGTATATACCAATGGTTCCCAACACCTTTCTGGACCTATAGGCCACAGCCAACACCCAACATTTACGGAAAGTCACCATTTCGGAAAAATATTATGTTCCGTGGAATCACAGTATCTGTGCCAGTTCTGTAGACCACTTCCCACAGCCTCGAAACCACCGTTTCAGATTCTATTGTTTATATAACGTTTTTGGTTATCAATCACTGCACTGCATAAAAGTGATTATCTCAAATTCCCCTTTTGTTCTGGCGTTGTGAGATGCACTGCATTTGTAGGAAGACCGAGTATTCTCATAAAATAAAACACGTGGCTTCACATGGAAGACTGCCGCCTCCCTCCACCCCTCTGTTCATAAACTCAAGGATTAATTATGCCAGATTTGAAGCTTTCGTGACTGCAAGGATTCATATTCTTAGGTTTTTTCAGTAAAGTCACATAGGTAAAACATTAAAATTAATAAAAGTTAAATAAAATAAAAATAAAAATCACGACGTTTCGGAGGCAACACAAGCTTCCGTCTTCAGGTGGAACCGTCACAGCCACGACAGCTGTATCAAGTAAATGAGAGATTACAAGAGCTACCACTCCGTATATTTTACTTTTATTAATTTTAATGTTTTACCTACGTGACTTTACCGAAAAAAACCTAAGAATATGCTTGGAACATTGCCTGCCACTGTTAGCCGTGGTGGGGAATCGAGCTTGATCATCTCGTGATTTACACCCACGGTGTGCTTTCCATTGTCACCACTCTCCTTGCTATATAGTGTAGCCTACTCCACGATTATACATTGCGGCGATGTGACCCAAACATCAATTAAATCTACTTCTAGATTTGAAGCTTTCGTGACTGCAAGGATTCATATTCTTAGGTTTTTTCGGTAAAGTCACGTAGGTGATACGTGACTTTACCGAAAAAACCTAAGAATATTAATTATGCCATTTTTTTATTCTTTCAGAGCTGCATCCATTGCTTTCTGGTATTAATGGAGGCGTCATGATGGGATTCCCATCAGGGGGGGGGGGGGGACAGATCTGGGGGTGGTGTTGACTTACGTGCAGCAGGGGCTCTCTGGCCACTGTCAGTGCTCACTACTCTTGTGCTGCTCTCGTCAAACTCTTGCTTGAAGATCGAGAGGAGGCACGAGATGCGATAGTCGAGACGCACGTTCAGGATGAACTGGATGGGGGGGGGGGGGCAGCGTGCACACGCGTACGCACATAAATTCAGATAATAGAACAATTCATCTTCTTGGTTCTTTCGGTAAAGTCACGTAGAAGGGAAATAATAAAATGAAAAATAAGCAAAATAATATGATAAAATATAATTTTATTATATTAAAACATAATAAAATAATACTTTATTATTATTATTTTATTTCCGTTCTACGTGACGTCACGTAGAAGGGAAATAATAATAAAAATGAAACTTAATAATAGAATAATTTTTTATTATATTATTTTATTATGTTTTTTATTATCATTTTATTATTTCCCTTCTACGTGACTTTACCGAAAAGAACCAAGAAGATGAATCCCTGCAGTCACGAAAGCTTTAAATCGAAATAGAACACTTATTTTGTTTCCTCAATAACGCTTTAATCCACACAACTTACCCACAGAAAACCAAGAGTAAACAGCACAGCGTAATTGATCGACTTTCACATTCGCATGACACAACAAAGCACATTGTTATCCTTAAGAGCGCCATCAAGAATTGAAATGATGATTCGTTACATGCCCAGTGCTCTGCACTAAACCCAACAGCAGCACTCGCTAATAATAACTCGTTTAAACCAGACTTTTCAGGAGGGTCCTATACAATGGAGATATTTGGACCAACACCAACTACATTGTATGTTATTAGCTATGGGAGGAAAGCAGCAGGGGAGGAAGGGGGGGGGGGAAAGAACGACCAGTACCTGCAGGATCTCGATGACCTTGCGTTTGGTGTCCATCACGATGAGGCTCTCCGAGTGAAGCTCTCCAGCAGCGCCCACCGCCTTGCTTTCCACGTCCGGTGTGTCCGATCCGCCGGAGAACACCTCCCCGCCCATCACCACCTGGGACATCATCTCCCCCACCTCGTGGATCGAGCGCATCACCCGGCTGCTGCTGCTGCTGGCTGTGGGGCAGCCGTAGGGGATTCGCGACACAAAGAACCAAGACGTGGTACGGTGAAGAGAGCACCCTATTAAACGCACCAGAGGTTGATGTGGCCAGCGCCACGCCCGACCACCTTGGTCTCCCCAGTGTTGATATATATGCACACACACCGCACCAGGTACTCATTTGACGCGCAGTCAAACTGTGGGAGGGCACACAGAACCGGTTCTGATATTCGTCACGAATGTTAGTCACAAGCGGGAATCACACTCGGGTGGCCATGTATGTAGTACAGATGTGGTAACTACTACACTACTGCTCCTCACAATCTCGCACATGCATTTACGAGGACATATGCACACACATCTATATATATAGACATGCCACACATTTTTAAAAATATATTTCTATACAAATTGTATTCCAGAGGACAGTACACAGAAGGCAAAGATATATATCCACACAAACACACATCATAGTCAAAGTGATGTATTTCTCAAACTAACATTGGAGGTGGTGCCTATCTCCTGTTTACGGGCCTGAGCCAGTGGTGGTAGAACACACATTTTTGTTGGCGTCGGTGCGTGCTCTCCATCGGACAACCACTGTCGAGATTCCCCCCCCCCCCAAAACGTGGTACCTTATTTATCCAACAGGTAAACAATGACGGGCCGGGTACGTATATAGAGGGAAGAAAGAGCGTGCAACCTCGACTTGAAAGCGCCTACCCGAGTGGCCGGCAGCCGCCCCGTCCACTGGCGCACAGGACGCCTGCCGTGGCGCCGGCACGGAGTCGAGGATGGCCAGCAGAGTCCTGGTGAGCCGCAGCAGGTCGCTGAAGCTGTAGAAGCCAAAGTAGATCAGCTGCCGAGCCAGGCTCACGACCTGCACAGCCGCCACGACAACGAAAACAAAGTTAAGTAGCGTCTAATTGCAATGGCATTAAGATTTCTTAGAATTTTTTTTTTAAACATCCATACGGAGGGTTAGGGAAACACCACACATCTGTGAAAGAGCTTCATAAGCTCTTAGGGGATCCCTGCAGTCTAAATAAAGATTGATTCTGAAGAGAGGGTGCAACACCGTGGGCACAGCCCGAGACGAAGCAATTGGGGCGCGGCACCAAATAAACGAGCCCCAGGGAAAGGCAGAGGCAGCATCAACGGAGCCCCCCAGGACATCGTCTGGGGGACCAGAGCTAATTCAGCAAATTGGTGAAATAATACCAAGAAGCAAAAGGCACATGCCCATCCGAGCTGATGTGGGGGGGGGAACCTACAAAAACCTGTGCTTCGGCCTAGTCCAATAATGGTCCAAATTCACGCGATTGAAGTCGACTCGGCCCTGGCCCCACTCAAGGGGGTTGTTGCCGGTCGGGACCACCTGGGGTGGGGGAATGCTACTTTATCATTTGCACCGTTGGCATTTGTCCAACATGGACAAAAACCCGTGTGTATATAAACACTTGTTTTACACTTACACACTAATACTATTTGGTTATTTAGGTCAAATCACCTACGTGACTTTACCGAAAGACCCAAAGAGTATGGATTCCTGCAGTCACGAACGCTTCAAATCAAGATTACACACTAATGTTATATTCTGTAGATATTTAATAAAATAATTTTGTTCAGAACGATATTCTCTTTCAAATAGACGATGCTAACCTTGAATTCAAAATTCCCACCCCCCCCCCCCCCCCGTCACAAAAACTAAAATCGCAGTGACCACACGATCATAGATTTGTGCTCAAGAACTAAACTGCTGTACGAAAAACATGGTTAGCTTAGCATTTGCTACCCTGGTTGGCAACAATAAACTACGTTGGGCCAAATGCTCAAGGACCAAGGGTTACACCGGCACCTACGGATGGAGACAACATCGACCGCGCAAACCCATTTCGTGTATTTTTTTTTTACCGAGCAAAAAAATATCTTCACCTCAGCCCATCTGTATAAATGGCACTGTAGACAGTATTCCCTCACTTGTCACGATTTTGGCAAACCGCAAATCGCATCTGGAACACTACACGACTGCATCGAGATAAAGAAAGCGAAGAGATAAAGTGATGAGAGAAAATGCGATGCGAGAAAATTACGAGATGAAGTGATGATATGAAAGTGCTGGAGGACTTCTGTAAGCGTCGATTTAAAGCTTTCGTGACTGAAGGGATTCTTCACCCGAGGACGGCTGCTTGCGTTGTGGCCGAAACGTCGTGAGAATTGTATTTTATAATGTTTGATTTTTATTATTTCCCTTCTACGCGACTTCACCGAAAGAACCAAGAAGACATCTGTAAGTATTAAAAATATCTGCAGACGTTGCACACACTATTATCGTAGGCCGCAAAATTTGCTACCTCACGAGCATCTCCGGAATGTATCTCTTACGAATAATGAGGGAATGCTGTACTACTTTGAGACTCGCGTTAGATGGGATCATTTTAGCACAACGTCATTCCACAACAGCAATGGTGTCCGCTGGGCGTCCTGACGGAAATGTGAGGGTCTCCCACAGGGGAAAACAGAGGCTTCAAATCACGGTCACAACATCCCAATCTCAGCGAAGACCATCGGTTGCGACCCAACAACCCTTTCGCCCGAGCACACGGTCGACATTTGTCATCCGAGCGCGCAGAACGACATTTCTCAATGGCTGGGCGAGAGACGGCTGTTCGTTTAGCGCGTGCAATGAAAACAATCAGCGGCGTCATGACCTGCAGGAGGAAAAAGAGCCGTTCTGAATCCACCACCGTACAAAGATATCTTATAACTTTTTTTTTTAACACTTTGATTCAATGTGAAAAAGAGCGAGTTTTTAAAATGTCAATTTCAACGTGGAATGCTGGCACAGTGGTTTGAACAATGTTCTACAAAACTAGCGACTTGAGTTCCGTTCCCCGCCGTGGCTAACATCAGGTTACGAGCGATATCTAAACTGGTCCTGGGCACAAACCCCCAATGCCGACCCACATTGAGCGACGTGGCAAAGTACGATTAACAAAAGCCCCATGAATGTCAAGCTGTAGGTAGGCCTTCATGAAGCAGTAGATTGATCAAGCGGTGCAAATACATCTGCAGTTTTAAACACTGCAATGGTGACATTTGGGGTGGAAGGGGGGGGGGGGGGAATCAAAAAGTACCTACAGCACCAATGCATCTTCAAAACCCTTTCACAAACCAAAATACAACTTCAAATCCCAAAAAGAAAAAATAAGTGTTTTCACAATGCAAAAATCTATGTATACGTGACCTTTTTAAATACCACAGGACCCACTAATATGGGGTGCCGTGGCAGCAAGATGATAAATCCCTCGCCTGGTATACAGGAGGTCGTGGATTCGATCCTGACCCCGATGCCTGTACATGTGGAGCTTGCATCGTCTCCCTGTGCTAACGTGGATTTTTCACCAGCTCCTCCAGTTTTCCCTTCATTTAAAATGATGCTTTTGGAATATTTGGCTGCTATTTCCAAATAAGTCACTTTGTTGAGCTATCATTTGTGGCCAGGTCACTTCAGAAAAGGGAGTTGTATATAGCTCAGTTGGCCTCAGAGTAAAAGAAAATGTTTTTGTAGAGAGTAAAAAAAAAAATATTCAGTTTGTGCTCAAAGCACCACACGGCGAAGAGAAACGATGTCCCAAGGATGAGCGACGTCCACGTTGGAACCCGAGCGGCACCTCGAAGGTGAGCTTGTTCTTCTCCTGGTCGGCAAAGGGCAGCACCTGCCCCAGGACCTCGCGCAGGTACTCGTCCACGAAGGCGATGGTGCGAGCAAACTTGGGCTTCGCGTCGTCGTGCACCGAACCACTGCCCGAGTCATAACTGCGTGGACGTGGGGAGCAACGCGGCGGAGGTGAACATCTGATGCAATGTATGTTATCACAACAGTGCGGTTCAGGTGAACGTCTGATGCAACGTACGCTACCACAACAGTGCGATTCAGGTGAACGACTGCTGCAATGTACGTTACTACAACTGCAACATGATTCGGGTAAACAACTGCAATGTTACTACAACAGAAGCAGCTACCGTTATAATGTTCACAACTGGTACCACAACATATTGCAACTACTACTATTGCTTCCTGCTGCTCCATCTGCCATATTCTCCAGATTATGGTCATCGTAGTAAGAAGCCGATTATCTAGGACCTTGGTAAAAAAGAAAAGTCAAATGTTTCTCCCCAAAACAACAATTCAGATTTTTTTTTCAGCCAAGGGTTGGAAACCATTTTTTTTTTAATGATGGACATAATGTGGGAACCGTGGAGCAGAGGTCGCAAAGGGGTTTTGATTCCATACCCGGCCCCGTATCCGGCCCCGTACCCGGCCGCACCAGGGTCACAAACGGGTACCCGTACCCGGCCGGGTACAGGTATCGGGTACCTGATTGCGACCTCTGGGATGAAGCCATGTTGCAGGTGCGGGTAGGTTGATTCTAGGAACTTGAATTGTGAGAAGAGACAAGACGTTGGGAAATGAGTGACAAACAGTTACTCACCAGTGACTCACGGCCTACCCGTACCCGGCTGCACCAGGGTCGCAAACGGGTACCCGTACCCGGCTGGGTACGGGTAGCCGGGTATCGGTAGGGTACGGGTACCCGGTTGCGACCTCTGCCATGGAGGGCAAATCGAGTCTTTGCAAACAGGTACACTGCCATCAAGGAGGAGGCACACCCTGGGAAAGAAACCCCTTGAGAACAAAAATCCACAACACAAGCACCTCCCCCCAATCTAGCACTTGGGTGACTTCGTGCAATTTTGATACTGCCAAATTATAAATAAATAGGACTTCTCAGCTTTCTGCCGAGGTAAAACGGTCAACTGGCAGTATAAAGTTAAACGTTTATTCAAATCATCCATCACAGCGAGAAACATTTGGTGCTCGTGTCAGCACTGTCAAACACAATGAACACTGGTGGGTTTTTTCTTATTTCCTGAAATTTGACAAATTTGCACTCCTGCAATTGGGTTTCCAGTAAAAGCCCCATGTCTTCACACCAACATTGTCCAAGAGTGCGGTTAAAATAAAAACACCACCACCACCACCACAAGTTCACCGCGAAATATTAGAACCCCATGCTATATGCTATTCATATAGCATCTGAATATAATTGTATTTTTATATTCTGTACAATGCAAGTAGAACTTCTTTCGCACCATAAGTAGCCAAAACATGCTAAGTGTAGGTGCGGGGGAAGGACAAACTAGGCACAAAAATCCGTTTTAAATAAAGTAGTTTTCAATCTAGATTTTAAACTGTGCAGCCCCAGTGGCTGACTAATACGAGAAGGAAGATTGTGCTAGAGACGGCCACAGGAGGTACATCTGAAAGGATGCGATGCAATGACCGTCAAAAATAATAATGATAAGCAAGGGCGAAGCGATTAATAATAATTAGGCCACTTGTATATCCAGGAAATGAGCCTCTCAGGAGGGGCTCTGCATTGGGATGTTTTGTTAATTCTATTCATGAGAATGTGGCTTCATGTGCAAGGCAACTGAGGGCACCTGGACAAAACCCAGTATGGGTAGAACGGAGGAAGGATGGCCATATCGGCAGCAGACTGAAGCAGCAGGATGGGCAAAACCAAACTAAAAATGTAAACGGTTTATTTTACACCAAGGGCAACTTCTCCGCATGCAAGGGCTATTTTAAACGTTGACAACAAAATACGGCCAGCGTTACACACTCTGGTCATTGATAAATGTGCAGGTTTGCAAGTGATAAAATAAGAATGGTAATGGAAGCAGCTCGATGCAATGTTCTATCCGTTTGCTCTTCAGTCTGCAACACTTTTGTATTCTTAGATGAATGCAAGGCAGAGCTCTACTTAGCACATGAGCCGGGGGAGGGGGGGGGTTGTCAGTACAACCGTCGGTGGCAAATTTGGTCAGAATCCATCATGGGTAGCATCCACCATGGGCAGAAAAGTCCAGCATACATATGTTTTGTTTACGGTTTGGATGCATTTAAATATCCGATAGAAGTTTTTTTTAACCAAAACAATTTTCTCTATCAAACGAATCAGAATCTTTATCCTGGAGAAATCCGATGAGCTATGAAGATCTTTTTCAGTTAATTTTGCTTTGATGCATATTGGTGATATGCTTCAAGAAATGAATTGTTAGCATTTACCACGCTATTTGGTACCGACGAGGCTTTTTTGGCAACCAATGGTTCAAGCATCCAGGGAGCAGATAGAGCAATTCACAGAGTACATTCGATTTTCAGCCGAGCAAAGTCCCAAACCGAGGCCACCTAATATTTGCCGATGTATAACCCTGGCTTTGCATTCCAATGACATCACCTGTATAATGTCGTTCCACAACAACGGCCTAACAAACAACGGCCTAACAAACAAAAAGGTCACATCCCATCTCAGTGACGACCTTTAACAGCTGCGCAACCCGACAACCTTTCATGCGAGCGCATTTCCGGTTGGCATCTTTCACCCCTGGTGTGCACGACGGCATTTATTAACAGCCGGGGAAAGGAGGGGTGGGGGGGGAGGCGGGGGGGGGAGACGTTCGCTCATGTGCGGCGCGCACGACAAAAACATCTGGCGTTAACGTTCCCCTTAACGAAGGCTGCGCACGTCCATACCGGTGTGCACGGGGGGTAGGGGGCGCGGCACTCACTCGTCCACTGTGACCTTGGAGGGGATCTCCGACCAGAGCCGCGCGTACTTGACCGGGGTCACGGGCTCTTGGGGGTCGCGGTCCACGTGCATGTGCAGCATGAGGCGGCAGAAGGAGGCGCGCAGGTCAAAGGGCAAAGACTCGTCGGCCATGCAGCGCTGCAGGAGGCCCACGTCCAGCTGGCCAGACACGGCATTGATCGCCAGGTACTGGCGGTCCAGGCACATCCGCGAGAAGAGGTTTAACTGGTACCTGTGCACGATACAGAGATCGAGAGAGTGTCAGGATTTGTGAGGTTCAACATTCACACCCGAGAGACTCCAAAATCCGGTATCAAGGAGGGGCACACATAGCTGCTGGAAAACTCTCGTGCTACAATAAAAAAAGACAAATGCAAAGATCCCCTGTATAGTCTTAACAGACTGTTGGGGCAAGTGTTATACATGAGCACCTATGAAAGCTGGCATGGCACATGAGGGGGTGGTGGTGGCCAGCACCACAATCACAGAGACAGACACTCCCCCAAATATGCACAGATGCTATTCAGAGTATGCACACAGACACCATGCATGTGTAATGTGAGGACATATCCGGGTTGCTGTTGGATTACACCTGCTACGATGATTGGCTCTGCCGGTCCTGGCCCATAGCCAATGGGGAGAAGTCTAGGGGCGTGGCCCTGACGTAATGGGAAGGTGACAGCTGTAAGTAGAGGATTGGTTCTGCTGGCTTTAGCCACAGTCAATGGTGGGACGAGTCAGGGGCGTGGTTCTGGGAGCGTACCATGGAGTCTGGAAGATTCCATAGAGGCTAACCAGGATTGGTGGAAATGTACCACGTGACCCGGGTATTAAAAGGGGTGGAGACAAACACGTGGTCAGAACTGGAACGAACGAAGGGAAGAGGCCACACGAGAGCGGGGGTCCAGGCAGCCACGTGGCTACGCGCGTCTCTCTCTTTCTATGCCTCTCACGCTGTCTGTCAGGCAGCGTGAAGGAGTGTTGTAATGAAAGACGAATAAAGACCGGATTCCAGAAGTCGCTTCAACGACCTTTATTACACATGGTAGACACGACACACACTACACACAGATGTACCAATCGCAGTCACGCCGGCTGCATGCTCACCGGAAGTAGGTGAGCACCGCTTGGTCGTCCTCAGAGCCCTCCCTCGCCTCCTGCGCCAGCTCGCGGATACTCTTGCAGCGCGACAACTTCTCGGCGTCGAACCACATGAGCCAAACCTCCTCCTCCTCCTCCTCTTCCTCCTCGCCGACAGACAGGTGGCTGTCTCCGCACAGGTCGGTGTCCGAATCACCACGCGGAGGCAGCAGCAGCCTGGGATCGGTGGGGCGCAAGATGTTGCAGTGTATGGCGGATACTTAGATTGAAAACTCATTTCTTTACAACTGATTATGGTATTGAATGTTCTCCTTTCCCCTGTACCTCCCATCAGGGTGGTTTGGCGACGTAGGGTGCAAAAGAAGTTCAACATACATACCGCTCCCCCCCCCACCCTCATCCATCCCCCTCCAGCGAAGCTCACCCAACCCTTACTGGACATCTGAAAAAAAGCTTCATAACTGATCAGATTCCTCCAAACGAAATAATTTCGGATTCTGAAGCTCTTATAATCTTGCTCATAGTTGAGAAAGTTTTCTACTCGATTACAACTTTAAGTGCCGTTTGTTGCTTGCCGCTTGACGTTCTGAGCAGGTGCTCAGCGACTTGTTAAAAATATATAAAGGCACGCAATGGGTGCAAGTGCACTGAATGGCAAGGCCAGGGGGAGGGTTTGGTTGGTATGGCAGGAGAGACTGGAGTCGCGAGTTCAAGGCTTAATAAAGATCAGTCGTCAATTGTTACCAATCATTCGATCAAAACCAACAAAATAATGATTATACTCACCGATTTTCAAATAATCCCATGAAATCAATAATCACAACCGATTTCCTATTATCAAATCGTCATTCACCCATCTTCACCATCATCACCAGTCTTCTATTATCTAGCACCATCCATCATTAAGCCAGCACCTCGCCACCAAGTTCCATCATCCATTTGGGATTAGTAAAATGCATTCTATCTCGACCACTGAAAAAAAAACCTGTTGTCCCCATCATCGCAAGTGGGCATTTCCACTACAACTCAGGTCTTCAAATGCAGAGGGGAGCACCAGCCAATTCTCATTTCAGTACGAAGATGACACACTTTAAACTTATCATGCAAGTGCTCAAGTTGCGTGACGTACATCGCTACTCCTCTGAAAATGGTTAATTACGCATTGTAAAACAAAAACATTCTTGGTTCTTTCGGTAAAGTCAAGTAGAAGGAAAATAATAAATAATAAAAAATAAAACATAATAAAATAATTCTCACGACGTTTCGGCCACAACGCAAGCAGCCATCTTCTACGTGACTTTACCGAAAGAACCAAGAAGATGAATCCCTGCAGTCACGAAATCTTTAAATCGAAAAACATAAGCTACAAGGCAAAACTGCACACACACTGCACCAAGCCGCACGCGATCTTGTGGCTGCCGTTATGAGCTCACTCACTTTGTTTCGATTAGCAGGTCGGCGTTGGCTGGGTTCAGTACGGCCTTGCAGATGAGCTCCTGGGTGATGGGGATGGCCGTTTGGTTGGACACGCAGAGGTCCGACAGGTAGTCCAGGAACCTGCAGCACATTAACGACTCCCCAACATTAAAATCAAACCATTGCCTCAGCAGTATTTTTGCGGGCACATTTTCTAATATGGCACACATTAGAACATGACACCGACACAATTGGCCTACTCTTTTCGAAAAGCATCACGGGATATTTAACGGTCACCGAAGCAGACGGCACATTTTATGGGCAATACACCCGCAGGAATAACCAGGGCAGCCTGCCAGATTTGAACCAGGAACCTCTGCAAACAAGCGGCGAACCCGCTACCGCTGGGCAACGTTGTTTTTTGGCACGTTGTCCGAACTTTGGCACCACATGGAGCTTTAACTTCCCTGCAACGCAAAGTCCTCGCACTTTACAACGTGCGGTCCATGGTGGTGAGACGCCAACTACCTCACCTCTGTATTTGGAGTTTGAATGTTTCTCTCCCCATCGGTGGTCGTGTGCACTTTTCTCTGGGTCCTCCAATTTTACCCTCGACATTCATAAATCAACATGCGTTTAGAGTATTTGGCTGCTGTAAATTTTCACATAAGCCACTTTGTAGAGCTATAATTCGTGGCCAGGTCGCCTCTGAAAATATGCTAGAGCTCAGTGGGCCTTACCTATCAAAATAGTTCAATATTTCAGTTTTTAATAGTAATTTTTTTTACTAGTAATAAATCGTAATGAACAAAGAAAGTTTTACGTAACCAACCGACGGCATTCCCCCCCCCTCCCCCACATTGACATGGCGGCGTTCGCAGCGCGACGGCCAGCGGGTGCCACGCACCGCGGCTCTCGGCTCTTGCGCACGAGGGACACGAAGGTCTCGATCTCGGCGGCCGTGATGTGCTTCTCCAGCAGCTTGCGGTTGTTGTGCAGCAGTGCGGTGATGGTGTCCTCCGCCAGCACGTCGTAGCCAATCTGCTTCTGCATGAAGCCGAACTGCTTGGCAATGTACTCCTGCGGAAATTGGGTCGGTGGCAGGGAGGGATACAAAGATGTTAATAATATATATATACACACGCACACAAGGTAATGCAGCAGCAGCGGCGGTGTGGGCGGGGTGGGCTTGGGGGATTACAGCAGGGAACCGGCACCAATAAAATTCAAATCCAGCAGACTGTTATTAAACCGGGTTTTTGAGTACCGAGTTGATGGTGACAGTTGAGTCAGAATTGGACTGAACAAGAAAAACGTGACATTTGTTTTATTTTTTCACTTAGCACGACATTAAAAGCTGTGAGAACGTTTTGGTTTGACGGTGATGCGACAAACATCTCTGCTATGCGGAAAATTGCGGTCAAATAGGTCGCTTAAAAGCATTTGCAGGAGGCAACTTGTGACATTTTGCGTTTTGCTGCCGGTTGACCATTGCGGCGTAATGCAATGCTTTGAAAGAGTTTTAAAGCAGACACTTAATCTCAATGGCACCGAATCGTTCCTTGTCTATTCCATTTGGGGCAATGGCACAAGTTTCAACGGTTTTTGTGGTTTAAAACAACACAGCAGGGGGCGATAGGACATCACCACATGGGCCAAGCAGTTATGGGTTGCTCCCAGTCCAGAGTTTACCTACAGCACTGTCAACCATGATGTGAATTATGGTTTGGAAAATATGACAGTGTCACCTACAATTAGATGTAAAATGTTGCCTCACCCATGCCCCCCGTGGCTTCCTTCATGGCCAGTCGGCAGCTTTGATGTTGTGTTCGCAATTACAAACATTGATAAATAGCACCGAATACCACAACCAATTCAGACAACCGTAACGGTTCATATTCTTAGGTTTTTTCGGTAAAGTCACATAGATAAAAAAATAAAATTAAAATTAATAAAAGTAAAAGTAAAATAAAAATCACGACGTTTCGGAAGCAACACAATCTTCCGTCTTCAGGTGGAGACAGAAGCTTGTGTTGCCTCCGAAACGTCGTGATTTTTTATTATTATTTGACTTTTATTAATTTTAATGTAATTTTTTTTATCCACGTGACTTTACTGAAAACAACCTAAGAATATGAATCCTTGCAGTCACGAAAGCTTCAAATCTAGAATCGTAACGTGTTCATTTTTTATTTTCCTGGGTTTCACTGAACAAATAATTTCAATTAAACTCACCGACCCATCACTCAATCCACTCGCATCAGAATTTACCAGACTAATTTTACCGATTTTGTTCATTTCCCCCTACTCACTGTGACATTTCCACATATAAAAATATCCCAAATGCAATTTCCAAGGCCTGGAAAGCTTGCAGTCCACTTGCAAATATTGTTGGTTCGGAATCTAATGATGAATTCATGGAAATGTTATATTTGCATGCACAAGACATGCAAAGTGTGCACGTAATAATGGCTTGCTCCTGATCTGTATACTTTATTCGCAATGGGTTAATGGAGGTCAATCCAGTCACGAGGTCGCTAAATTAGCCACTTAAAAATGGCAATAGATTATTTAAATCAAATAAATTGTGACACCGAATCGTGGCAATCGAATTAAGAGGGGAAATTTTTTACGAGAGTGTGTTATGTGAATGTATCAATATATCGATTGATATACATGCACAGCGATTATTATACTCAATACACACGCATCTATCCGTTCATTCATATATTACGCAATGGATTCACACCACCCTTTCACAGGCACCGAGGGCCTACCATTCATCACCACAAATTTGAATTGCATCATAATCGTGACCCTGAATTGCACCCACTCGCATCTTTGAGGGCAAGGGTCATTGCACTGCTAAAGCCTGCACGGCCGTTATTGAACACAAGACGAGTAGCATTGGGGGGGGGGGGGGGGGGCAGCAGTCACACCTGGTTTTTGCGGTATCCGTGCTGCGAGTGGCGCAACACGCGGTAGCACAGGCGGCAGATGTGGCGGAAGGGGGCGTGCCGCTGGTCGGACAGTTCCTCCATCTGCAGCATCGGCCCGTCGCCTCCGTCCACGAAAGGTGCCTGCAGCAGCTTGAAAATCTACGCGCGCCCACCCAGTCACGACTGCTTATGCCACCGGTACACCAATGGACAGCGTAGCCAGGTGTCACAAACGTCAACACGACACCGCTGGTCGCTTATTTCAACCATTACGGAGCTGGGCTCTGATTAATGAACTAATTGCTCTTCTTAGTTTTTTCGGTAAAGTCACGTAGAAGGGAAGTAATAAAATAATAAAAATAAAACATAATAAAATAATTCTCACAATATAATATAAAATAGTGAGAATTATTTTATTATGTTTTATTTTTATTATTTTGTTACTTCCCTTCTACGTGACTTTACCAAAAAAACCAAGAAGACGAATCCCTGCAGTCACGAAAGCTTTAAATCGGAACTAATTACTCTATAGATGATTGGTTTTGATAACGTGCCTAATTAGGATAACACAAAAATTGTTGGAAAACAAACTGTCACCCAGCCTCGCGTGTGTCAATTGACAGGAAGCGAGAGGGGCGGGGATTGGTGGCATCAGAATCATCAGCTGCATCCGTCTTGCTGGGCATGGCTTTTTGGGAGTTTCCTGGCTTCGCGGAGGGCAGGAAGTTGGTTGGGGCAGTGAGCATTTTTTTAAAATGGGGCTGGAGTAATTCAGAAGAAAAAAGTTAATTACAAATTAGTCCATTAATTGACTTCATCAGTTCAGTCCAAGCTCCAAACATCTGAATGTTAAGCACGCTTGTCAATCTACTGATAGAGGCTCTCCTCCCATATGACCACGCTACTGAACACGCTAGGCAGTGCGGGTGGGTGAAGGCATATGACAAGAGTGGGAGCACAGAAGTACAGCACAACAGATTTTGCCGCACCACCCCCTTGCTGCTCACAATGCAGGCCTACAGCGTCCTGCCATGCGCGATGGTTGCACACTGCAGGTTTCAACCCCACTTTGGGTGGACGACTACCATTTGTACTGTACTCGCAGCCATTTTTCTGTTACGGTTTTGGAAGGGAATAAAATAAATACACAGATGGGTGTCAGACGAAATGTTGAATTTGGCGTTATATTACGAGCTTTTACAGCTTGTGTAAACTGTGAAAGACACGAAGCAGGTGTAAACAGTTAAAAGCAAGTCGTCATCTTTTACAATGTCAAACATTTACAAAAGAGTGACTTGTTGACATACGTATGGGAAATTAAGATTAATCGGATTATAAATCGCAGCCCCGACTTTTTCTTTAAAGTACAGAAGTGCATTCTGCAACTCCAGAGAATATGGTGCACATTGTTTCATAATTATTCACATTTACTGTATATGAATAATTATGAGAGAAAAAAACCTACACGGTGGCTGTACATGCATACCGAGCAAGGATTAACCCATCCTGGCCAGCTTCACGTTTTTTAACATTTTAATTCGCATTTAATTAAATACGCAAAATAGTTTCTGCCATTGTTACCAATGCAGTTTCGCCGCACGAGACAGCAACATTCACAGATTACACTGGAAACAAGGCAGAAGCTGATTAGTTTTACTCTTAACTACTGTACATATAACAAACAGAGTTATGATCTACAAAAAAGTTAACTTTTCATAATTACATTTAAAAAATGCAAACGCTGGAGACTCAAATTTAAATGCTTAAGATTAGCACAAGTGTAGCGACTGTGAATGTCACTGTGGTGCTGGGCCTGCGAGGCCATGGCGGATATAATGTTGTCATTATGTGCAGCCCGGTTACTGGGCGTAGTACCAGCCCTAGCGGGGCTTCGGCGAGCGCTGGTTAGCGCAGAAGCACCACCACGTACAGTGTGCGGTGCGGGCTCCCGGTGAGGGAGCGAGAGGGAGTGTCAGCCAGCCAGGGTTATGTTGGGGCATGATACGCTGGTTGACCTGCCGACACGTGACCGGATGATATTGGAGGGGGGCCGCTGGGTGGTCACGTGGTATAGAGGAGCTCTCGGGAGCCTTGGGTAAAGAGCTGGAGAGATCTAGAAGGTGGGTGGGGCGAGAGGCGGAGCCAGCCCCGGCCCAGGCTGATATAACGGGGGCCCCCGTGTGGGGCTCGGGGTTCTTGACTGTTGGTAAAGAAGTTCCACTTCGGGTTGAAGAAGCCTCTCGCCACGCAGTCCGGGACCCAGCTCGTGGTCCGGACCGGGATAGCGGAACCGTGTCTAGTTCTGCCGTAGCGTGGTTAGATGGGCGTTCAACACCCAAGTGTAGGTTACGTTATGTTGTGTTGAGTTGATGTAATAAAGTGTTGCTCCCAAGACAACGTCTGCGACTCAGTTGGACTCACCACAAGGATGAAAGGTTGTTTGGTGTTTGATTAGTAAATATAGAATTTTGTTTGTTTACACACTGGGATAGTGTGGTTGGGATACACGGATAGAAATTTAAAAATGGCGCCAACTGTCAAAATCCCCCCCCCCACCCTCCACTGCTCTCTGTAGCCAGTGCCTGGGCCACTGCAGCCCGTAGGCCCGATCGCCGTTGCAACGCCTGCTCCACCCGACATCTACGAAACTATGATTTGAGCAATTCCTTAAAAAGGAAAATCGGGGGGCGGGGCAAACTTCGCAATGCAGCCTCTTGAATGGAGAGTCCCGAGACGGGGGGGGGGGGGGGGGTGAGCAAGGCTTTTGAGCGTAACATTTTTCACAACCACTTTTGTCAATCCCACTGCTAGATGAATGCCCTTTTCCCCATGTCACGATGGTCGTGGGGAGGCGCCGACTGCACACCTTTCACCACATGATGGGCAGCGACCTTTGGGAGCAGGGTCACGTGGAACGGGGAGGGGGGGCCTCACCTGCTTCAGGATGTTCTGCTCGCGCATCAGCTTCTGCCGCTCGCGGTTGGGTTTGGCGACGACAACGTCCAGCGCCTCCTGTCCCGTGTTAGGGATCTCCGCGATGAAGAACACCAGGTCCTCCAGCAGCTTCGTCACAAACCTACGGGCCAGGAAACATCCAACGTCACAGCCGCATTCCGTGTAGCAACGGCGTGAATGGCAATGGGGCTAGGCCCCGTCATGAGAACGGCCGATGAGAGACGAGAAACAAAACTAACCACGGAGTGGAGCCTGAGAGTAACTAAACTATTTAATTTTTTTATTTTATTAGGCAAGGACAAATGATCCATATACCTCTTTTTCAGAAGCATCCTGGCCACAAATGATAGCCCAAAGTGGCCAATCGTGTGGAAATTTATCGCAGCGAAATTACTGTAAATGCACGTTTGTTTCCAAACGCGGACGGAAAAACCAGAGGACCTAGAGAAAAATCCACGCAACCACAGGGGTCTAGATCAAACTCGTGACCTCCCGTATACCAGGCGAGGTAGTTAACATCTCGCCAGAACCAGAGGAAGACAGCGGATTAGACGGTAGTAGCTGGACGATATTAAAGAGGTCGGAGGCCACAACTGGACAAAATAAACTAAGGATAGGAAGGAATTGAAGAAATTGGGCAAGACATGTGTCAGCAGTTTTAACTTACTGGCCGACTACAACAGCTGAGCCCGAGACGACATGCAGGACAGAGATGGAGCAATGATATTGAAAAATTAATCGGCCCATGCGCGGGAGCTCGATGGATTGCTGTCGTTAAAATTAAAAACACCTACACAGTGGAGATAAAATTCGAGGCACGCAAAGATACGCAGGCTTCGAGATATCATTCTAAATGTTAAGTAATAAGTGGGCTCGAGAAGGACACATCGCTTGAAGGGACGCTGGTCAAGAATAATGACAGAGTGGCAGCGAAAGGGATGGAACGTGCCTGAGGGCATGCGCGTCCATCAAGCAAGATGAAGCCATGAAATCTGCCCTTTTAGCAGGAGCTAGATGGATTACTGGGGAGGCTTCTGCGTTTCTGCTGAACAGCTCTCCAGCGGACTGCAAAGTATTAGTCGCGCTACTCCTGAAGTTATCACATGGCTCGCGAACTTCAAAACCTACGATGTACTATTTACGCGTACTTGCCACACGCTGGAAGAAGCCGTCGATGCATTTTCGGTTGTACAGCGTGTTGTTCAAATTACAGCCGAAATTTCACTCACAACATGTGGACATCGTGCCAAACCACCGTAAGGACACATCGACGAGCTAGATAGATTATTATTACGTCACAGGATTGATGGATTAGGTCATGAGTTGGGCAGGCGTTTAGCACGGGTTGGCTACGTATGGTGCGAAAGAAGTTCATACATACAAACACAGGCCATCATTTAGCAGTCGGTTGATTACAAACGTGTTGAACTTCTTTCGCACTGTATGTAGCCAACAGTGCTAAATCGGAGGTGTGGCGGAAGGACAAACTAAAACGAAAAGCAGTTCAAGAAATTAGCGTTCAATTTAGCCGATGATAAAACAAATTCTGCGGTTCATTTGGCGAAGGATAAGACGACAACAATAACCACAACCGCCGCCTTTGGCTCCACACCTCCTCTCGTTCTGGGTGATGGTCCCCTTCTCCAGCTTCACAGCGATCGAGGCCAGGACCTTGCTGGCATCGTTTGCAAAGTCCAGATCTCGGACCTCCAAGGGAGACACGGGGACGATTGCAAACGCCTCCTTGTCCTCCTTCACTGCACACGTGCCGATCTGGTGGTAGGGGAGGCGGGCGGTGGGGGGGGGGACCATGTAGCATGGACACACGCAAGGTGGTGAAAAAAAAGAGCTTAACAAGCGCATCAGATTCCTCCAGTATAAATATTCTCATAACGATTCTGACGTGAAGCCAAATTAAACTGCACATTAAAGGAAGCGACAGATTACGCAAGTTGAGGGTGGGATAGGCACTGGGGGGGATTCGCAGGCACGGTCGCCAGTGTGTGAACAGGCATCATTATTTTAATTATTATTTGCACATTCTAGATCACAATGCTCAGACACAACGTACAATATTACTTTAATTGATATATAGCCCCCAGTGGCAAAAACACGCCCACACACACCCACCAAAATGTTTAATTAAGAACACCTTCTTCTTGGTTCTTTCGGTAAAGTCACGTAGAAGGGAAATAATAAAATAATAAAAATAAAACATAATAATATAAAATAAAAATATAATAATATAATACAAGTAAAATAATAATAAAAAAATAATATATGGTTATTTTATTATTTTATTATTTCCCTTCTACGTGACTTTACCGAAAGAACCAAGAAGATGAATCCCTGCAGTCACGAAAGCTTGAAATCGAAATAAGAACCCCTTATAATAACTGAAAAAATGTATAATCGTGGAGTAGGCTACACTATATAGCAAGGAGAGTGGTGACAATGGAAAGCACACCGTGGGTGTAAATCACGAGATCATCAAGCTCGATTCCCCACCACGGCTAACAGTGGCAGGCAATGTTCCAAGCATATTCTTAGGTTTCTTTCGGTGAAGTCACGTAGGTAAAACATAAAAATTAATAAAAGTAAAATATACGGAGTGGTAGCTCTTGTAATCTCTCATTTACTTGATACAGCTATCGTGGCTGTGACGGTTCCACCTGAAGACGGAAGCTTGTGTTTGCCTCCGAAACGTCGTGATTTTTATTTTTATTTTATTTTACTTTTATTAATTTTAATGTTATACCTATGTGACTTTACTGAAAAAACCTAAGAATATGAATCCTTGCAGTCACGAAAGCTTCAAATCTAGAATTAATGTTCCAAGCAGTCCTGGGGCCACCAACACCCCACAGAGCTGCATCAACCGGCATGGGGGCGAGGCGACGAGCAAACAATTTCCATTCACCGCCACTGGCATGCAGAGGCCCTCTCATCCAGGGTTGGAAGTGCAAAGTGGCTGTAGAAATGCTTTGATTACACTGGTCACCACACTTTTTCTGGCATAAGGTATTCCAACGGTTGTAAGGTAATTTTGGGGTGCCGATTCCAAATCTGGCATCGGTTTTTGTCTATCACATCAGGTTTTTGAGATGTCAAATATTGCATTTTCAATAAACACTGCAGAAAAAAATATTAAATAAATGTGGATATCTACGTAAAATTATATTATAAAAACACACCATCCTAAAAATACAGCACCATATTTTAAACACTAAAGCAGTCACTGACTCGCAACAACTTGCAATCGTAAGTGACGGAGTTAATTTCGGGTAAAATCAATGAAAATGGGGTATGCCGATAGCATAAAAAATTAACCCGCAAAAACAAAGTTTTTCACTATAAATCCTTTATATGCGTGGCATCGGTTTTATTTTATTATTCATTTCTGTTTTTCTTGAGTAAGAGTTTCATTTTTATCACATTGGTATTTTAAATTAAATATGAAAAAAGAATTTCCCTAAAAAGTGGAAAATTTTGGAAAAAAATTTTCACGAAAATAAATTGTCACGCACAACGAGTCTGTGTGCAAAATGTCAGCTCGATTGGATCACGGGAAGTGGGTTAAAAAACGACCGAAAGATTTGCACGGTCGTAAGCGCGCAAGAAAGCAAGCGAACTTAATATAAAGGATTTAAAAAATGAGATGTGATAAAGCAAACCTGAGATCAGATTTGGAATCAGCACCCTGAAATTAGTCTAAAACAGCTGCAAAAGTCCAGGCCAGAAAAAAATGTTTTTTTGTTGTTGACCAGTGCACTTACTCCGCGAGGATTCTAGACCGATGTGGGCGAGGCAGAGTCGTGCTTGTGCACCGCCACCAGCCTCGTCGCTCTTATCTCAATCTGTCATCTCTCCTTTCCGTGTATCTTGCAGCGTAATAATGAAATTACACTTTACGGGAAATCTGTTTTCCAGTAATAGAAAGCCATCTGTTGTACTGGAGACCGTTACGACACACGCAAAGCCCTTTTTCGCAGCTGCTCATGGCATACGTGCAGCCCGACAATGGCTCGCTTACATCACTGCTGGCAGAAGGGTCTTCACTCAGGAGGAGATCTAGTAGAGGGCATTTGGAAAGGTGGAAGTAGCCGCACTTTACCCTACCATACATGACCCGTTGATCGATTAACTGTGGTGAGCGTATTTGCAATGCTGGGTTGACAGAGGTGGGGTGGGGAGAAAAGGGTGTGCGGAATTGAAGAAACTTGGCCTCATTTCAACTCTAGATTTGAAGCTTTCATGACTGCAAGGATTCATACTGTTAGTTCTTTTGGTAAAGTCACGTAGGTAAAAAATAAAAATTAATAAAAATAAAATAATAAAATCACGACGTTTCGGAGGCAACACAAGTCTCCGTCATCAGGTGGGACCGTCACAGCCAGATTTGCTGCATCAACTGCCGCACCTGGAGGTCACAGTTCCTACGATGACTGTTTCATTGCTTTCATGGCTTTATTTTGGTGATTTCGAAAAGTGTATTGGTTTAGCCATGTTTGTTTGTTGTAGTACAGAGTTAGACTGATGGCCTTAATCCAAGTTGTCTTGTGGTTGTTGTTGGTTGTTTGACTTGCATCCCACTGGGATTTTTGCACACAGCGTTGGTGTACTGTGTTTTTTCTGCAATATTTTGCTGTCTTTAATTGGATTTTCTGTTTGCACTCAGTCACATATTCACTTTAAGATGTTTTTTTGTTCATGTTTTTGTTTTTTGTTTGTTGCAGTTGCACCCGATTCAAGAGCCGAATGGTTCACAGGGCTATACTAATAAATGAACTTGAAATCAGAGTGCCGATCATTACACCACTGCGTAAATCCAAAGCGACTTCATGGTCAACCGCGATAAAGTATAGGGGCACTCACTTTAAGCATCACTGGCTTCTCCTCCTCCGTGTCGATTGGAGACGTGGTGCTGTGCACCCACGTGTTGGTGCACAGGTGACGCAGCCTCACGTACGAGTTCCTAAAAACACAGGCGTTAGAACAAGTGACGAACGTGATCAGTAATACAGCCGATCGGCAGGTCACGCGCGGTTGGTTAAAGTGCCGGGGGAGGGGGGGGGGTTAATCTCTCACTTCAATGTGCCTGGACAGTTTAGAACGGGAGGCCAAATACCCTCAAGCAAGGCCCTCTGGGAGCACACGTTAGTGGCGGGCCTGCTGCCAGCACTTGTGCGGGCGAAAGGTGGCAATGTTGCACCTTAACTATCTTCATTACACATACAGCCCCTGTGTCAATCCACTGCTGGATGCAAGACACCTCTGCATGGCACGTGGATCAAGGGGGTTATTTGACCATAACCTCATCTTGTTGGTCAGCATGGGTCGGCGAGAGTTGGGGAGCACAGATGATGTTTGGGCATCGTACAGGGCACCAAGGTTTTTTTTTTTCTCATGTACTGCCTTCTGTTGACAAAGTAGACCCCGCAGCAGACTACAACACCTGTTCCAGTGCATGGCGGTCACATGTTTAGGCCCTTGGTGGGCTCCGAGTCATGCTTAGATTCTAAGATATCATGAGATAGGATTCAGTCGGTGTAAGATGGTCCGAGGCAATACGACAAATTTGCTAGAATTACCCAAGAATGCCTCACGAATTTCTCAAGACTTTTTCAGGAGGATTCTCCACATTGGACTTTGTCACATTCCATCAACGAGCATTTAGCAGTAAGAAAGAAACCAGAGAACCCTGAGAATACCCATACATCTTCTTGGTTCTTTCGGTAAAGTCACGTAGAAGGTAAATAATAAAATAATAAAAATAAAACATAATAAAATAATTCTCACGACGTTTCGGCCACAACGGACCTTTTCTCCACCTGAGGACGGCTGCTTGCGCTGTGGCCAAAACGTCGTGAGAATTATTTTATTATGTTTTATTTTTATTATTTTATTACTTCCCTTCTACGTGACTTACCAAAAGAACCAAGAAGATGAATCCCTGCAGTCACGAAAGCTTTAAATTGAAAAATACCCATACACACGAGGCTAACACAAACACAAAGCGTTGCACAGATGGATTCAATAATCCCTTGCTGTACTGGCATCTGGCCACCTCGCAGGCCATATGATAGCATCCAGAAGTAACTGGATATGGAAGGGCATGTGAGGTGAAGGGTAAAGTTAAAATAAACATTGTATTGGACGTAACCATATTCCAAATCACCTTTAATAAACGTGCATTAAGGTTTTTTAAAAGAGCAATTTAATGTAACTGGAGGGAGAAAGAAGAAAAAAAAACCCCATCGGGATTTAAAAGCTCAGCTGCTGTCTGGAATAAAACAATTTTTTTCTAAATTTTGCATACATGCAGCTTTGAAGAAAAATATGTAATTTAAATCCAACCTCGTAAAATACAATCAATTTGGATGAAGGGCTCATCTTATGAGTAAAATTACCACTTAGCACAAAAGGAAAATGCAGAATAATTGGGCGAATCGGTGCGCATTATCAAGCTGCGTACAGGCTTGGGAAAATGCACCGTCTCATGCCACAACTCCAGCGGGGCCCATTTCATCGCTGAAGCATTCATCATCAGCAGAGATGAAAGCGTTGCGAGGAATAACACCTCGCGTGCGGAGGTGGAAACACCAATAGCCCTCGAGAACGGCAAACACTCGACCGCGTGGGCCTCACAAAGCGGCCAACAACCCCGTAGGGCAGTGTTCTTCATTGCAAGGGCTGTGGGCCACTGGGTGGCCACTCGTGGCCTATAGTGCGGGCCCACCTATAATACACAAACGTGAAATCGTGCTGTCAAACAGTCGTTTTAAATAGTGTGGTGGCCCCCACACCGATGTCTTAAAATCGGCGCTCTGAAAACGAGTGAAGAACACTGCCGCAGGGCATTACCGGGGCACGAGCGAGTCTCCCCTCTGCATGGTAGTAGGGTCCAGCTCGAAGATGGAGGCGATGTCACTGCCGTGGTCCACGGGCACCAGTGTGAACATCATGCGGTCGCGCTTGCTCCGCGCGGCGCTGCTTGCCGGTTCGGCGTCCACCTGCGATCGCCGGGGGTGGTGCGGGGCACCGGCGTCAACCGACATTTCGGGGTGCACACGCCGTAACCGAAACGGAGGGACGCTCTGCGCGCCAAACTATCGGGGCTGCCCCACCCCCCCCCCACCCGCCATGCCTGCGCCGTGCTCGCAATTTGTTAGCGGGCAGCAGGAGGGGAACAAGCAAAAGAGATTGTGTTCGTTCGATGAACTCTTGCCTGGTTACCAATAATTGTAATTAAACTACATTCAAATGATAGCGATTCTAATAACGGAAACACTAAATAAAATAATTTCATCAAAATTGACTCGTGCTCCATTGCCCTCCGATTATAAAGATGTTCTGGGGGAAAAAAAAAAAAATCGCACTCCAAACTTGTGCACAGTGTCGAAGTTGAACAATTCTGGGACGGGTCAGACTATTAGATGCATCCAACGTTTATGTTAAAATTAGAGAAGGTAAAAAGTGCAACTCTCAATCTATAAAATACAGCAACATTGTAGACGTACCGAAGCTCCTACAGCCATCTCTTGTGGCTGTTCCTTGTAATCAGGATTTACCTTTAAAAAAAACACAACACAAATAAACATTCACAATCACCATATACACAATTTCATCCACGCCATTCCATCATGGTGGGGTGGTGGGTGGGGCAGTGGTGATGCAGTGGTTGACACACTGGTCTATCGGCTGACAAGCCACTGTTGTCAGCCGGTACCTTCCCACTGCTGGGACAAAGGTCTTGCCGAAATCCCTCAATCTCTTCCCTATTCTTAGTTTCTGCTGTCCATGTGGCCTCCAACCCCTTTAGTCTCGCTGTTACCCTCTCATCTGCCATCTTTTTCTGCTTCTGCTGAGATGTTAACTACATCGCCTGGTATGAAGGAGGTCGTGGGTTCAATTCCGAACCATGGCGTCTGTCTATTTAGAGTTTTGCATGTTCTCCCTGTGGTCGCGTGGATTTTTCGCCGGGTCCTCATGTGTTTACCTCCACATTTAGAGAAGCAACATGCATTTAGAGTAAGTGGCTGTTGTAAATCTCCACATAAGCCACATCTCACTGAGCTATCATCTGTGGCCAGGTCACTTCTGAAAAAAAAGTGTGATACGAGCTCAGTGGGTCCTTACCTGGTCAATTTTAGTTTGCAGTGCAGTGACGTGCGTCTGGGACATGGTGTGGCATACCTCCGCAGCCAGATGGTCCCCGGTGGAGAGATGCTTGAATCGGAAGAGACTGTTCCAGTGGCCGGCGCCTTCTCGGCAAGGGTCGTGCTGAACGACCTGTGCAACGGCGAAGACGACACGGTATGCGAGTCCACACAAAGTCCCCACTACCACCACTACTACCATCATCATCATCGTCGTCAGCATCGCAGTCTCCACCAATAGCACCAGCATCAACATCTTCAGCTAGGCATCCATTGCCTTGTACACCTTTAGAACTTTAAATGAACTTGAACTTGAACTACGCGTCACACGTTGGCAAAGGAGCCATCCGAAATCTTGTGAGCATTTGGGATGGGCCGAACAGATTTTTTCCCCCCTTTGCAACTGTGCATATTTAAATAAGTGCGATTTAAAAAAATAATATCACTTAGCCCCAAGGAATGTATTAATCTGTACAAGGCATTTCACAGCTTAAATCTAGAACTTGAAAAATGTTACTTGCTGCAACAGTTCAGGAGAATATAAATTTATTTTAACTTACTGTGCCAAACTTATCGTGGAATTAATTCCCTCCAGCAGTTCTATGCGATGTATAATGTAAAACAAACATGATAAAGATGTTGTATTTAAGCACTACATACATAATCTTACTCTGAATGAAGTCTGAGACAGCATAGGTTTAAAATGCAATGGCTGTACCATATACTGCATAAAATATTGGTAAAGGTACAGGTGCTTTGCCAATTGACTGCCAGATGTAGTGTATAGTGTAGCAGGACCACAGGAGGTAATGTGGGTTGTTTGAAAATATCCCACCGTGTTGGGTCACTGAAGATTGCTGCAGTGGGGGGGGGGGGGGGGGGAAGCGGGGAAATTGGGGCCCTTGACTGATTCAAACATCACACACCATTGCCGTAAGCAGTGGCAGGGAATCGAACACGGGTCACCAAGTTCATGGCGCAGTACACCAAACTACTGCGCCGTTAAACCCTCCCTTTCCACCCCCCCCCGCCCCCCACTGGTAAGGGTACATACAATGTAATAATTAGGAACGAGTTTGTTCAATAATCAACGTTGAACACTGCGGGAGCACTGCCTCAAAGACTCGTCTGCGCTGGTTTACAGCAAACGACCGTGCACAGCGTGTCGGTGCAATAAATAGTACGCCCTTAATTAGGAAACAAACAGGCCAAACAAAAATCAATGGTGGAAATTATTTAAAGCGCAGTGGTAATTAAAGCTCATTTTAATGCACGCCACGCGTTTCCGACTCTGCACCAAGTTTGCAGGGCCTGCGTGTGACGTCTCGCCAAACCTCCTCACGGTGGAGAGCTACCGAATGCAGCAAACCATAGCCAATAGCAGAACATTTCTGAAAAGGTGATAAAAACGATCTGGTTCACCCCCGCCCCCTGCCCGCCCATCTCCATGAAAGATGCAAATCTGAACAAACAGTTTGGGGGACTATCAACTCAGTCATTTATTTGTCATTTTATTTCGTATGAAAAGCCCAAATTAAATAAAAAGGTAAATTAATGGAGGTCTTTACCGAATCTTCTGTCATGTGCCAGAACTCTCAAGATAAGCACGGTGCAGTCCGTTCTTATAAAAAAGGTACAAAGTGATAACATCTCGTCCACAAATATTAAAACAACAAGGTTCCATGCCGAGTCCAATCTGTTCATTATATTTATGCAATCTTGGACTAAATTTACATCGCTCAGAATTAAATATTTTTGCCGATGGCACTGTCATGCTCTTATCAGGTAATTCTTCAAAACATCAAATGTTACACTAAAATCTCTCCTAAATTCACCCCCCCCCCCCCAAAAATCATGGCATCTTCCAATAAAATACAGCTTCATTCTCTTAACCTATTACGGATATCAGAAACAGCATCATTGAACAAACGGAGTACTTCAAATACTTGGGTTTATCAAATGGATTAAAAGCTGAAATTAAACCGCATATTGAGCACATCTTAAAGAAAAAAAAAGGGTCTTTACATTGAAACAAACATTGTTTCCCCCAATTCGATTACACCTTCAAATTGTTGATGCTATCATTCTACCACCGTTTGATGACTGTGACGCTGCTTACAGATCAGCTACTATTGAATCATTAAAGACTAAACCCGCTTTATCGTTCTGCTCTTCTATTTGCACTGGATGTACCATACAGGACCCCACCATCGTGATCTCTACTTAAAATCCAATCCCGATGCAAGAATAAATCTTCATTGAGACCTGTTCATCCGTAAGAAACCTGACTGGCAAATCTGCGCTATACTTGGCAAATTAATTCACCTCATTGTCAAATCCAAGAAACCCAAGACGTCCATCTAATTGCCTTGTAACTATCCCAAGAACAAGAATAGGTGACAACGTTTTTGCTGTTGCAGCACCAACGTTTTGGACAAACCTGGTTTACTCCCTTAACATTGTAAATCTTTCGATTTAAAGCTTTCGTGACTGCAGGGATTCATCTTCTTGGTTCTTTCGGTAAAGTCACGTAGAAGGGAAATAATAAAATAATAAAAATAAAACATAATAAAATAATTCTCACGACGTTTCGGCCACAACGCAAGCAGTCGTCACCTGAGGACGGCTGCTTGCGTTGTGGCCGAAACGTCGTGAGAATTATTTTATTATTTGATTATTTCCCTTCTACGTGACTTTACCGAAAGAACCAAGAAGATTGTAAATCTTCCTTTAAAAAACATTCTGAAGCAGAAGATTAGTGCTGGATACAGGCACATTTGCAAATATGGTTGGAACTTTGATCCAAACCCATGTATCGGTAGTTCAATTTTAATTCACTATTTTTTCGGAGAGACTATGTTGCCTAGGACAGTTTTTGCTGTTGTTTTACTGCCTTTCCCCAAGCTTGGGAATTTATGTGCTTATGAAAATGAACTTACATACGTTATTGATCATGTACTTAAATGGGCGCCACCATGGTGCAATGTGATCTTCCTCACATGCAGGAGATCAGGGGTTCGATGCCGACCCTGACGCCTGTATATTTGGAGTTCTCTCCGTTGTCACGTAGATGTATTTTTAAATCCTTATATTAAGTTCACTTGCTTGCGCGCTTATGACCGTGCAAATCTTTCGGTCGTTTTTTAACCCACTTCTCGTGATCCAATCGAGCTGACATTTTGCACACAGACTCGTAGTGCGTGACAAATTATTTTCGTGAATTTTTTTCCCCAAAATCTTCCACTTTTTAGGAAGAAAAAAAATTCATATTTAATTTAAAATACCAATGTGATAAAAATGAAACTCTTACTCAAGAAAAACAGAAATGAGTAATAAAATAAAACCGATGCCATGCATATAAAGGATTTATAGTGAAAAATGTAGTTTTTACGGGTTAATTTTTTTCTCTCTGGGTCCTCCAGTGTTTCCCTCCACATTTTTGAAACGTGAGTTTAGATTATTTGGCTCGTAAATTTGCATGTGATAAAACCACTTTGTTGAGCTATCATTTGTGGTCAGGCCGCTTTTAAAAAGCTAATAGCTCAGTGGTCTTTACGCGGTAAAATAAAAGTTTATTTTAGTGATTTGCTTATCTTTCCCATACTTTGGCACTCCTATTGTATTTTTGTATTTTGTTTGTCGTTGTAACATTCTGACTCACCCCTAGTGGACATTCTGAAAAAGAGCTTTATAGCTCAGATTCGTGCAGTATAAATATTTCCTATTCCAATTGTGAGCTTATTTCGCACGGAGCCAACTGTACTAATCGGAGGATGGGAGACTTATTGTAGAGGCTTGAGGCTCCGGAGGTGTTCTTAACATTACCAAAAAAAAAAAAAATCACATCTTCCATTCCATTTGGCAAATTCCATTCGAGTTAGAATGGAGGGGGGTAAGGATGTTGAGGGGGGTCCAAGCACTCAGATGGTACAAATGAGATCCTGGATTCTAACCACAGGTTTCCTCAGGTCACCCGTGATTAAACAGTTGTGGCGAGTCGATGGTCAGTTAACTGCACAAAAACACCAACATATATTTTTTCTCAATTTAATTTGATAACGTTTCAGCTCTACGAAAAAATAAATATCAGTTTATTGTGCAATGAAGCATTCCCTAACATAACACAATGGAAAGTTTCCCCCTTAGAGTTATACATTTTTTTTAAATATCACTTTTTAGCAGTAGTTGTGACATCGCTTTCTGCGGTACGTTTGCTCACATGGTATCGATTTTGTTGCTGGCTCAGCTCAAGATTTTCTGAACGAGCACTTCCGAGCATGAGAATGGAAATGGCTTCGTGAGGAGACTATACGCGCGCATCTCTCGGTCGCATACGACCGAAAGCCGATTTTTAAATCCTTTATATTAAGTTAACTTGCTTGCATGCTTACGACCGTGCAAATATTTCGGTCGTTTTTTAACCCACTTCTCCGTGATCCAATCGAGCTGACATTTTGGACACAGACTCGTTGTGCGTGACAATTAATTTTCGTGAAAATTTTTTTCAAAAATTTTACACTGTTTAGAGAATTTTTTAAAAATATTTAATTACCAATTGCTTAATGGTGGCAGACAATCATCTGACCCATAGGTGGCAGCCATCTCAAGCCAGAGGACGAGAGGACTCTAGCCGCCATGCATATAAAGGATTTAGTGAAAAACTTTGTTTATACGGGTTAATTTTTTTTTTAACTCGAACCATCTTTCTTTCTGGCCCCCTACGAAAACCAACGAACAGAAGTCCAAACCTCAATCTCCCAGAGGGCCTTGGAGCTGGTGGCGGAGGTCGCCGACTGGCGGCCCGTCGTTCGCAGGAACACGTGCTGCTTCTTGCGGTACTCGTCACTCGTCAGGAACTTCTCTTGCTCCGCGTGGAACAGTCGTACAACGTCACCCTGCCAGGAAATAAACAAATGTATAAACACACTATGCATACGTTTTTTGGGGGGGGGTTAGATCGCAGAAATATAAAAGTGCCGTTTAACTCGCCGCCTCCCGACTACAGCCAATAAGCAAGGTTTGTCACGTAAAACAAAACCTGCCAAATTAGTTACAACTTCAGCACACCGGTGTTGGAGAGTAAACCCACGACATTTACAATTTCTTTAAAAAATATGTATATATCTCATGTAAAAAAAGGGGATCTTAGCAGGAGTTGTGACATCTCCTCCTGCGATATAGCGAGCGATATTAAATTCATACAAGCCCTCCGTTGCGGTTGTGGGGGCAGCACCCCTTGCGTGTTGTTCGGCTCGATGTCCCGAAGTCATCGCTCAACAAGCTGGGGGAGGAAGCCACGGTGCCCAATTGGGTTCCCGAAGCGCGTGGAGCGAAACGGTCGGGGACACCGTGCCGAAAAGCACGCGGCACAACCAGAAAAACCCGCCATCGGATAGAGCTGCAAGCTTACATTCATTTGCAAGGCGGCTCGTGCCGCAGAGACTATGGGCTCGGCCCCGAGAACCCCTAAGGGCACAGTGAATGCAGCGGATTGGGAAAGTTCAGAAATTGCTTCGAGGAGATCACAGAGCAGCTGCAGCAGATGGGGCAAAGGGAAGTTTGTATGTGGGGGGGGGGGGGGGGGGGAGATAATTTAGCAAGGGAAGTGGTCAAGGCACAAAAGCAGCCCAAGTGCTACGTAAAAAGAGCAAAGCTCTTATTCTATCAGCATCACTCACCACCGAAAATGGAGAAAATGTTTTCGTCAATTCAATAAACCGTACACAGTACGTACACAAACCCAACTTTTTGGGAGAGTGCGGTTTGCGAGCAACTATTAAAGGATGGCCCGGCACACACAAGGGGGTGGGGGGGTGTGGCGAGCACTATGCCTGCCCACCTTTGTCTCTCCCCGGTGTGATGCTTACACAACACACCAGGTACATCTTCTTGGTTCTTTCGGTAGAGTCACGGAGAAGGGAAATAATAAAATAAAACATAATAAAATAATTCTCACGACGTTTCGGCCACAACGCAAGCAGTCGTCCTCAGGTGAAGAACAGGTCTGTCAGAAAGACAGCGTCGGAATTATTTAAATTTATTTTATTTTATTATTTCCCTTCTACGTGACTTTACCGAAAGAACCAAGAAGATGAATCCCTGCAGTCACGAAAACTTTAAATCGAAATTTAAACACCAGGTACAAATTCAAGGCAAAGTGGATGTCAGGAGAGGTCCGTGGGTGGGTATCGAAGCGCAGTGCATTCACCACTGCACCACCACACATGGCTCTGGAAAATGCTCAAAATAAAATTCCAACATCGAAACAGAGAAGCCTTCTTAGGAGTTAGCCAAACATCTCAGTAAGGCTTTCATGGAGTAAGAAAAAAAACCCCATCATTGTTGTTGTTACACAGTTCAGGAATGCTCCCGAATGCGAGCATGCAGACGTTCAAACGCAGGTGGAACGAACCCCTTTCAGGATGTCCTCCTTGTTTTCACTCCACGTCATGAACAGAGAGATTTTCCAGCTTGTGCTGCAGTTCACAGAGTTGACCTTGCGAAGAAATGGGAAGAATAAATAACTTTTACAACTTAGACCACTTCAACCCTGTGCAGCAACTGGGCCCGCACTGGACCGTGGGGTCCAGTTGCACCGCCTGCACACTCAGAATCAAAATGATTATTTATACTGGAGGAGGAATACGGTGTGAGCTATTAAGCTCTTTTTTGAACAGATGTCCATCCAGTTGGGGCACGGGCTAAGCACGTTACAACAACAGTACAAAAACACGATAGTCGTGCAAAGTACAAGGATAGCAAATCGGCCAAAAACACACAAATTAAACTAAACCATCCATCCAGACAGGCAAAGCCCACAGGAAGTATTAAATTATTTTCAGGAGCGACCTGGTCACAGATGATAGCTCAACTCAATAGCTACACCACTACTCCTCTGGTTTAGAGTTTGCATGTTCTCCCCATGGTCACGTGGATTTGCTTTCCCTCCGGGTCCTCCGGTTTATCCCTCCACATTTAGGATCATGTGTTTAGAGGATTTGGATGCTATAAATTTCGCTGCCGCCACTTCGTTGAGCGATCATTTCTGGCCAGGTCGCTTCTGAAAAAGAAGCCAACAGCTCACTGGCCTTTACCTGGTAGAATAAACAGTTGCGTTTTATTTATGTTTAAGTGATTTCCTATACGTTGCACTCTATCGTGTTTTCGTATTGTTTTTTGTAACGGTTTTAAATCGGGACATCTGTGAAAAAAGAGCTTTGTAGCACATCGGATTAATCTCCCAGTATAGAGAGTCGGATTCTGGATGCATTCTGGTAGAGCATGGAAAACTAGTGCCATTGTTTCTGATGCCTGCTCTCTGAATCAACCTCCGTTTTTCCTTTGTTCTCCGAGTGCACCGGCAGTGCGTCTTAACAAACGCTGCAATTTAAGCACGTTACCAAAAAATGTTGGTCATTTTACAAGCATCTGTTTTTCTAAGTCATGCGAAACAATTCCTCAGTCCATGAAGGCTTGCGACCCAAAAGATCTCAAACGTGTGGAAACTCAGATCTTGGAAGCCAAACATGGGGTTGAGTCTGAAGAGTACTTGGATGGGAGAGAGACCGAGCGTTGTCAGGCCGAGGCTGCATTTGGTGGCCAGGAGATGGCAGAAAAACGAAACGCACGCGAGCGGAGCTTTGAGTATCTCTCTCAGATGGTGTTTCCGGGTCGTACCGCGTGTTGTTTGGCAAAATGTCCGGCGTGTCTCTCCTGTGCACTTTTAAATCTCGATTTAAAAAACTAATTCCTTTAGAACTGCTTTGTGTATTTAGTTTGTAGTCCTTCCCCCGCACCTCAGATGAGCACGGTTGGCTACGTACAGCACGAAAGAAGTTCAACAAAACATACGGAACTCCAGAAGCTTCTGGCATGTGGAGCTAAACGTTGGAAAGTGGTGCAGAAAACAACCTTGAAGCTTGGAGAGCTATGCAGCACAACAGCAAACACCCATGCAGCAGGGCTTGAGTGTTATTCTTGTATGCGGCGTTGGTTTTCGCCAGACACCCTGGCTTCCTCCCACATGCCAACACGCTCAGAAAATAAATGCTAGGCCTCCAAATGCAGAACCTCTTGAAGTGGAGTATCGACACTCGGCGAGGCTTTACTGGGTAAATATACACGATCGTGAGATCGTCAACTGCTACGCATTAGCTAGATCAAGGATGGGTTTCAAAGAATGACATTTCACACAATGATTTGGGCTATTAGGCCAAAAATACAATTTCACACTCCAGAAAATTAATAAACAATGCACTTCGCTAACGTTCCGACAAACTTTTTATGATTGAAATACTAATGCAAGTACTGAAGTATTTATATTTCAGATGTAGCTGTGATGAAATGGCTTGCCATGGCTTGGGAGTGAATTTTGAGAAGGCAGATAATCTGGTTTGACAAGCAAAACTTGAAGAGAGTCTATTAAAAAAGAAACGTCTTGCACGTCAGCTACACCACAGACCCCCAACAGTGCCAGGAGAGAGTCAACGTCATGGCAATGGTGAAAAAAAAACACCTTCAATATATTTATGACGACATTTGTAAAAGATTAATATTCCCTTGGAAAACAGCCAGAAGTCAGACTTTCATGCACAGAGATGTATGAATAGTTAATCAAAACCATTATGCAAGGTTGGCAGGGGGCAGGGGGGTAGAAGAATTTGGGCAATGGATTATGCACTTCGCTATGAGAACCTGCAACATGAAGTTCAACTACAGGCCAAGTTTAACATCGGTGGCAACTTAACACCGAAACGGAGCACGGCAAGCGGGTAACATGGGCGTTTGGCCAATCGTCTGCATTGGCTTCAGGTTGCTGATGGCATACATTATAAGGTCGCACTCGTTAAACACACAAAGTGCTTGCCACAAATGAATCAATGCCTTGCTAATCTCGTGAAGGCGCATAAACCATCGCGCTAACTCCGGTCATTCTCACAGCAGCAGCGGCAGCCTTGGGCTAACAATGGAATAAAGACGGTCACTGCATCACGTGCTTTTGCAGCCATCTGGAACGCTCTTCTTTCCGATATTAGGAAGCTACAGGAGCTATGCACTTTTAAATCATCGATTAAAAACTAATTTCCTTAGAACTGCTTTTTGTGTTTAGTTCGAATTAAACACAGTTGGCTACGTATGGTGCGAAAGAAATTCAACATACCTACATAGTCGTTAGTGGCGAGCCAACCCCAAAATAATGTTTGAGAGGAGATGTGCTGTAAGCGCCTTAGAATTGGCAACGCATTTAAAAGCACCATATAAATGAAAGGTTGATCAACATTGTAGCCATTACATTAGAAAGAAAATATTTCCATCGAATGGCAGTACCGAATCTTAAGAATTCTTGAAAAATCTCAAAGGGGGCAAATAGTTACCGAGCTACTTACATGCCTAGCCACGAGACGGTTACTTTAAAGTAATTGGATAGGTAAACATTGAGCGGCGAACATTTTTTTAAAATTATTCTTTTCATGTTTGACGTGGATAATCTCTCGCGATGGGGACATTGTGACGCATGCATCCACGCTCGCTGTGCATCTTGCATGGGCGGTAGATTTAGATGGCCGAAAGCATGGGCAGCAGGTGCAGTGGAGGAAGCTGCTTGTATGTACGTATGTAGAAAACTTATTTCGCATCATGCGTAGCCAACCATGCTGATCGCAAGTGTGCGGGGAATAACAAACACGCTGCCTTCGTTTTCGTTGAGGTGTGAAGAGCCTTACCTCCTTGCAGCCTGGATTATCTACCAGTTCATAATTGCTGGCATGCAGTGGCTGCCCAGCATTCACAGGGTTCAGAACCACCTTGTCTCCAACCACAACCTGGGAAGAAATGCGAATACAAATTAAGATAATGATTTGCATTTCAAAAGATACATTTGGAAGGCAAAAGGGTGAATTATTTTTACATTTGCATATGCACACAGACACACATGTGGCTGGGTGTCTCAAGTCCAAGCAGAGCCAGCACCACTGACATTCTGGGTTCCAATCCGTGTCTCAGCCACTTGATACTAAGCCATGTTTCTCAGGTAGAGTTGATGGCCTTATCTCAGTTAACAGTAAATTAACTTTTTTTTTCACATAAATTTTCGCTCTGACAAATAAACCAATTTTGTTATTTCACTTATGCAATGGACATTTATTTGGTACACATCCGCACCTCCGATTAAACGCGGTTGGCTATGTACGGTGCTAAAGAAGTTCACACACACACAAATGCTGACCAAAAACACGCAAATGGCATCTGCGGCGAGGTGCAGACGTGCGCCTCGCTCTTCTGCTCCAGCGTCAACCAAACCGCACGCGCGGGCCTGTGCCCACAAAACGGTCGTCAACGACGCCGACCGTCGGTACGATTGACAAGGTACAAATGAACGACTACGCCTCTCGGTATTACAGGGAGCGCGTGCACGATGGGACTCACGCTGTCGCCCATGGAGCGGAGCTTGTAGAAGGGCTGGACGTAGAACCAGGATCCCTCGTTGCCGGAGCCGTTCAGCACCACGCGCATCGCATTCTTCTCCAGCAGCGCGGGCAGTCGCTTGTTCACCGTCATGTACTTGTTGCTCTTCATGTGCAGCAGCTGCGGACCGCAAACGGCGCAGACACGCAGGGGAAGCGCTCGTTAAGCAGAGAGTGTGGAGGTGTAACGGTAAGCATGCTGGAAGTGCGATCAAGAGGTCGCCCGTTCGCCCGGACATTTTACTCGCTGCAAAGAACCGTAGTGACACGACCGCACTCTAGGACACCTGGCGCCACACTGTGCCACACGCCCTCCCGCATGGCTTCTGGGAACCTGTTAACAACCCAAAGTACGCGCAGCTGGGGTGACAGAGTTGCAGTGCTCTTTTCGGCGTGCAACACATGAAACGTGCAAGATTGTGAACGTTGAAAGCATGAACAGTTTCCGTGGTATATTTTTGTAATTTGCCATTAGGAATGACAGTGGATTAAAGAATTCATCGACTTGGCGACTAAAAATAGCATCGTACCATACACGCACAGAATCGCGAGTGCAAAAATTTGCAATGTATGCAAATTATAGTGAATGTAAATGATATACCGTTAACAAAATAGTACAAAAATTTAAATGAAAAGCTCGTGAACTGAATCTAACAAATCATGATCATTTATTTAACTTCAAGAGGAGGGTGTAGGGTGGGGTGAATCGTTACATTACTAATTAGGATTGGAGAGAAATCGAACGTTGAAATTTGCAAGTGTCCACTTTTTGGTCACCCTATCCATCCCAGCCAAGACAATTCGCATCTACATAAGCATCATCATCACAACATCACGCATTTTCTCCTCCAATTAAGAATTTAGTTTTTTTGATTAAAAGATTTATTTTTTCTCCCTTAATTAAAACCAGTAAAGTTTAGGCTTTGTTTGTGCAAATTAAACTTATCGGGACTTTCGGTAACCATGCCATGCATTTGTCACCGTGGCAAAATCGATTGCCCCCTTTCAGCCAGACAGACAAAAAGACAGACTGAAAATCTTGAATTTGACTAAAACTCGTATCCACTATCGAGAACTGCACATAGTGTACAATGGAGTGCTCTTATCGTCGTTATATTAGGCAACCCAGAAAGGTCAAAACTGGTCTCAAGTTTGTCTGTTTAAACAAATTCTGCTGGATAACAGTCAACCGAGGCGTGGGTCACATGACACCCTGAAAACCCATGCAAACGAGAGGTTCCATGTCAAGGGATTATACAGCAACAATGGAAAAACATGCATGTGCCTGTTTATCATTCAATTATACATTTTAATATTCATATATTTAGACACTCCTAATAATTTTGCACCTATAAAAAAAAGGCACTTTTCACAGACATTCTCAAGGCGCTGGTGTGGTTAAAACACGGCGCTATAAACAACTCAGTGGCCAGAGTTCAATTCCTGGCCATGGTTCGAGGCCTTCCGTTGTGTTTGCCATCCTGCACTGACCAGTGTGATGAAGTACGGTTCAAACAATCCCTAGGAATGGACACAGCATGGGCAAGCCTTTATGCTGCAGTGGATGGACAAGAGGCTTTAAAATGATATACGAACAGTTTTCAAAAATATTTTTAGGACACAGAAAGCGGATCTGAAGGCGATTAAAAAAAAGCATTGGAAATAATGCAGCATCGCCGTCAAAAGGGCGTTTCGAACTATGGATTACTATTTAGATAAAAAAAATCACCATCTGTGTTTTCGGTTGTACCCGAGAGTGCGCCTACAAAATAAGAAAATGGTAACGCTGAGCTCATCCTATAACTACAATTAATAATAAAGCTTTTTAGATGAGGTGGGTTTCTTTGTCTTATGAGAATATCTTCCAAGCAAAACATTTCTTCCCAAAATGGAGAGAAAGCTACACTTTACAAAGTCACCAGCTCTAAATGTATTCACTTATAAACCCTACCTGGTGCATTAAAATAATATATATTTTAGGTATTCGTACAGGATTTAATTAACCAAAAAAAAGGTAGTCAAATGCAAATATACACAGTAAACCATACGCTGTTTATTCAAACAGTGACGGGCAAAGTGCCCCGTATGACGGCCATCTGTCTCGCGCGGTGTGCAAAAGGCCTGGCTGTTATTTGCAAGGCAAAAATAATAACAAGACAAAAACAATTCCAACAATGTTCAATAGCATGGGATATAAGAACACAGGGTTATAATGCTTAAATAGCACGGGTTTAGTGTTTAATAGCCTTGGGGGTTTTGAACCTGCAAGGCCCTGTGGTTCCACTGTACGTCATGTTCCAAAAATTCTACCCACTCACATATGCATGAGATGTGAAATCGTACTCCATTTAATGAGTAGACCCCCCGGGGGAGATGTCTTTTGGAGTCTTGCACCCAAAGGAATGGGAAGTCACTCACAGAACAATAATCCTCCGGAATTAATAAAAAAAGGAGAAGCGAGGAATTGGGCCTTTGAGATTTGGTAGAATTTTGAAGCCCCTTCGAGATTTGTTTCAAATTCTTAAAGAATAATACGATTACACACACAGGTACGCGCGTGCACATAGACTTACTTTGTTCTAGGTGTATAAATATGCCGTGCAGCGGGATTTAACCAAATGCAAAGAGCTTATAAATTGTGAGCAGTGCACTGACCTGAACCACGTTGCCATACTGGATTACAGTTCCAAGCAGTTTCTTGTTTTCAGACTCATTCTGTTTCTTCTCAAGGTCCGCAGCATGCTGTGTTGACAGAGGCACGTCAAGTCATCGGCTGCAAGGGTTACAAACTTTAAGACCCACGTGGGATTACAACTCGCAAACCTTAAAGCACTGGTTGCACATACATGCATATCACCAGCATCGATTAAAATCTTGCTCATAATGCAATAATGTAAAAAAAGTATGAGCAATGTCGCGGTGCAGCACAATTCACACATCTGTTGTGTACACACATAAACATTCCAATGTCATTGTTACAAGTGGAAATTCTGCGTTGCCAGATATCATTGATGCCCACGACTCGTTTATTTTACCAACACAACCACCGCGCCAACTTCCTTCCGCTCACAAGCCACAAAACCACAACAATCATTTTTTTGCCAAAACTATAAAAAACCGCACCGCATGCACCACTATTGTTTTTCCCCCTCTTCTTTCCCAAGGCTAAATGTCGCGCAAGAACGGGCATCAATTCGAGATGCCCGTTTAATTGGCCGGCTGCCCATCTGCTGGTCATTAGGCGATTCCCAAAGCGGGCCGCGAAATGTATTTGGCGCTGCTTTACGGACCCATTCGAATTGTGACGAGTGACCCACTGTGACGTTGCAGCGCCGCTCGCAAAACGAGCCACATCGCGGCGCCACGATTTGGCGCTCGGGAGGCCGACAGCGGCCACCATCGAATGTAATGGCTCGATTGACGGCGGATGCAAGGTCGAGGAGGAAGGAGGATTGTGTGAGATGGTGGATTTTTAAATCCTTTGTTAAGTTCGCTTGCTTGCAACCGTGCAAATCTTTCGGTCGTTTTTTTAACCCACTTCCTGTGATCCAATCGAGCTGACATTTTGCACACCAGACTCGTTGTGCGTGACAATGCATTTTCGTGAAATTTTTTTTCCAAAATTTTACACTATAGGAAAAAATTAATTATCTTTAATTACCAATTGCTTAATGGTGGCAGCCATTCATCCGACCCATAGGTGGCAGCCATCTCAAGCCAGAGGACGAGAGGACTCTAGCCGCCACGCATATAAAGGATTTAGTGAAAAACTTTGTTTTTACGGGTTAATTTTTTTTGTTTAATTATATCAGAGCAACCAACCAACCTTGAAAAGGTTAAATTGCAACCCTGCAATTTCCTTGCGCACACCACTGCTGGATAAAAAAGGCCCTACTGGAGGGAGTTCTCGATAACCCTTTGAGGGCATTTGGCCTCCATCTCAGAAAGAGGTAGGTTTATACCCACACTACACGAGACCGGTTGATCGCCGAACTGAGGTGAAGAGATTTATACCGCCGGTTGGACAGTGGTGGTGGGGGAGGTGGGTGGGTGGGAATTTAAGAAACTTGGCAATTGTTTCAGCTGCCATGCCGGGAGAAAGAGCAGGTGACCCTTGCGTTGAAATTCTAGTGTGCCGACCATTTACACCATTTACGACTACAATGAGCCAAGAATGTCTGTGCGTCCCGCGCGTGACGTCACTCCACGTCGACCAGCCTCCCTCAATAATCACGACCAGGTGACGTCTTCCAAATGGACACCCCCCCCATTAATAATAATTATCAGGTGACGTCACTCCACATGGGGGGCCGAGGCACCTCCTCCCCCCTCCTCAGCGTCAACTCACAACCCTCACTACAAAGGCAGAACCTTCACGTCACGCGATCTCCGTAACGCTGTTGAGACCGAAGTAAAGAGGACATCATGATGAACAAGGGATTATAACATTTAAATGAAATAAGTCTGTCACCGCGACCTTGCAAATTTGCACACGAATGGTTGCATTGAAAATCACGTGGCGGTCTGCTTTTCACTTGCAAATTTCAGATTTACTGAAATACACCCGTCTTTGGACGGGCAAAAGGCTAGTATATAACAAGAGTCAGCACACTATGGCTCTTTAAGGACCGCTTTGGTGACGTTATTAATTAAAAGGACCGTTTCTTATTCACGTGCTTTGCGGCTCTTGAAACGTTGAGCGTTTTACCGAATTCTAAAAGAAATAAGTCTCGTTATTTTGGTTGCCAACGCCTTGGTTTATAAGATCATAAAAAAAATCAGCATTAACTTCGGTGGTTCTCATTAAAATAAAAACAAGTGCGATGCGGTGTTGACATCCGTGCTCAAATTACAAATAACGACGGCCCAACATCAGTGGCGGGTGATCTCCAGAACCGGTGCCCATTAGCCAATCATTGTCCACACTCCACCTAGAATAATAAGCACACAAATTCTATGCAAATATGTATATAGATAAAGCAAAATACAATAAAAGCGAATGACAACTCACAACATTGATAGAATGCATTCAAAAAACTATAAAAGCCAAGATAATGATGACACTCACAGGATAGGTATACTCTAATGCACACACCATTGTTTAGCAACAGAAATGGACAAAGCAACCGAGATTGTAGGGCAATAAAAAAATCAGTAAAGCACCAACAGCCTTAACCATGTGTAAGCAAAGATAAGGTATAAACACAAAAAACAAAAAGACACGCAAAAAACACGGTGCAAACTATATTTAGCTACACAACCATCTCCCTCCCTGCACAGGTAGATTAAGGGTTCGTCATGCGAGCATTACTGCCGTTCTGCATGCCGGCATAGTACGGCCCATGACGCCTTTTGTTAAGACCGATGAAGCTCCGGAGTTTCAGGCTGGCACGGTGAGCAAAACAAGCCGGTGCACAAAGCGCACCTGGGCTCCCCCCTCCCCAGATCCCCAGGGCTCGACGTACAACATCCATCAAGTCTAGATTTGAAGCTTTCGTGACTGCAAGGATTCATATTCTTGGGTTTTTTCGGTAAAGTCACATAGGTAAAAAAATTAAAATTAATAAAAGTAAAATAAAATAAAAATAAAATAAAAATCATGACATTTCGGAGGCAACACAAGCTTCCGTCTTCAGGTGGACCTGAAGACGGAAGCTTGATACAGCAAGCGTGCTGTGACGGTTCCTCCTGAAGACGGAAGCTTGTGTTGCCTCCGAAACGTCGTGATTTTTATTTTATTTTATTAATTTTAATTTTTTACCTATGTGACTTTACCAAAAAAACCCAAGAATAAACATCCATCAACCTCGCCACGCCGGGGTGACCAAAATCAACTGGGCGTCGATACCACCCCCCGTTTCCGTGCGTCGTGCTCTGATCCACTGCCCGGACCTGCGGCCGCGCACGATGAGGAGTTCGCCTGGCCGCTGCCCACAGCGAGCGCCGGATCGATGCCGCGACGATCGCTCGCGGCGCCCGGCATCTACCGCCGAGCAAATGAGAGAATTCCCAGAGCCGCACCGCGGTCTGGCTTTCTTGGCGCCTCGATAAAAATCAGCTGGCGGAAGGGCGTGATAATAATTGAGTGTTCTTATATAAAAAAGATCTAAAAATTGATTTAGATTTTTTTGTTTTGCCGGCCCCTGTTCGTCTGTTAACCTCGCACACTTGCGCTCTCTCTCGCGTCGATATTGCCCTTTCTCAAAATGGTACACTACGAGTTTCGTCTGCTTTACGTCAAAAGGGTGATAGCATGCGCCCATGTCAGCCAAGGTCATAATGAGAAGGCAATGACCTATCCTGGGACTCCTGCAGCGTTTCCCCACCCCCACGGTAGACTCATGAGTGACAGATCTCAGACTGTAGGGCTGCACCGTCGCCGACTTAACAGCACGATCCAACCAGACAACACAAACTCACATTTATTCATTAATTAGTTTCGTAAAAAAAAGGCAAAGCGCATATAACAAGGTGACATTTTGGGTGAAGGCCCTTTAGCTGGAAAATTAGAACAGATTGGCTATGTACGGTGTGAAAGTCCACCACACATGCAAGGCAAATGCTCTTGAGAATTTCCACTGTGAAAATTCTACAAATGGGCCATTTTTTTCTCTTCTTGGTTCTTTCGGTAAAGTCACGTAGAAGGGAAATAATAAAATAATAAAAAAACAAAATACAATTCTCACGACGCTTCGACCACAACGCAAGCAGCCATCCTCAGGTGAAGAACAGAGCTGTCGGAAAGACAGCGTCTGAATGGGCCATTGCCTGAAACGTTACCAAATATAAAACGAAACTTAAAAAAAAAATTACCAGGTAAAGCCCACCGAGCGATATGGCTCTTTCAGAAGCGACCTGGTCACAAATGATAGTTCAATGAAGGGGTTTAATCATGTGGAAATTTAAAGCAGCCATATAATCTAAAGAGCACGTTTATAAATGTGGAGGAAAAAAGGATAAAAATCCACACGAGCACAGCGAGAACATGCTAACTCCATAAACAGGCACCAGGGTTGAGATTGGAGCCACAACCTCCTGTATACTAGGCGAGGCAGTTAACATCTCACCACCATAGCTACATATATAGATAGCTCCACTTTAGGGTATTATTATTGATGAATGCGTAAAGTTAATCTTTATACTTGTGCACCGATGCCAATGAAGTACCAGATTTGTTCGATTCAAAAACCGCATTACAACTTGGTTAGGTTCCCAATGAAATCGGCCCCTCTCTCGAATTGAGGAATCATCATGGAAGCGTGGGTCACAATCAAACTTCAAGACTCGATCCTCTTGTAGAGCACACCGTTGGTTTCCACGTTGCCTGGGCTTTACAAAAAAAAAGCACCTACTTATGAATGAAAACAAATATTTATAAGCACAATTCAATGGCCATATTGTGAGCACAAGGATAAATGTTTGTTTTAAAATTGACAAATCTTTAAGATGTATGGGAAGGTGGGCCAATGCCTTTGATTATTTATGGTGATGGAATAAACACGAGTGAACTGAAAAATCTACTCGTGGAGAAGGGAGAACACTACCACACAGGTCACCCGAAACCCACTTCCTTCAGTCACTCAAGTGCACCGTTGCCCTGCCGATGGGCAGCTCACAACACACCGTGCTCCATCCGCGTGCGATCCACCAATCCTACATGTCAGACACTGGATTAGACAAAGATCCCCGAAATAGCCTAAACACACGTCTGGGTGGGTGGCCAGCACCACGTCCGGCCACCTTTTTTCTCCCGTGTGCTGATGTTTTACACACCACACCAGGTACTCATTCGAGGCACAGTAGACCTAGGGGAGGCCCAGAACCGTTTCCAATAATCGTCACTGTCGACGGAACGGGAGTTGAACCTGGATCGCTGGGTTCATAGCGCAGTGCACGATCCGCTATGCCACTTCCAACACCAGCACCACCACGCCCGTCCAGTGGCATGACACCACAGCACAAACTTTAGAGCTAGAGCGTTAACAGAAGTTAAAGAAAAGTGTCTCAAACAATGTGTTCAAGGCTTTAGCTTAAAAATAAACAAACGCATGTAGACCCCACGTTTATTATGACAACGTGCAGGTTTTTCAAGCGCGGTTTGAACTTGTAAAGCGATCGTGTTGAAAACAAGATAAATCAAGCAGCACCATTCCATAACTTAACACAGCATTCGTCGGTGCGTATTTCGCCCCTGCGGGCATTGCTGCATGTTTGCGACGATGCTGCAGCGGGCAGCAGCAGCAGCTTCTGCTTCGTAAGCCCAACTCAAACAAGCCATGCTTCCCCAGGTGAAACGGGAGCTGCTGAGCTCTGCCGGTTTGTCGAAGCTTCAATGGGATTAGCGAGAGTTGTTTGGGCCTGCCAACGAGTCCCTTAATTAATGAGCAACTTTCAATTCAATTGAGCTGCTATGGCCGGGTGGTTCAAGGGTCAGAACGGCAAGCCGACAGCGCCAAGAGCCTGGGTTTGAATCCGGGTTTAGCCGTCTGTTATTAAAACAGGGTTCAAAGGTCAAGTGCAGTTTGCTTCCGCACCATCACTAACAAGGGTATTTAAAAAAAACAAATTCTAGGATTATTTTGTAAATTTTACTTGCCACATTCTAGGTCAGAAAAATTAAATAGTGTGTTATGGGTTCTACTGCAATGCAGCAAACAATGTGGAACAACTTTTTACATGCCTAACGAGTGTGATATAGGAGGCCTAAGTGAATGGAAGTAGTTCCGGTGTGACCGGCACCGTTCTGCCACAGGGTGGTATTCTACTCGCCGAAAGACTTCCGGATGGATATTCTTCATCGCATAACAGAATGCCGATAGCCCCATTGGAATGTAAATGAATAATGAAAAGCACATTGTACAGAACATGAAACAAATATATTCCAGGGCACAATTTAGAATTTATGGGCAGCATAATTTCGTGGTTGTAAAAGGTTTCGGTTTGGCGTTTTAACATCTTAAAACCTGTTTTGTTGCCAGAAAAAAGGGGAAAACCCTATTATCATATTTTGGTACTGGCAAAGGAGGTCCCATGATCAAGCATCATTTTTGTTGACGCAGTTGCATATTTCCACGGATGTTGAGAGGCACACAGGATGTGCGCGTCTCTCTCTGCTTGTGTGTCTGTCTGTGTGTCTCCGTGTCTATGTTTGGTCTTTCACAAATTTAGCAATCTTTGGAAGAACGTAATCAACCAGGTGGGGTGTTGACTGTTGTATTGCATTATATTTCCAAGTTTACCATGTTAGTTCTCATTCATTTGTACCCGATGATGGTTGCTTGTTGCAATACAAATCCAGCAAAGTGCGTTTTTGAGATACCCCATTACACCAGGATGGTGAAAATTAAAACGTAATTGTTTTTAAAGGCCGCTTGTGTTTTTTGATTATAATTAAGCTTAAAAAGGGACTTGAGTTTTTGGTCTAAACTACAACAGTGGACAGGAATGGCTTGCACACACAATATTCAGAGTGGACACTCATTGCCTTCAGAACAGGTGACGGTATTTAGAACATCCCCCCAGCCCAATTACCTGGCCACTGCGGCAATTTAACCAGCCACTTCCGGGCTCACCAGTTCATTGTTATGTGTGCCAATGAGTGAGCTCTTCTCTATTCATGACTATTAAAAACGCAACGCATTTTGAGCACCATCAATCTATTTTTGGATAAAGAACTCCGTGCCGCGTAGTTGGGGGGGGGGGGGCGAGTTGTAGGTGGGACCACCATACCACCTCACCACGCTGGTCGGGCACAGGTTAGCAAAGGGTTTGAAGAACCGTGAACAGTCTAGGCAATGCTCGCTGCTAAATGTTAGCCGTAGGGCTGGGAACCGAACTCAGGTTGCCGGTTCAGCGCACCAACCATCGTCACCTAAGCGTATACGATGTAAATCAGTGCACCTATACCTTTGACCACAAAACTGGATAAATCCAAAATCAAACGGCAATTAAAACCCTCATTGCCCGGTAAAACAAACCGGCAAATTCGCCCCCCCTTCCCCCTTCTCTCATCATCTCTCCAACACTTGGGCCGAAAGTCCGGTCACGCACGGCTTCACGAGAATTCCCGACGACCCATTATCCCTCGGACAGTGAGCGATGGGCCAAGGTGTTTTCTGCCGCAGCCCTCGGGCATGTCCGGCGGCGCCTAATACGCTCAGCGGCAGGCCCCAGGGCAGGCAGACGGCCAAGGCTTTGCCAAGGACGGCAGCCTCATCAATATTGGCGAGCGAGGTCACACTGCTCCATCACCGCTCGCCTACGTTACCCCCCCCCCCCCCCTTCTGCGAGTGGCCCAACCGCACGCGCATTATGGTTGCAACAACCTTAAAAAAAGGTACGAAAAAAACAGGATGCATCATGGGAAGTATTATCGCACAACATCATAGGGGAGAACTACGTGTAAAAGCACAGTCTTAAGTGGTGGACCGCTATTATTATTATCCCACAACTGATAAAAACAGGACATTTAATATCTTGGGAAAATGTAGATTCCTCAGGACAGCTGCTTCAACAAACTGGACAAATCCCGAGGAAACCAGAATAAGTGGCAACCATACACAGCACACGTGGTTTATTGCAGACCATTTAAGAGGGCGCATTCTCTCACGGACGCACCATTGTTGTGCAATTTATTCATTCGAGCTCAGGGTCAACGCCTCGTGCCGTTGCTTTACGAAAGCCGCCCTGGCGTGCCTGAACTGCGATTCAACCGAGAGCACGGCTCAAGAAAGACTGTACACACCACGAGGTCACTGGTGGCTGCACCACAATCCTTTGTTGTTTTGCCAAAAGAAGCAAAAAAAAGGGGCTGACCAACCCATTTTGCAGAGCTACATAAACTCACAGGAAATACTGTCGTGGCACACACCAAGTCAAGGATATTGTACCCCGAGTTCAGGGCCCCCACCACCAGTATCTATTCACGTAGCCGGGCTTAAGTGCCAGCGTTGCACACTTCAGATTACAGTAGTAGCCCCATGCCACCCGTTCAACAAAATACCTGCGGATCGAGCTGTGAGATTTGTGCATGACTCTTATGCGACTAAAAGATTCCACCCTGGACAATTCCACCAGATATCACAATTCTTCTATGGGCGTTTCCCACTTAAATATCCATTTATATAAACGAACAATCATCCATGTGCGTGAAAACAGGCATGCACGAGCATGCATTTAATTTTTTTTATTCGGTACAAAGTTCTTCAAAAAGGTGGGTTGTGCATGACCTCATGCCACTATCAATTCTGCCATAAATCGCGTTATATTTGTTTATTATATCTATTTTACTATTTATTATGTTTGTATACACTTTCTTTACAAGGCGGGAGAGCAGCGGTGAGCGCACTGTTCTATTCACCGGGCGACCAGAGTTCAAGTTCCAGCCATGGCTAATCTCAGCGAGGTGAAGTACGGTCGAACACCCTCCACAACCAGCATGGCATGATCCTCATCCAGCAGTGGACTGAACAGGGCCAAGAATTATAATTGTTTAACCGTTTTGTGTGGCTACACTGTAAAGGAGTTGCAATGTACATTATCCAGAGGCTTAAAGATTGTGTAAATATAAATATTATTATTTTATTATGTTTTTTATTTTTTATTTTATTATTTCCCTTCTATGTGACTTTACCAAAAGAACCAAGAAGAAAAATATAGATGTGTTGTTAAAACCGCTACCACCTGGCAGTGGTGGTGGGTTTAAAAAGATACATTTATATTCACGCAATCTAACCCAAAAAAACCTACATGGTTAATATTGGTCACGCAAGCCTGTGTGTTAAACGGAAATGTATATTATAAAAAGAAATATAAATTATGAACTAATATTCTTAAGGAATTCTAATAGTGTTTAAGAGGCGCGCTGTGTATATGCAGAAAATCGCACCACACACGCACACACACGGGAAAACCGAAAGTCATTCCTTGTAAAAACACACCACGCCCTCAGCACGGTTGGATACGAGGGGAGCACAGCCTGGCTGGTAGCAGGCCAGATAAGGGTTTCTGCAAAACAATGTTGTTTCAGGGAATGGGGCAGGGCGAGGGCAGGGGAGGAGGGATATGGGACGAGACAGACAAAATAAAATGATTAACCGTACTTGAAGTTTCTTGAGAAGCAGACTGTCCGTAGAGCTGTGGATCGCTGGCTTGGCCGCCTTCAGGAACTGCTTCTGAGCCGAGTATCTGTTCATGGGGCACATCCTAAAGAGGCAGTCTGCACAGAGGGGAACAGGGAGCAGGATGACGAGCATCAGAGAAGGCTGAGGATGGGTGATGGTGGTTCCTGACGTTTATGACCCTGCGGTCCACCGTCAAATCTCAAAAAATAACCCCCCACCACTGTGCCCCAATAATATAAAACAAATTAAGCTACTGTACTCTGAAAAGTGCTGTACAATATAGAAAACAGCAACCATAAAAACTATTGCGAATTGCATTTTATTAAATAATCTAGGGAGTTTAACAAAAGGACAGTAAAGAACCATTGTTTTGCTTTGTGAACAAAGCGAAATCTGCATCAGCCCTGTCGACCACTTCCCACAGCCTTGCAGATCACCAGCGGTCCACGGACCAGAGGTTGGTAACCTCTGACAGCTACCAACTACAAGCGTGACATAAATGTGCTCACGTGACGGAAACACCCAATAAAATGTGCCTGCAGGCCACCGGGGCGTGCTTTGGTCACTTCAATTGTGCATATAAAAGCCCTCATAGCGTGCCTTTTCATTTTCCCCTCGTGGGCATCTTTGTTTTTACGCAAAAAAGCACCAGCAGAAGCAAAACTACTACCTGGATGTTATTGTATTGTTTTCGCCGGTCGTTCCGAGCCATTGCTCGGTAGATTGTTTTGTGTCACTAGTCTCTGGGTGGCGAGCGAACGAGCAACTACGAATACATGAATACAAACCACTGCACAAATACTGCAATGCAAAATTTCAATTCTGCCTTTTTTCTGAAATTTGAGAACTACATTTGCAAGACAAAGTTATATTTAAAACACTGCATTTTCAATGTCCGACTGGTGAAGGCAGTTTTGGTTACCATTTACACAATGATGTTATTTTGTGGCTGCAATAACTAAAAAATAATGTATTTTATTGCTCATTGGCCCAATCACGTGATGGAATGTTAATTTCACACTCGCAGCGGAACACGTTGTATTGGATGACACCAGCTAAAGTCACAACATCTGAAGTAACTTCAAATTAGAGATAACAAAATAGCTGTACAATGCACAAAACATATGCAGCAGCGAGTTGTTCACACAAGCCAGGAGGCAGACACCAAGAGAAAACTTCTAATGAGTCCTGCAGAGTGTGTTTTGCCGCATGTCAAACCAATTTGTTTTCAAATTCGAAGAGCTTGGAATTATCCGAATTAATTATATAAAACACAAATTGCGACGAGCTTATTTTGTTGGAGTCATCAACTCACCTAGACTTCCAGAGGTTTTTTTTGGGTTAGATCGCACAAATATACGTGTAGTGACCCTTCAACACACCAGTTAGTGCTGTATTAGTGACGAATTGGCATGTTGTTTACGTGACAACCCTTACGAGTTGGCTGTGTCTGGTGGTGGCGGGTTTAACACCACATTTATATATTTAGGCGATCCAACCCCCCCAAAAAAACCCCTCTATTATGGATGATATTGGTCGCTAAAGCCCGTGCGTTAAACTCACCTACACTTGAGAATGCTATTTTGAAATCACGGGCAGTGTCAAAAACCGAGATTTGTTACCCAGGATCAAGCGATGGGCTCGATGCTCGGACACCGAGAGCCAGCGAGCCACTTCAAGGGAGGTGATCGTTACTGTCCAGGGGAACGTATGGCACTTGGACAAGCAGAAATTGAGTTGAAGTCCACGCAGAGTATTACGCTTTCCTTGTGGTCTGTGTTACGCAGGTCAAGGATAGCTGTCTGAAAGCCAAAGGAAAAAAAAAAAAATCAGCCCTGTAAATCCCATTGCTTAAATGAAGGCCTCCTCTTGCCATGTTGGTCATATTATTGGTTCTTTCGGTAACGTCACGTAGATTGGAAATAAGAAAATAAAATAAAAAAAACATAATAAAATAATTCTCACGACGTTTCAGCCACAATGCAAGCAACCGTCCTCAGGTGAAGAACAGGTCTGTCAAAGACAGCGTCCGTGGCCGAAACGTCGTGAGAATAATTTTATTATGTTTCATTTTTATTATTTTATTATTTCCATTCTACGTGACTTTACCGAAAAAATCAAGAAAATAGTGCTCATGTTCGCTTGACCATACTTAACCATGCTAGTCGACAAGAATCGGGAAGGATCAGATTGTTGCCACTTTCCATTAGCCATAGAAAAGAATGGAATTCTCAACATGCTCGTTTCTGAGCGCATATCAGCCAATAACTAAAATTGGAAAATGCGAGCCTTACAATTGACATTCGTTTCCCTTCCCCGTTAGCTCATCCCGTGTCCCTCACCGAATTGCACAGCACCTCGGTACGCAATTATGTTTGCTCACTTCTAAAAGCTACTTTGTAAATGTGCAACTTTAGCGACACATAAAAAAAATCGAATTACTGCAGAAAAAAACGTGTCAAGTGCTCTTACACTCACAAGGCCTAATATGCCAAATTAAATTATCATAGAGACTTGAGAGAAACATTTATCTAATAACGCCGCATTATGTAGCTATTGCTGCAAACATGACGACACCGTTAGCGAAACACGAGACGTCTCGTGTGTAACACGAGACCGACTCTTATACGGGATGATAATTAAATCAGTGGCAGGCACCAGCAGCATTCAGTTGTACATTACATCAGGTTTGTACTGGTCTTGATAAAAAGGCGGCTAGATTACTCCAGACTCAAATGGAAACTACGTACAGCACTCAACGTACCACCTCATTTTATACTTTTTGTTCACAAGGAATGCGCAATGAATGTAAATACGTGAAAAGTGCAGCACTTTCTACGATGACCGTGTTATCCTGAACAAGTTTATGGATACATTTCATTTTTAAATCCTTTATATTAAGTTCACTTGCTTGCTTAAGACCGTGCAAATATTTCAGTCGTTTTTTAACCCACTTCCCGTGATCCAATCGAGCTGACATTTTCCACACAGACTCGTTGTGCGTGACAATTAAATGTTCGTGAAAATGTTTTTCCAAAATTTTACACTTTTTAGGACAAAAATATTATATTTAATTACCAATTGCTGAATGCTGCCATGCAATCATCTGATCCATAGGTGGCAGCCATCTCAAGCCAGAGGACAAGAGGACTCTAGCCGCCACACATATAAAGGATTTATAGTGAAAAACTGTTTTTACGGGTTATACTTGTTAAGCATCTTCTTCGATACTTAACATCTCCCAACGTAAAACAGAGTAGGCCGATTCAAAACCGTAAATTTTCAGTCATGATAACAATTCAAAGCGATTAGTGTCCCAGTTTAAAATAACTATCTCCAGATGAAAGTTATTTAAAACCAGCGATACACAGCACTGCTCCTGACGCAGTTATCTGGCTTGACCACCTGAACGCGAGATTGTAGTTGTTGTTTTGCATCTACAGAAGCTGTATGAAAGAAAGAACATTTAATCTTTCTCCCTGCTTTGATAAAAAAGGAGCATTTCCCAAAATAAATCTCCTTATATTTTTTTATAAATCGTGAGGTACCTCTGGAAGAGCTTGGGACAAAAGCATTTCCCACCATACCCTTAAACCGCCCTTACAAAAATGGGATCACACCTTTTTTTATTCAATATTAATACAAAAACGCACATCGCCTTGGGCACCGATATTAAATCACCAGGAAAATCCACGGCTGCAAGAAGACCCCCCCCCGCCCCCCCCCCGCCCCGCGAATCGCTGGGTTACATTAATGGTTCGCGAGGTGGCGAACGTTCGGTTCCCCATGAGCAGATCTCACCGGGAGGGAGGGGGGGGGGGCCTCGTCAATGTGACGAAATCTTCTTGGGTTGTTGGCCTTTGCACCATTTTACAGGTTTAATTTGCGTTCAAATTTAGAGCGGGTAAAACAAAAAAAAGGTACGAGTTATGTTTCTGTGCAAAAAAAACATTAGGAGACTTTCAAAAAAAATAATGCGGTACATTTACATTTTGCTCCAATTCGTGTGCAGCATAGCCCTTTATTTAAAAACGCATTAATTAGCTCTGTACATTTGTCAATGGCAGTTTGGGGGAGGGGTGGGGTGCAATATAACCAACAAAAATAATCCAATGGGAGCAAACGTTTGCATAATGTCGTGGTTGGCCAAAAACTGGAGACCGAGAGAGCTCTAAAAAAGGAATTGGCTCGGCATCACAGCACGCTGCCAGCAGTGACAGTGGCTCCCCGGTCCCTCTCGGTGATGTCATGTCCAGACGTCACACGCCATGCGTCATCTCACCGCGAATCTTGAAATGTAGTATTTAGTACAAACGGCCTATGGGCATATTGTTTCTCGCATACCTGGCTGGCAAGGGCGCAATTGTTGTTGCGAATTAAATCATTCTGGCACTCAAATGTATTTGCACAGAATTGTAATCAATATCTTTATTAGTTTCATCTCTTCCAATATCTCAAATGGTGCAAGTTATTATCAGCTGGCTGGCATGTTATATTTTAGAAGAAGTGTCCAGTAATGCGATTGGAAGCAGCATTTTGGAACAAAATCTTGAGTTGACTCAAGACAAAGCCGTAATCAAACCTCAGAATAAAACAGCCGCTCATTTTTCAATTTCAGAACCACCACAAAGTGACAGCTACACATTGCGGTTAAAATATAATTACAGTGGCCAGGGAGCAGCTAAAGGTTGGCATTGTCAGAACTCTGTGTGGTGGCCACCACCGAGATCGACCAACAACAAATCACACGATTAAACCAGAAGGCCAGAGTACGGAATGCATTACGACATCAGAGCATTGTCATAAGTTGTGGCCTTGTGGTAAGATTTCATGCAGCCGAGTGAATTGGTGTTCGCATATTGGGCTGTTGTAAAGTTATGAGAAATCTTAAAAAGGGGGATTTAATGTACCGGAAGTACAAGTGCAGCAAATTGATATTTTCAGCAGTGATCATGAATACAAATGGCACAAAAAAGAAGAACTTTTATTTTTTATTTAATGCTGCTTTGAATTCACAGCTCTAGGAGAAACATTCCTGATGTGAGACCAACTTGCAATGAACACTTGTCAGTGGGGCACCACTTCAGTTTGATCAGAAGGCAACTCTCATAAGTAGTTTTCCCATTCCAAACTTTACAAAAGGTGATAATGTAAAATGTCATCATCATGAAATTGTACCAACAACATTACTGAAATAACTGGAAAAGCACACTATGAAACCAAAGTAAAAACGTGTTCCCCTATAACACAGGCACAGATTGGGTGAAAAGACCACTTGCCCCAATATCTACTGTAATGCAACCTCAAGTGCAGCAACTGCCACGTTGCCCTTGAGCGACTTAAAATAAACGCATCACCACAATTCCCTATAAACAGTGGGCCAATATCTAAATAAATCAAGTACACAACAGGACAAGGGTTGCCCACATTTTGCTACAGAAAGCACAAAAATCAGCCACTTGTGTACATGGGCCCTGTAGTGTGGATGCATACGGGCCCAACAACGCGGATGCGGGTACGCCACATATGGTTCTCAGGACGCAGACGTAGCAGCAGTGAGCATTGTTGAATATACTGTTTGTACTGGTCTTGATAAAAAGGCGGCTAGATTAGTCCAGACTGAAATGGAAACTACGTACAGCACTCAACGTACCACGCAGCAGTGAGCATTGTTGAATATACTGTGACGATGAATCCTTATGACAAATGAATCTAGTTCACAGTTGTCCATCACTGCTGCTGTCAGTTGGTGACATTTGTTCAGCTTTTTTTAATGGTGATCTAAGATGAGAGGACCACAGTGAATTTGTTTAGGAAATGCAGATGGTTATTTTTGAATATGCACAAATGGCTGTGCTTTGTTTTACATATTGGGCAATGTAGAATGTCAGAGCCCCTTAGGCTCAGGGTTATTGTGGTTCAATTTAAATCTCTGCCTTGTGATAACTGTGGCAACAGGCACCATTGCAATCTTCACGTTTTAAATGGATGCATCTTACACAATAGGTCACCTTTTGGCGATACCATGGCAGGATGAGCAACATTGAGTTAAACCATTGATTCCTTGACCACTTACTGTTGGGGCTTCATGCTGCCGTGTTAAGATGGGAAGGTTACTTTTGACCTAAATTCTCCGTGCGCCACTTGGTGTATTAGGCACCACATTTAATGCCACACTATGTACTGTACTCTCTCAGAAGCGGCTTTCATGGACTTGCAAGAACATTTACTTGGGCACTTAAACTTATCAAAGCAAAACGCCAATTTAATATAAACGTATGAAATTCATGTGCCATAGCAAAGACAAGCACATAACAGTTTAATGACACAGGAATATAGTTCACACATCATGTAACAAAACGTCAAGGAAAATGTAAACGCAAAAAAAAATCCAAATGAATTTGTGATGTATCCTTGAAGCAAACTTTCAAAACAAACACCAGAAATTATGTCACTACAAACAAGTATTTTTGCTATCACCGAGAAATGTTTTAATGTGTGATGGAATATTTATGTTTACTTCAGGGCTTAATGATACGAACGGGTATTCATTACAGAACCCATCAGCCGTACAGCCTTCTGAGAGTGCATTATTTCAGCAGCATCGATTAAAATAGAAAGCCAAACTAGACCCAGCTCTGACACCCAGAATCTCATCAGCAGTCAGGCTAGCGCGAAACAAATTCTAGTCAAATAATGCACTCCCATATGCCCGAAGGGGCGATGAGTTGTGTGGATAGACCGATATATATATACACGAAGACAAAAAGTCTGCCTTCTGTTGTATTACTTATACATTGCCACAATGATGCATGATTACTTTATGTCCTAGACGGAAGGGAATGGGTGTGGGGGTTGGTTAATTGTGTGGTGAGTCAGGCTGGGCTATTTTACTGTCCGTGGTCACAAAAAAACGTATTTTTAAGTTTAGCCGTTTTCATACAAGTTTGCTGAAGCATCAATTTCATATGGACCCATTCGCTACAACCATGGCTTCTCTTCATTCCGAACCAAAATGAAGCACAGTAAAACGTTCAGTCTGCTTGGCGTTTCCATCGGCCACACAAAAACAAACAAAGCTCCCATTTACGGCAAGCACAGCAAATTGACACCAATAAATGCCGAATGAAACTCATCATTTGGCGATATTGCTTTTGCAGTGGTGCACAAGCAATAAAATATTATATTTATATACACAATCGGTAAGGTTTTGGCCAATGGCCATTCTTCACAAAATAATAAAGGTAGGTGGAATCGACACTGCAGGGCTGAGAAGCATTTAAACTTCAATCATTTGTTTCTTTGCATGGGAGTGAAATATATACTGGCGGCTTCAGTGAACCAGTGCAGCAAAAAAGGGCCCTTTATTCAAATACCATATTTGTGTTTGGCTCTACACGGCCAGTGGCGCAGTGGGGCCGGCGGGGGTTGTGTCAAGAAGCGCCTTTCATTTCACGTTTTTATTTAAAAGATTAAACAAACGCGACAAAAAAAATGTTTTCTTACCGCGGAATTTCTTAGGTGGGTTGCCGAGGTCCCCAACATCTGGCTGAACGACACAGCGGTCGTCCACAAGCCTGCGCACGCACAACATCGTCGTCGTTGTTAGGACGCGCAGTCCACAAAAACCTCATACAGCGAAACTCTAGGCTTAACCATGCTCCCATTAGATCCCACTCATGATATTTGAGAGATTTCCTTAAAAAAAACACAGGTCATATAATTCACCCTTCTTCTTTGGTGGAACTACACGAGCTTCAATTTCGATTTAAAGCTTTCGTGACTGCAGGGATTCATCTTATTGGTTCTCTCGGTAAAGTCACGTAGAATGGAAATAATAAAATAATAAAAATTTAACATAATAAAATAATTCACGACGTTTCGGCCACAACGCAAGCGGCCTTCCTCAGGTGAAGAACAGGTCTGTCGAGAAGACAGAGTCTGACCTGTTCTTCACCCGAGGACGGCTGCTTGCGTTGTGGCCGAAACGTCGTGAGAATTATTTTATGATGTTTCCTTTGTATTATTTTATTATTTACATTCTACACGACTTTACCGAAAGAACCAAGAAGATACACGAGCTTCATTGAACTATAAAACAGGCACCCTTCACAATAGTCCTATTAGATCATCTCCCCAGTTGGCCACAAGTAAACTTAATGCAGTCGCTTCTCATTTAATTAATCTACCTACCTCAAAGCAAACTTTCAAAAACGGACTTGTGGGTTAGCATTCATATCGATTTGGTTCAGAAAACCAAACTAAATTTGACAGCATATTAAAAAGGAAAGACACTTTTGGAAATATGCCCAACTTGAGTGTGTGGAGCAGTTTTTTGTTGTGGTTTAAAGCAGGCAAGGGCAGGGTTCTACCAGGCAAGGGGAAATTGCAACAGCATTATGGCGGACGTGCACATTAATACTATGTAGACGGTGATATGCACAAAAAAAGCCTTTATAACATTGTTCTTCCTGAACATTCCATGAAAATTCCTATTGTCTGTGCATTATTCTTCCCATTTTCCCCATACCAATCCACAAATAACAGGCGGCACCTAAGTGGTAGCAAATCACCATCGCCTAGACTTAACCATGGGCAAAGTGACTTAGAAACAGGTCTCCTAGAAGCAATGAATTTCACATCATCTGTGCTTATGCACAAATAAAAAGGGTCACCCAGAAATGTAAGCACACTCATCCTATGATCTTAGGAAGTCTCGACAGCTTAGCTTTTCAATGCCGTTTATTCCTCGTTTGTTGTGTGCATTGTGTATAATTTATGGTTTCGAACATCATATTTGGTTGTACAATCATTCCCTTGCCGAGCAATTATATCATAAATAGCCCTTAGGTCTGGCGCGTCAGACGCAATACTTCGTGAGGGGGTGCAGTATCGATAGAAATGATGATTAGCGCCACAAATAACACAGCAGTCATCCAGAGGTGAATCTCTAGGAAAGCCCAAATATCATCATATTAACTGCCAATGGCCCACACATATAAAACAGGAGTAAACACGCAAAAACAGATAGTCAAATTGGGCCACCCAAATCACCACCGATAAAGATGATAAAGAATGAAGTTTGACTATACTGCTATTTTTTTTATTACTGTAAACGGCATAACAGTTTCCAATGAGGAGATTATTGCATTCACATACCATAAATGGGGAGTGTCCACCTCCGATTAATGATGGATGGATTTCTATGCCATTCGTCTGGAATATATTGGCCACATCAACCATTGCAGCGTCACATCGTGGACGGCTCGATTTGTTAAACTGATTAATTGTACAAAGCAAGTAAATCTCTTTCCACAAGTGCTGCAGCATTATCAATTTGAACTTTAAATACCACGTCTGTACTTCCAGATTTCATATTTTAGTTGAAATTATTTTAAAATAAAAAAAAAACTTCGAGATTCAAATTGGGTGTGAAATTTTAAGACTTAGAATGGTTATACGAGAAAACTCATTGCATCCCACGTGCCAACGTTTGCAGTACGAGGTCAAAATGAATTCACAACCCAAACACCAGATGCTGTATTTGTTTTACAGCACAAATTGCACAGATAAGATGTCTAAGTCCCCATGGCCTGACACTGAGGAGACTAGGCCACAAAAAGGCCGTCTCTGGTGTAGTCCAATCAGCTTCAAACACAATGCATATAGTCTAGAGCTGAAGTTTTCGTGACTGCAGGTATCCATACTCTTTGGTTCTTTCGCGTAAAGTCACGTAGGTAGAAAACAAAACAAGTCACGACGTTTCGACTGCAGCAGTTCTCCTGCTGTATCGGTTCCACCTGATGACGGTCGCTTGTTGCAATCGAAACGTCGTGATTTATTTTATTCTATTAAAACCTACGTGACTTTATCGAAAGAACCAAAGAGTACAATGCACTCTTTGTTTGTTTGCATTTTCACAAGTGTGGTTAATGCAGACTTGATTCCTTGCTGAATGTATCCATTTGGCGAACATCTTAACACCTGTTTTATTGCCAAAAAAGGGTATATCATATTCTTATATTTCATGATCGGTGATATTTAAGGTCAATCAGTCTGAAGCCCAATTAAATATCAAGCCATATTGTACATCACAATAAGTGCCCCATTCATTAAGCTAGTTTCATTACTTCCCCCCCCCCAAAAGGCTTGGAGAACACACCAACGTAGGATGATTAAGCTTTGTTAATATTTTAAGTTCAACAATACACTGGTGGGATTAAAACGCAGCTGCAGTAATAAAGTAGCAAATATCCTGATGAACCACACCACAGAGCATTACAGCTGCACATACAAGGTGTTGGAGTGGTGGTACAGTGCTGAACACGCTGCACTATGAACCTAGCAACCAGAGTTTGATTTCTGATTATGACAAACATCAGAATAAGGTGATATCACAACTGGTCTGGGCCTTCTGCCACCCCCACTCCTTAGCCAGCCTGTACGGATCAGTGTGGCAATGTAAAAAAAAAATTACAATATGGCGTGCGGATTGAGAATGGCTGGAATTATTTTTTTAAATATATAAAAGACACGTGCAAGAATACCACTGCCCTAAAAAAATATGACGATAAAGAGCACACATCCGTTTTATGTTTTATGCTAAAAAAAAACCTGTGAAACTTTACAGTTTAAGGGAGTCACCCCTCTGCCTCAATTTGTCCCAGACGTTTCATGGATTTATCTTCATTCCATATAAAAAACTATTCCCCACCTGTTGACTCGAACAATTAGACGAATGGGAAGAGTTTACGAGCTAATCATTTATCAAGTAAAGCTCACCAGCTATTAGCTCTTTTTAAGGAGGCGACCTGGCCAGAGATAAAAGCTCAAAGTGGCTTTTCATGGTGGGAATTTCTTGGTCGCCAAATTGCAATCCTAAATTACATCATCGAAAATTTACGTTTAAAAGAATTGACATTTCATTTAAAAAATTGTGTTAATTTAGTTGCAAGCTACGAGTATTACATTAGCCTGGACAAGACACATGGGGGCAAAGCACCAGCTAGCTACAACGTAGTGACTGTTGCATAAAGAACGAAGGGCCTTTGTAATAAACCGAATAAACAAAACAGCATGCGAGTCAAATCCTACCAAGCAATACGTACTCGGGTCATAAACCTTCATGAACCAACAACAACTTATAAACAAAGGTGGCAAAACCAACAGCACCATTTCTGGAAATGTTAATGACATTCATAAAAAGCAGAGCATGGACTGGGTTTTTGGTTTTGGCGCAACACACTTTACTACCACGGCACGACTTTGCACACATCTTGCCAAAGAGGACGGTGATAAGCCACGGGGTTTTATTAAACAACAAAAAAATTCCCCATATATGGCAGCCATGTAGGCCTCATGCTGCAAAAGAAGCTGTAAATATGTTAACCGTTATTGGAGACTGCAACCAAAGATCCCATTTTCCCCAAAGGAGATGTAGAAGGTACAGATAAATGTATCATTCTTTGATTGAGACATCACTTTCATCCAGCCTACTTTAAAAACACCACATGGGCTTTCATCCATCATCTTTAAGCCACAGCTTATTGACCCGTTCATGTGTACACCACAAAATGTCCTACAAACCTATAAAAATCCACTTTTTATGCAAATTATTTTCCCATTATGCATTTATTAGGGAAAATAAATAAATCTTTATTAGTTTCCAATTTACATAGATGTTCAAGTGGTAGGTAATCCAAAATTTTTGCATTCTTCCAAAAAACCTTCTAATTGAACAGGATTACAGGTCCAGAGGTTAGTTGGCTTCGATCACGTAAATATAAATGTCACGTTAAACCTGTCAGTACCTTGACGTTTCACCAGTAATTACAACTAGCATCATCAGGCGACAGACAGCGTTGTGGAGAAATCCTCCTGTTTCAGTCTTGTGCGTCTGGTGGCGGGTTTAACACCACATTTATATTTATGCGATCTAACCCAAACAAACCTCTTCTGAATTATATTGGTAGAAAGCCTTTGTTAAACTGAAAGATTACAGATTCATGTCCTTTACATTTTTCTTAAATACATTTAGGAATCAGTGAATAAGTATCCATTTGAAATTAAATCAAAATGCTGTGAAAACAATGCTTAAATCACAGCGCATGACACAAGTCGCAAATGTTGAATAGAAACAATTCAGTTTGGGGAAAATGGTAAGCTACTCAACTTATGGAATCAAAATGTAGTTGAATAAAATGTTTTAATTATGTGGAGCTGCAGCAATAATTTTTTTGACAGCCACTGTGCAATATACCACACATTCATAAAAAATGAAAAAAAGAGGCAAACCCGGAAAGATTGCAGATGCTCTCAGAACATAAATGCCTTTTTGTGAACAATTTAGAAACGCAAACAAGATATGCCCAATCGCCGTGTCAATGAGGCATTTTCAAGGCATCGTGGCCATTTTCACTAAGCTTGTTCACCACAAATCAATCTTGGCCACGCATCGGCGCCACACGATTTGTTTTCATGCTCAATTTCCCACGTGTTTGCTTACTCACTTTGTACAGTTGGCGAGGGGGACCGATGCTTATTGGAATCTAACGCTGGAAGGCACGGTGCCACTGTACATCACCAGTAGAAGCTCTCCTTGAATAAATCATATTTATAGCAGATTGGGAAATTACACGATCACCAAGTAACATTTTTACAAATTCTAAAATGGGAGAAAATTCATGACTTAATTGAGCAATACATGTTTATTGTCACAAAAACAGGATATTGAAATGCCCTGAAACTGAAAGGGAACCTATTTATTTTGCATTCAACCTTCGCACATTTATTGTTAGGCCACAGGACCAATAACCAGGTGGGGGTGTTACGATTCACTCCGCTGGCAATTACATTTTCGCAATTCATATTAAAGAATCGAATATTTTTACATTGTGACGATAGGTTGAAGACATCACCCCGACTTAGAGGACATCCACCACGGGGAATGAGCAGGGAAATTGGCAAGGTGGAAGAAGCTCGAGGAGATGGCGGAGGGCTTTGAAAGGCCTACATCCAAATGATGACAAGCAGCTAAAAAGGTTCGCATAAACTCATTTGCACACACGAAATTGAAAAGAGATTATTCCTGCACACCCGGTTCAATACATATATCGTGAGATTAAGAATCAATGCCTCTAATTAGATAGCACTTGCATCTCAAGGTAGAGAAGCCTATTTTTGGGCCTTACATTGTGCAGCTACTCATCCAAACCTTACGGGTCAAAAGGCAAAAGACTGACCGTCCTGCAGAGTTATTGATTATTTAGAGACCCTGTCAGCCAAAGGATCATGAGCCGACTCAGCCTTCGGCTCGTAGAACAGGCAATTGTGACCGATGTAGATTTTAATAATGTTCTAATTGGCCTTTTAAAAAAGTGATAAAACTGAAATGTGCCTACAACGTAGAAACAAATTAAAAACTAAAATTTAAAATTTGGATCCCCAAAAAATTATGGGCAGATAATTTACAGGATTCGGTCACAGCGCACAATCAGAGTATCGTTCAGACTCATTCCTTCCCCCCCCCCCCCCTCATGTTAAAACGCTTACAAGTACATATAGGAGCCGTATGATTAGCGAACCAAGTAATTTGCCCTCATGTAGAGTCATGCAAATGCCGACCAAGAGTAGGCAACGCTGCGTAACCATTAATGTGACATGTAGTTAAATTATCGTTATTAAATGTAGTTTCATGAAAGTGTAAATGCTCTCACCGAAGTGTTATGATTATGCTGTAATAAACAAACTACAGCGAAACAGAGAACTGGAAATTACGTCTGCTATACTGCAATTACACAATGAAAACGCACGTTAAATCAAGTTGCACGAATATCATAACAACCAAAATTAGTTGTCATGCTTGCACGAAACCGATGCATTATTAGGGCTGCAAGGGTAGTAGTAATTATGAACACAAGCTTCATCCTAGATTTGAAGCTTTCGTGACTGCAAGGATTCATATTCGAAGGTTTTCGGTAAAGTCACGTAGTGTAAAAAAATTTTAATAAATAAAAGTAAAATAAAATAAAAATCACGACGTTTCGTAGGCAACACAAGCCTCCGTCTTCAGGTGGAACCGTCACAGCACGATAGCTGTATCAAGTAAGAGAAATTCCAAGAACACAGTATTTGTATATATTCTGGTTGAGGGTGGGAGGAGCAAAGGCAGGCCCTGAACATTTTTTTAATTTTACTTCTATTAAATTTAATTTTTTACCTACGTGACTTTACCGAAAACCTTAGAATAACAAGCTTCATCCCCCACCACCATCTCACCCCAGCGTGCTGATGAAGCCATGCACAGGCCCCTCTGCATACAGGGAGACCACATCCCCTATGTGCAGGAAGCTTGCAGTCATCTCGTTGTCGCCTTGGTGCATACACGGAGAGAAACTGCACAAAGGGGGGGGGGGGGGGCAGAAGACAAAGTTTAAAGGATTCCTCGTGTAGCCTTTCACGGGGTGTGTCGAGACAAGTGGTCAAAAGCAGCGCAGCAAAAACACAGCACCACACTGGCCGCATGGATACACTATTGGGGCAAATGCTGTTGGCGAGCGTTTGTTTAGACCGGTCGCACACACGGACGGCTTCACATCCCCGATGATGATGATGCCCGTTAAGAGGGCGCTGGGTGGCAACTCATTTTAGGCCGAGCCCACCTAGGCGCGGTCCAGGTGTGCAAGGTGTAAGTTGCCGCTGGTGGTTAGGAATCGAACGTGCGGTCTCACCGACCAACACCTAACCATCACATCGCTTTAGTAAATTCGAGTACCGTAAGTTTATTGCATACATTTCTAGAATTGCTTTTATATAGTTTTATTAAAAGCCAACAAAAGCGTGCACAAAAATCTGCTCTACACGTACACATACACGCCCCCCTTAATAAAAAAAAACCTAACACATCCTCAGCCAACAGGTGATCTCCCGTGTGACCTACATAGCTTGCTGGGGCAAGTGCTGTTATAGCAGGCACCCAATTAACGCCGATGCATGGCGCACGAGGAATGGTCTGGCAGTGCCCACCCACGGCCGCCTTTGTCTTCCCATTAAAACAATGGCGTTTACACACCGCACCGGGGGCATTTCGTTTACGGCCGAGTCAACCTAGGGAGAGGCCAAAGCACTGGTTCGGATATCATTCGCCAGCAACATTACCCGTGGTCAGATATCGTATTTCGGTCACCGGGTTCACAGCGTAGTGCGCCAACCACTGTGCCACCGATCCCAAGTCACAAAGATAAAGATTCCCCCCCCCCCGTATAGCCTTAACAGACTGTAGGGGCAAGTGCTGTTAGAGTGTACCTATGAAGGCCGGTAACAGCACACGAGGGGGGTGGGTGGCCAGCACCACGCCCGGCCGTCTTTGTCTTCAGATCATCGTCACCGGCGTTTGCCGAGTGCAGCGCTAACCGCTACTACACTACCGCTCCCCACACACACACAGAGACGCCTGTTAACGTGTACACGGGCAGACGAGTTCGTGCCAGGCTAGGTGCACTTTGGAGGCCACGTGGAGTGTCAAAGGGTGATTGCTGCCACGATGGGAGGGGGCAGACTCGGGTGTTGGGGTGGGTGATATGAAAGGACATCATTTAGGACGAACCCACGCCGTTGAGAAACCTCACGACACACAACGAAACAACGTGAAACTTACAACACTTGCCAGTACACAGACGTAGATCCGCATTAAGACAATGCGACGTTGAACTTGGACGCCAAATAAACGAGACACATTTACATACTTGATTACACACCCACAAAAAAGTACAAATTTAGGCACGCACACATTCTGAACATCAATTCTGGCATCATGGGACCTCCTTTGCCAGTCCCAAAATATGAGAATAGGTTCTCCTATTTTTTCCTGGCAATAAAACAGGTGTTAAGATTGATTTGAAGCTTTCGTGACTGCAAGAATCCATACTTTTTGGTTCGTTCGGTAAAGTCACGTAGGTAGAAGCAGACGAGAGATCTGCCGTGGCACGAGGTTATATAGGCCTCAGCAGTAGGGAAGCAGAAGGGGGGGGGGGTCAAAAAGTTGACCCCGCAGTAGCACTGGAAAGATCAGCTACAGGGGGGGGGGGGGGAACTTTACCTAAAGAACCAAAGAGTACAGGTGTTAAGATGTTAAAACACCAAACTGAAACCTTTAACAAGGAATCATGTCTGCTTTAACCACAATATTGGTCAGAATGCAAACAAAAAACGTCCTCCGATAATATATGCATCGTCGTTGAAACTGATTGGTCCACACCAGAGACAGCTTTCTTTTGAGCCTCGTCTCAAATGGTGTTAAACCAGAGGACGCCAAAAAGGCGTACAGCCCAAAGGCAATGCCACTATCAGAGTAATCATCTACATCATGGGACCTCCTTTGCCAGTAATAGGTTTACCCATTTTTTTTCTGGCAAGTGTTTTTTGTTGCATGCTGACCACAAGTATTATGGTTAATGCAGACATGAAGCCTTGTAAAAGGTTTCAGTTTGGCGTTTTAATATCTTAACACCTGTTCTGTTGTAAAAAAAAAAGAGAAAACCTATTATCATATTTTTGGTACTGGCAAAGTAGGTCCCATGATGTAGATACTCACCCCGAGCCCTCATTACTCTGATAGTGCATTGTCTTTGTGCCGTTCTCGCCTTTTAGCGTCCTCTGGTCTAGCACCAATTGAGACGAGGCTCAAAAGAAAGTTGTCTCTGGTGTGGACCAATCAGCTTGAAGGACAATGCATATATTAGAGTATGTTTTTGTTTGCATTCTGACCACAAGTATTGTGGTTAATGCAGACATGATTCCTTGTAAAAGGTTTCAGTTTGGAGTTAAGATCTTAACACCTGTTTTGTTGTAAAAAAAAGTGAAAACCTCATCAATACTGGCACATATAGAACGTGTACCACACACACCACGTTAACGACTGCACTACACAGCTATAACTTGCACAACCCACCGAACAAAAAAAACGCATACCTAGCACATTCATAGACCCCTATACAAAGACACCCACACACAAAGAGGATATTCTACACACACACACACACACGTACTGTACATGCCTATATCCTGACAGTACATTCATCAGCACACACAAACACATACCCACCCACACACACCAACAACTCGTACAAAGATTGCCCCGTATAGACCAAGACCAGCGAGCACACATGCAGACCGGAACAGCACACGAGGAGGGCGATGTTTTACACAACACAGCACGTACTCATTTAAGGCCGAGTCGACCTAGGGGAAGTTCAGATATCCGTCACTGGTGTTGGCTGCGAGCATTTTTTTTAAAACTCGGGTTGATGGGTTCGTAGCACAGCGCGCTAACCGCTGCACCACCGCTCCATACAACTTTAAACACCGACATACGCACCTGATGGACACTATACAACTTTCAACAACACCCACTTTGTTATTAACTTGTATACGGACTCGGGCACACACATGATTTACACCTATTAAAAGTTGACACGTACACGTTATATATACACACACACGCAGTATATTAACGTGTACACCGACTCGCGTATTAAATCACATGTCACACTATATTGTACACACACTTAATTACACATTAAACCCCTACACTGGTACTCACCACTACACATACAGTGCCGCGTTCACGCATTACCCGTATCACACGCTCAAGTCCGACGCCTGTCAAGCCGAAGCACACAAACGCAACGTACGAAAAAACCTGCATCCATACCGAGTGGTAAAATAACACTCACATCGCAGCCAGACGCAGAAGACGCCCATGCACGGACGTATCACGGACAAAAGGCCACGTTCACCATCTATCTATCTATATACACCGGCGCAATCAAATACTGCCGGAAAGAAAGTTTGCCTTTTTTACGAAAAATAGGTCCACACGTGCACGCCTCCCTAGCGCAGCCTGCCGCAATGTCAACGCACGGGGGCCGCAGCACCGCTTCCAACTCTGGACCGGTGTCCTTCCGCGCTCCAAGAGCCACTTCACAGCGGCGCGGATGGTTCTTGTGGAAGCAATGAATGAGGATCAGGTGGGGGAGGTATGGAGGGGGGGCATCAGCTGATTTGGAATCAGCTGTCAGCTGTGTTGTTGTGTGATGATTGTGAAGGCACCCGGGTATTTCGGGTGTGGCTGAGATTTAAACACGGCGTGTGTGTGTGTGGGGGTAATGAGATGACACGTATGTGGAATACACAAATCTATCGCTATTCTGCATAATCACATCGCTGATTCCTAATGACCACGTCTTCCCAAACAGGTGCCTGGATATTGTGGAAACGATGGCTTCATATTTTACAGAGGAAGTTATTACAATATTTAATAGGTACGTTTAGATAGGTTGAAGACGTGTGGAGTCTTTAAAATAAAATAAAAAATCTGTATAATTCTATTATATTATAATGGGGTGTCTAGATGTTGCATACCCCTACATATGTGCAATTTAATAGCAGAAATGGAACAGAATTAGACAAAGCGGTCTTTAATTTAAAACCAGTGGAGTTAGTATTAGAGCCTCAGGGTGTGAGCGGTGGTGGGTAATGGTAATCTCACTGCAATTTGAACCTGAATTTGATTCCTCGTTACGGCTACCTATTCTATAAATAATATTATCTGGTCATGAATAATATGCCGTATGGAGAAAACAGCTACGTTAAGAGCATAAGGGGCCGTCCATAAATGACGTCACGCGATTTTGGACGATTTTTGACCCCCTCCCCCTCCTTCGTCACACGGCGTCACAAAAAGTCAGACCCCCCCCTCAAATATGACGTCCAAAGCTCTGCCCCCCCCCAAATAAAACATGCTTGAAATCGCTTTAAACTATTGTCATTGTAGTGCGTATTTAATGTGGCGCTGCACTCTGATGTTGTAGGAGAAAACATTTCTCAAAAAGTCTATATAATTAAGTAGAACTTGTTGTCTATATTTATTTAAAGTTGCGCATTTTGATGTGACGACACATTTCTCACCCCCCCTCCCCTCGTTACACATCGTCACAAATGTCTGACCCCCACCCCCCCAGGTGCGTGACGTCATTTATGAACGGCCCCTAAGGTTAGGCGAAATGTCATACTCTACACTGTAAATGTCAAACGTTGTAGTGATGGATTCACATGACGCAATTCAGACACATGTTGATTGTGCTAAGAATGTTGTAGCAGCTATGGCATGCAACTATGCACCACACTCCCATGCCAACATTCGATTCGATGATCGATTATTGCCATATCTCGTCTAGTCTGTGGGTGTATCGTTTTTTGTTCTGTTGCATTTGCCTTAATTGTGACACGTGTTTTTGATTGGCATTTCATTTGCATACAACAAGATACACTTGTCGTGATTTGCACGCGAGATTCTATGCAATGTGGTTGTAAAATGTATTCTGCTTGGTTTTTTCCCTCTCTTTTATGTGTACACGATATAGAAGTTGTTGTGATTGGGCAAGCCACGTCGCTTGAAGGGATGATAGATGGTCAAGCATAATAACGGAGTGGCTGCCAAGGAACGGAACGCGTCCGAAAGTACATTCACAGAGGAGATGGAGCGATGAAATCAGCTGATGTGCACGTTATGTGGATTAATGAAATCGCACAATCACGAGATGTAGGCGGTTGGGCGAGGTCTTCATCCAGCAGTATATTTACGAAGGCTTGTGATGACGATACGTAATTGTATAATTCTGTATTTGGTTGCTAAAATTTCCATCGGTGTCAATACGTTTCCAACAATCGATTCATCGTGTCATTCCAAGTGCAAAGTAGATCTGCAGAGAGAATAGTACCCATCACTCATGATCTGCTGATTTATCAAAACTGCAGCAAATTGACATTTTTAATCGCAACAACGACAAAAATCCCCGCAACATACATGCATCAAAAAGGCACAAATAAGCAATGCATACACATCTTGGGGGCCGTCCATAAATGACGTCACGCACCTAGGGGGGTGGGGGGGGGTCAGACATTGGTGACGATGTGTGACGAGTGGGGGGGGGGGGGTGATAAATGTGACGTCACATCAAAATGCGCAACTTAAAATAAATATAGAATTGTTATAACAACACTAATTGTTATAACAACACTCATACAACAACAGAGTGCAGCGCCACATTAAATACGCACTACAATGACAATAGTTCAAAGCGATTTGAAGCATTTTTTATTTTCCAAATGAAAATATGCTTTTGGGGTGGGGGGGGGGCAGAGCTTTGTGACGTGATATTTGAAGAGGCGGGGGGGGTCTGACTTTTTGTGACGCCGTGTGACGAAGAGGGGGGGGGGGTCAAAAACCGTCCAAAAAATCGCGTGACGTCATTTATGGACCCCCCCCCCCCCCTTTAAACAGGACCCTGCGGGGTGGGCTGGTAGGAATAATACTTAGTACCGGTACAGAGATATCGACCGGGTATAGAGGAGTTAAAGAAAAAATTACTGTATTCTAGTGTAACGTTAATTAAAAGTGTTTGTTTTGACAAGAAACGCTGTGAGATTTAAAGACTCGTAGTCTTTCATTTCCAACACCACCCTCAACACCACCCCTCCCACGGACGGACGGACGAACGGACACATTAATCTATTGGTGGTCTGGTCCACTTCGTTCCTACCAGTAACAAAACCCTATCGCGCAAAGTGCGTTCGCATTCGACGCTCGGTGCGAGCAATTGCAATGGGGGCGCGCGCGTGCGCGTTCCGCATTCCACGCGGTCGCGCGCGCGCGCGCGTGCGCCGATCAGCTGACGGGTCACGTGGCGTCGCGCTCGGCACAGCCGGTTTCTTGGGCTTCCACGGCGGGGGCCGGGGTCACGTGGGGTTGCGGCCGACAACAACGTTTCGGCTTCTTGGGCTTGGACAGGAGCCATGGCGGCGTGCGTCTCCGACGACGACGGCCGTCGCCGTCACAGCAGCCGGCGCCGGCTCCGCTGGCGTTCCTGCTTCAGTCGCTTGCTGCTGTTGTTGTTGTTGTTGCTGCTGCTAGAGACGGGGACGGGGACTGCCCAGGCAGAGGAGCCGGGCCCAGGCTGCGGATGCGGAGCTCAGAGCCGAGCGGCAAGTGCGGCAGGTGAAGGGAGGGAGGGAGGAGGAATTATGCGAAATATTATACAAATACAGGAGCCAACACGACAGGATAAACGTGCAGGGCCCCGAGAAACCAGCCCAAGACGAAAAGGACCCACCATGAACTTCTTCTGGAACTGCTGGTGGTTTATTTGCCTATGATCAGAGACTGCTTTTCACAGTTTTGAGTGTTATTTGAAACCCGTGTCCCCTTCTGACCTCATGTGTTGCCCAGTGCCGTCGCTCAAGTTTCCGTGTCTCCCCATCACCCCCGTGAGTGTTGCAAACGCCGTCTCTCCTCAGCGTGTCTCCCTCTGACCCCGTGTCTCAGACCCCCAGTGTCTCAGACCCCCAGTGTCTCAGACCCCCAGTGTCTCAGACCCCCGTGTCTTAGACCCTCAGTGTCTCAGACCCCCAGTGTCTCAGACCCCCGTGTCTCAGACCCACAGTGTCTCAGACCCCCAGTGTCTCAGACCCCCAGTGTCTCAGACCCCCGTGTCTCAGACCCCCAGTGTCTCAGACCCCCCGTGTCTCAGACCCAGTGTCTCAGACCCCCAGTGTCTCAGACCCCCAGTGTCTCAGACCCCCAGTGTCTCAGACCCCCAGTGTCTCAGACCCCCGTGTCTCAGACCCCCAGTGTCTCAGACCCCCACGTGTCTCAGACCCAGTGTCTCAGACCCCCAGTGTCTCAGACCCCCAGTGTCTCAGACCCCCAGTGTCTCAGACCTCCAGTGTCTCAGACCCCCCGTGTCTCAGACCCCCAGTGTCTCAGACCCCCAGTGTCTCAGACCCCCAGTGTCTCAGACCCCCGTGTCTCAGACCCCCCGTGTCTCTGACTCCGTGTCTCAGACCCCCCGTGTCTCAGACCCCCAGTGTCTCAGACCCCCACGTGTCTCAGACCCCCAGTGTCTCAGACCCCCACGTGTCTCAGACCCCCAGTGTCTCAGACCCCCAGTGTCTCAGACGCCCCAGTGTCTCAGACCCCCCGTGTCTCAGACCCCCAGTGTCTCAGACCCCCAGTGTCTCAGACCCCCCGTGTCTCAGACCCCCCGTGTCTCAGACCCCCCGTGTCTCAGACCCCCACGTGTCTCAGACCCCCACGTGTCTCAGACCCCCAGTGTCTCAGACCCCCAGTGTCTCAGACCCCCAGTGTCTCAGACCCCCCGTGTCTCAGACCCCCCGTGTCTCAGACCCCCCGTGTCTCAGACCCCCGTGTCTCAGACCCCCACGTGTCTCAGACCCCCACGTGTCTCAGACCCCCAGTGTCTCAGACCCCCCGTGTCTCAGACCCCCACGTGTCTCTGACCCCCAGTGTCTCAGACCCCCCGTGTCTCAGACCCCCAGTGTCTCAGACCCCCACGTGTCTCAGACCCCCAGTGTCTCAGACCCCCCGTGTCTCAGACCCCCAGTGTCTCAGACCCCCCGTGTCTCAGACCCCCCGTGTCTCAGACCGCCAGTGTCTCAGACCCCCACGTGTCTCAGACCCCCAGTGTCTCAGACCCCCAGTGTCTCAGACCCCCCGTGTCTCAGACCCCCCGTGTCTCAGACCCCCAGTGTCTCAGACCCCCCGTGTCTCAGACCCCCCGTGTCTCAGACCCCCAGTGTCTCAGACCCCCACGTGTCTCAGACCCCCCGTGTCTCAGACCCCCAGTGTCTCAGACCCCCAGTGTCTCAGACCCCCACGTGTCTCAGACCCCCAGTGTCTCAGACCCCCCGTGTCTCAGACCCCCAGTGTCTCAGACCCCCCGTGTCTCAGACCCCCAGTGTCTCAGACCCCCCGTGTCTCAGACCCCCACGTGTCTCAGACCCCCAGTGTCTCAGACCCCCCGTGTCTCAGACCCCCCGTGTCTCAGACCCCCCGTGTCTCAGACCCCCAGTGTCTCAGACCCCCGTGTCTCAGACCCCCAGTGTCTCAGACCCCCGTGTCTCAGACCCCCCGTGTCTCAGACCCCCCGTGTCTCTGACCCCCAGTGTCTCAGACCCCCGTGTCTCAGACCCCCAGTGTCTCAGACCCCCCGTGTCTCAGACCCCCCGTGTCTCAGACCCCCACGTGTCTCAGACCCCCAGTGTCTCAGACCCCCAGTGTCTCAGACCCCCGTGTCTCAGACCCCCCGTGTCTCAGACCCCCAGTGTCTCAGACCCCCAGTGTCTCAGACCCCCCGTGTCTCAGACCCCCAGTGTCTCAGACCCCCAGTGTCTCAGACCCCCAGTGTCTCAGACCCCGCGTCTCAGACCCCACGTCTCAGACCCCCCGTGTCTCTGACCCAGTGTCTCTGACCCAGTGTCTCAGACCCCCAGTGTCTCAGACCCCCGCGTCTCAGACCCAGTGTCTCAGAACCAGTGTCTCTGACCCAGTGTCTGCACCAGACTCCGTTTCTCCTTCAAGACCGCCCCCCCCACTGTCCCACCTGCATCCCGGTCAGTGTCTCATATCCTGACGACCCCGTGTCTTCTCATAACCCCCCTCGCATTTCCAGACCGCGTGTCTCGTAACCGAATGTCTCATCTGGAACAACCGTGTCTCACCCAGACCCCCACGTCTTCTCTCGTCCCTGTGTCTCTTGCCAGATCCTGTGTCCTCCGTGGACCCCATGCTCAGGGACCCAGGGTACCCGGAATCCAACCTGGATGGGGCAAAGGATGCGGTTTTCAAGTACTCTGAGAGCGCCAACACAGCTTATGACCAGAGCGCCGTACGTGACCAAGATGCCCGCTCTTGTGTTCATACGGTTAATGTTAAATCGCTGCACAGAGGTGGCTGAGTGGCTCAACAGGTTACATTCCTGAGCTGGCAACGCCGAGATCCTGCGTTTGAATCCACGCTTCTGCCTATGCTTTAAACAGGATTATCAAGTATGGTATGGATGTACGTTGACTTTGTTTCACGCACCGTACGTAACCAACCATGCTAATCGGAGGCGTGGGGGAAGGACAACAAGCTGCATGCAAAAATAAGTTATACATAAATTAGTTTTTTTATCTAGATTTAAAAGATAGGTGATGGTTTCATCCCGATAATGGTTACATTACATTTCGCTATGGGCTCAATCTATAATTTACCCAGGGTAAATTATAGATTTGAAGTTTTCGTGACTGCAAGGTTCCATACTTTTTGGTTTTTTTGGTAAAGTCACGTAGGTAAAAAATAAAATAAATTTAAATGTAAACAACTAAGGCTCAAAAGAAAGCTGTCGCTGGTGTGGACCAATCAGTTTCAAGGACAATGCATATATTATCAGTGTGTTCTTTGTTTGCATTTTGACCACAAGTATTGTGGTTAATGCAGACATGATTCCTTGTAAAAAGGTTTCAGTTTTGTTGCCAGAAAAAAGGGAAAAACCCCTATTATATTTTGGTACTGGCAAAGGAGGTCTAATGATGTAGATGCTTACCCCGAGCCCTCATTACTTTGATAGTGCATTGTCTTTGAGCTGCACGCCTTTTGGCGTCCTTTGGTCTAGCACCAATTGAGACGAGGCAAAAAAAAAGCCATCTCTGGTGTGGACCAATCAGTTTCAAGGACAATGCATATACAGTATTATCAGTGTGTTTTTTTTTGCATTTTGACCACAAGTAGTGTGGTTAATGCACACATGATTCCGTGTAAAAAGGTTTCAGTTTTGTTGCTAGAAAAAAGGGGAAAAACCCTATTATATTTTGGTACTGGCAAATGAGGTCTAATGATGTAAATTAAAATACCAGTTTTACCAGGTCACTTGAAACAATCTTGTAGGTAACTGATTTCCACTTTCGTGGGCAGTTTTCAAACACGGGAGTTGAGCTGCTCTGCCCAAGGTCGGAATGGTTCTTCATCTCGTGGTTTAACATTGATCCTGCTATTGGGACGACAATGGAGAAAAAATAACAAAAGGCACCTCGCAAATAATAATACTATAATTTACAGAGCTTGGTCTCTGTCCAGTGAGTAAGAACTGCACAAAAAGACGTAACATCAATCTTGGATCATCACTTAAATTGGAAATATTGCAGTTCTGAGATGGAAAAGTTATATTTCACTAACAGGTAAAAAATGTGCCTATTTTGCAAGACATGTAGGAGTGTGTAGCGCCCCTTGTTTTAGGATAACAGCTCACTTGAAGGTATCTCAGAAGTTAAGCTTCTATTGGACATTTTCTAACATGAGGTGATCTGACCATTCTAAGTAGATGTTTAATCCTGTGACATAATATTTAGCATAATTGGAATAAAATTAGTAAATTGACCAAAAGAGGTCACGTCGCTATTTTTTTGTATACAGATACACGTCTGTGCACACCTTTTGAGCGTTACATCCTCATATGCACGGTTGAGTTCGCTTCAGTCCTCCGGTTTCCTCTCACATGCTAAACTCTCATTAAACAAAGGAATGGCCAAATAACACAATACAATACCGTCCTAATTAGGCTTGATAGTGATGCATTTTGTACACCAGCTACAACACCATCATATCTTCTTGGTTCTTTCGGTAAAGTCACGTAGAATGGAAATAATAAAAATTAAACATAAAATAATTCTCACGACGATTCGGCCACAACGCAAGCAGCCGTCCTCAGGTGAAGAACAGATCTGTCGAGATGACAGAGTCTGAATGACCTTCACCTGAGGACGGCTGCTTGCGTTGTGGCCGAAACGTCATGAGAATTATTTTATTATGTTTTATTTTAATTTTATTATTTCCATTCTACGTGACTTTACCGAAAGAACCAAGAAGATGAATCCCTGCAGTCACGAAAGCTTTAAATCGAAACACCATCATAATCTACTGCTTGATGAGGATCTCCCTAAGCTGCTGCTGTCTGTCGCAGTCCTGTGATATGATAATTGTTGGAATAAAATGAGTCTGCCTATTCAGAGAGTATTAACACAGCAATGTACAGTACTTCAATTATGGAAAGATGCCACAATCATTCTTCTATTCAAAATGGACATAATTACTCGAAGAATTATAGAGCCATTAGCCTAATAAATTACAGCCCGTCATCAATATGGAGCTGCATGAAATGAGCACTGATTTTCTTAATCATCACATCGCTTGAGTAATATATTTGGGTGTCTGATGGGACCAAGAGAGGCCACTGTCCATACCTAGCATCTGCTGGGAAAATAGAACTTCAGATGTCTGCATTATGAGCTTACGTAAACATTCATGAAACCAGGTCAACCTACCCATAATACAGGTGCATGGGAATGATGTTGGAGTTTCGAGGACAAGTAGCCATGGAGGCCATGTCAATTAGCCATGGGAGGACATGAAGCCTATTAACTAAGGAGTTGAGGCATACGGTTTGCCCACAGTGTCCAAATGTTTGGGGAGGGGAAGGCTGCTGCCCTTCCTGCCCACTTTGTGTCCATTGCCGTTGTTTATAATTGTAAAAGTACGTTGGGGAAATTTTACTTGTTGGACCGTAAAGTGGCTGGGCGGCTCAAAGGTTAGAGAACCGAGCTGGCTTCGCTGAGATCCCTGCGTTCGAATATTGACAGCTGCTTCTGGTTAAACTGGGTTCTCCGGTGTAGTCAGTTGATGGACTTTGCTTGTTCACTGCACAAAAAATAAATGCGAGAAATTTGTCTCTCTCGTTAATTTTGGCTATATTCCAGCTTTTAGGAATACAAAAATATATCATTTTCATTGCCATATGAGAATTATTATTCTCAGTGGATGGGAAAGTTTTGCCCTTTGCTGTGTCAAGCAGAGGTCACTTGAAGCGATCACAGCAGTGGTGTTGTGATGTCTGCTTGAACAAGACTTGATATTACATTACATTTCGTTCTGCTCTCAATTTGGCTACATTAAAACTGAGAGTTCTTTTTTTTCATATTGCTGCCATGCAATGAATAGGACTGTCATATGCAGAGTGAGCGAGGAAATGTTGCCCTCTGCTGTTTTTACCAGAGGTCACTTAAAGGGATCTAGGAGGGAGAGCTCTGTGACATCCTCTGTGGGCCATTCTCTAACAGGAAGGGTTGCACCACGCTGCGAGAAACCTGAATATATACGTTGTTTTGTGACGTAATGCTGATAGCACAGTTGGGATCACATTGTAGGGAAATGACAAGAAAAGAAAAACACACAATGCTTGTATGTATGTTGAAATTCTTTCGCACCGTACGTAGCCAGCCGTGCTCATTGGAGGTGCTTGATCGTTACGGCCTCGCAATGCCACAGTTCCACATGCAATAGCCCATGGGCCAGGTTATGCAAGAAATATGTTTCGTCTCGGTCGTTGTGCCAGATGAAGGCTGTGCCCGGCGGGACATTCACCATGGGCACAGACGAACCCATCATCGTGCCGGACGGCGAGGGCCCTGCTCGGCGCGTACGAGTGCGCGCCTTCCGCGCTCACTCACACGAGGTCAGCAATGCTGACTTTGAGAGATTTGTGAGCGCAACGGGGCACGTTACGGAGGTACCGCTCTCTGCACACAGCTATTGCTACTGCTACACACAGCGGTCATTGTTAGTCGCCATGATACTGGCCACACACAGTGGAATTCGTAATCTTCAGTGAACATTATTGTACATGATAATGCTACACTTACTCGCTATATTCAATCATAATTGCTGCCCACAGTGGTCTTTATTGTACACAGTGCTGCATGCTGCATGGCGGATGTATAAGATTGCTTTTTGTGTTTTTAGTTTGTTGTCCTTCCTTCGCACCTCCGATTAGCACTGTTGGCTACGTACGGTGCGAAAGAAGTTCAGCATACATATTGTTGAACTTATCCAAGCTAATGAGCACCAGAGTGTATAAGTGGGGACTCCACATACAGCTCTATGGGTCCCAGAGGTGTTCTTTGCAGCAGTAAGCTGTGGTGACTGCTGTAATGCTGAGTCCTAATAATATTGAAACCAGTCTACGGTTGTCTGTCCCTGTATCACTGTTGCCTATCAGTTAGTCACACAATACATTTTGATGGTGATCTAAGACAATGCACTTTTTCGGGTCACTACTCGTGGTTTTTTGCTTAAGGCACTAAGGCGGAGAGCTTTGTACACGTGTTTTGTGTGTGTTGTTGAAAACTGTTGCAAGCTGCCAGTGATGAATGCTTTACGTTATTGCCTCTTCTGCTTCGTCTGACTGTGGATGGCCAGGCAGAGAGCTTCGGCGACTCGTTTGTTCTGTCGGGAAAGCTGAGCGACACAGTTCGAGACGAAATCACGCAAGCGGTAAGTTGCTCCTACGCGTGTAACGATTCACGACCCCGGTGATTCGATGACTTGTTGCGATTCGGGTTTGGAGTAAAGATTGTAATGTTTTTAAAATCACATTTCCTTGTTTTCATTGTCTGTGCTGTGTTGTCTGTCTCCTCTCATATCCTTGTTTTGTTGATGTTGTCTGTCTTGATTGTGCTGTCTATCCCTTGTTGTATTGTGTCTAGTTTGTGTTGTCTTGTACGTGTCATCCGTCTCTTTTGTTCTGTCCGTCTGGTATTGCCTGTTTTGTTTGCAGTGTGTCTAGTTTATACTGTGCGTGTGTGTACTCTCTGTCTCATTGTCAATAGCGCAAATATGATTTGTTTAATTCGTAAAGTCTGGCTCGCTTTTATTCCATATCGTTTGTCTTTTGTGCGTATTCTTTTTCATTCACTCATCAGCTTGAAAATAAAGTATCTGTAAAACATTGGTTCTCATACGCACAATCCGATTTACACGGGGTGAGTGTAACAATACATTTTCATCAACGTGCATAGTCCCATGGGATGTTGGCTATCAACAACAAGGCAACTCCTATGACTAATTGGGAATGGGACGCAAGCGTAGGATTGATCACCCTGTCGCTGGCCGCCTTTGGGGAGGGTGTATAGTATGAAAGGCCGAAACACCCTAGGAACCAAAGGGTCACTACTGACGATGCGCTCCCCAAATTTCACCAGGCTCACTGTTCATGAACTCTTGGAAGTGCTTGCACAAAGGATAGTAACATCTCATCCTGTGTTCTTTGGAATCTAAATGCCTTGCTGCTGCATGTATATCATTTTTGCGGTGCTCTGCATTTTCCAGATATAACACAATAACAATTCTGCATTAAACTGCCAAACACATATATTGTGCGTGTCAATTATTTTACCGCTTACTGCACTCACCTTTATCAATGTTATCCTGTGGCAGAAAGCTGTTATGAACTTGTCATTGAGGAAAAATATACGATTATAATGTCTTTGATGAACCTTGTTCTCTACCTGGAGTGGTTTAGTTTTTGCAGCTGGCTGCAAAGCAGTTTAATAAAGCGGTGAACCAGTGCAAAGATAAGAATGAAATAAATAACCAAAACGCAGCTAACCTCTGCTTATCTCAGTACGCCAGATGCATGAATTCGCACTTATCCAAAGGCCCCTTCCGGTAATAGAGTGTGCTGTAAATTACATGGAAGAAAAGTTGTACATCGAGGTTTATTCAGTTACGTAATGCATTACGTAATATGTATGCAGATAATTAGGGCTGCGAGCTTTTGACCTGTGATTCTTTGAAAGTTGCGTGAAACAATATAAGTCAACATTCATCCTTGGTCATTTAAATCATAAGATAAGGGAAGGTTTAAGTGGGGGTTGCAGTGTTGACTGCAGTACAGCGCTATGAACCCGGTAAACTGAGTTCGATTCCCAGCCAAAGCTAACTTGAGTAGCAAGTGATGTCTGATATTCAACCGGTTCTGGATCCACCCTTCATCAACCAGCATGATAATGTATTGTCAAATTTACCCCTATGACCAACACGGCTTGTGGAGGCCTACATTGAAACATGGCCTTCGGTATTTCCTGCAACAAGCCACTGCCCATTGATGATAATGCCCCTTTTAATGCACGAGTCTCAAGACTTTTTCTCAAGGGTCCTATGCTGGGATGTTTGGCCATTTCTATTCATGATCGTCACATGACAGAAATTAGGCATGTGAATATATGTCCCTTCTGCTATTTGGTGAATTGTCACAATTTGAGGTCACAAATGGATTCAAGAATATATTCTTTGTTTCACATTGTGGTGAAGACATGGATGACATGAATCTATTACATGCTATACGAATGAAAAATAACCGATCTGTGCATGTATCGCGATCATTACAACTGATTTTAAGTGACGAATCAACGTATTGTCAAATGCTGAGTAGACAGACAATTTTATTTTCATACATTACGTAAACAATAAAGCAGATTAATAGGCATCGTATTTAACCATTGTGCGTATGCGATGCGGCAGTTACAAGGGACAACACGTTACAAGGGACAACACGGGTGCCACTGTGATGAGTCATTGCCATGTTTTCAGGTGGCTGCTGCTCCCTGGTGGCTCCCAGTGAAAGGTGCCAACTGGAGACATCCAGAGGGACCCGACTCCAACATCACCGGCCGGTAACGACCGTGACATCACTGGCATCCTCATAAGCCATGGTCTCTCCACTGCTGAGTGAAGGCCCCCCCCCCGCCCCCTCGGCAATGCCATCCCTCACTTTCACAATCTTTACTCGCACATGAGCCGTGCAACGCTGGGACATCCAGTATCTCGCTAAATTCGCGAGAGCTGAAACCCTGATAATTGTTTTTTTACCCTTCTATCTGGCAACAAAACTGACACCTTTTTTACAAGGAGTCATGTTTGCATAGACCACAATACCTGCAGCCATAATGCAAACAAAAAACATAACTCTGATACTGTATGCACTGTACCTTGAAGTTGATTGGTCCACACCCGAGACAGCTTTCCTTAGAGCCTAGTCTCACATGGGTTGGACCAGATGACGCCAAAAGGCGCACAACTTTAAGACAATGCACCATCAGAGTATGAGAGCTCGGGGCAAGCATTTACACCATTGGAACCTCATTTGCCAGTAAAAAATATGATAATTGGTTTTTTACCCTTGTATCTGGCAACAAAACTGACACTTTTTTTTACAAGGAATCATGTTTTCATAGACCACAATACCTGCAGCCATAATGCAAACATTATCAGAGTTATATTTTTTGTTTGCATTATGGCTGCAGGTATTGTGGTCTATGCAAACATGACTCCTTGTAAAAAAGGTGTCAGTTTTGTTGCCAGATAGAAGGGTAAAAAAACAATTATCATATTTTTTACTGGCAAATGAGGTTCCAATGGTGTAGCTGAAACCCTGTCGAACGGGATACTCGGGGCTACCTCTTGAGTTTTGTGTGTGTAAGGGGTGTAGACATTTTATGAGGGTTGACATGTCCTCCCCTTAGTTTTCTCCCTGATTAATGAGTATCTTTGACCTGCAGCCCTAAGAGTACTTAATCTACAAAACACACTGTCTAATGTCCTTATGTAATGATATTAAGGAAAGAAAAATATGGATTTGTTTGGAATTGAAATATTTGGAAATGAAATGTTCATGCCAAGCATCAGGATTTCTTACAAATTGCAACTTTTGTAAAGCTTAATTTACCCAGGGCCTTACATTATTAACCGCACTCATTAATAAAATAAATTATACTTTGCAGAGTAATGTGTCTCAGCCAAAGTGGCCCAGATAGGCTATTTTACTCCAAGTGAGTTCAATTACATTGTATAATGGAAAAGCAGTATTCTCTATAGACAGTGTTACTTAAATATGATGATGAATAATCGGCTACATTTCTCCTGCCTCAGCAGTTCGCCTGCTGTATTTTTTCACCTGTAGACGCTTGCTTGTGTTGCCATCGAAACGTCGTGATTATTTTTCTATGTACGTGACTTTACCGAAAGACCCAAAGAGTAGTAATAATCAGGTAGTGGAAAATGAAAAAAAAAACCGCTGACAATTTACATTTGTATTTCTCTGCACCGTTACCATTGTACTTCTTTTTCTGGTTCTCATATGTTAAGCCCGTTTTACCATAAAAAATTCCCACCACTGTTTAACCCGAGGGTGAAGTGACGTGGCCTAGCGGTAGCACGTTCGGTCACTTGTTGCAGAAGTTCACGGTTCTAATCCAGCTGCCACCCTGATTAATACCGGAGGTGTATCGTCCGTATATGATACGCACCGTCTGCTTCACAGTGGACGTTCAAAGATCCTGTGACATCTTTAGAAAGTTTAAGCCATCATTGTGTGTCGGCGTTATGGGCCAAATGTGCCTGATTGGAAATATTGCCTGGAAATTGCTCAATTGGGTTTATCGCAAATATCCCCCCCCCCCCCTACTGGTAGACCACATCTCTTGGGCAATTGTCAGTGCCAGTTTCTGGATGCCTTCCTGCTTGTTCGGTTTCCTGCTGCCCTAATGAGCTGGAGGGACCCAAATGTCCCCTCTCGTTAGTGACCTTTGTGATGTTTTGAAGCGTTAAACCAATGGGCTAGACTGTGATACTGCTTACGATCCCAACATCTCGGCACATGGCACAACTTTAATACTGTGTGAAATGGGACAGTGGGTTGAGCTGCAACCAGGGAGGGGTTGGGGTCATGGGGTTTTAGATTCCACTGGAGCCACACAATTTGTCATCGTTGCTTTTCGTTGTACCTTGTAAACGAGATGTACAAATGAAAATAATTTCATCACTTCAAAGCCTGCTCGTATAACTCAGCATATGGATCAGTAGTTACGTAGAATGATTTAAAACACATTTTTACCCATCTGTCGTTCCAATGCTGGAGGAAGGCTGCGTTGGGGGGGGGGGTGGTGCGGGGAGTTGTTTAACCGTGGGGAGTGGTAGTACAATGGTTAGCGCGCTGCGCTACGAACCCAGCGGCCCGAGTTCGATTCCCTCTCAACGGCCAACACCAGTGACGAATATCTTAACTGGTCCTGGGCCTCCCCTCGATCAACTCAACCTCAAATGGTGGTGTGCGTGAATGTCGTCACGAGGGAGATGAAGGCGGCCAGGCATGGTTCAGGAAACCCACTGCCTCGCATGGCGAGCTGGCCTTCATCGGTGCTGCTCGCAAACAGCATTGTCCCCAACAGTCTGTTTAGGCTATATGGAGGATCTGTGTCTTTAATTTATTGACCATACATCATCATGCTGGTCAGTGCTAGTTGGTCATGTTGGGGGCACCCAGGACTGGTTCAGTTATATCACTCGCTAATAATGTTAGCAAGGGGCTGCTTTGTCCTGACTTGCTTTTCTACTTCTTCCATCTACATGACAAAGGCTCAGTCCCAGCAGCAGCAGCCGTACTAACCACCTCACAATAACTCCTCTCCCGCGGCCCATCCTGGCTCCTCCCCCCTCAACCAGTATATATAAGGTCGGGTCTCTTGGGACTTCTCTTTACTTGATACAGCAATCTTGCTGTGACGGTTCCACCTGAAGACGGAAGCTTGTGTTGCCTCCGAAACATCGTGATTTATTATTTTATTTCTATTATTTCTTCTATTTATTATTATTTATTTTTGTTATTAAATTTTTACCTACGTGACTTTACCAAAAAAACCTAAGAGAATGTTAGCGGTGGCCGAGAATCTAACACAGGTCACCGAGTTTATAGCCCAGTGCACGAAACACTGCACCACCGCTCCAACACTCCCACACCTCCACGTGTAATATGCGTGTGTGGAAATGTGGCGCTTATATTTTCGGTTGTAACCTTCCCTTTTCCATGCCAGTGGAAAAAACCTTCGGAGTGTAAAAAGCATTACTGTGGTCCGTACATGGCACGAGACGAAATGTGACAGCAAAAATCCACGTTGGTTGTTGCATGTTCAGCACATGTTAAGAAATTGGCATTTCCTGCGTAATGTATTGTCGGGTTGTACACATTGTTGTTAGACATGATGTCGGACATGATGCCAAAACAACACGCTTTTACAACCTGATAACACATCGGACAGCGATACAGCACAACCTCGAAAAGGTAGTACGCGGTAATGTTGGTATGCGTCGAGGATCGCAGTCCATAATGAGCCACGCTTGTCACCGTGCTACTGCTGAAGCTTCTTCCTGTGTTGTCTCCACCTGCAGGATGGACCACCCTGTGGTGCACGTGTCGTGGAATGACGCCAGCACCTTCTGCAAGTGGGCTGGCAGCCGCCTGCCAACTGAGGCCGAGTGGGAGTATGCGTGCAGGGGCGGCTTGGAGAACAGGTGAGGATGCAAATCGTCGTGAGATGCAAGACGAGTTAAGTGAATTGAATTGAATGGGGGAGTAATTGAGGCCTGGAGAAAGTGGTAAATTGTGAAATCTAATTGGCACAATACATCCCAACATCGTTGTCATAATATGTGTAATGCGGGCGTAAATGGGCGGGGCGGATATGACGATCCGAGAGGGAGGAGTCAGGGTGACGTGGGGGAGAAGTTATAGCGGGGAGACAGGAAGCTATCTGGGTCAGTCGGGGGAGTGAAGGGTGGTGAACACGTTGGGTGGTCGCCATGCCTCAGCCTGGTGGCTGAGGGGCTCATGACGGCGCCAGCCAGCGGGGTGGAAGAGAGAGTGGAGGATTGAGGTAGGAAGTGGCGAGATAGCCACAGAGGCCACGAAGGGCTGAGGTAGGAAGTGGCGAGATAGCCACAGAGGCCACGAAGGGCTGAGGTAGGAAATGGCGAGATAGCCACAGAGGCCACGAAGGGCTGAGGTAGGAAATGGCGAGATAGCCATAGAGGCCACGAAGGGCTGACATTGGGAGGTGGCGAGATCGCCACGCACGGAGGAACAGGGAGCAGAGATGGAGCTGCTGGGGGAGCAGCCAGAGGGCTGTACCAAGAGCCTGCAGCGGAGCTGCAGGAGCGTGGAAGGCTACGGGAGTGAAGGCAGATGTGGGGCTGCCAGGGAGAGAGTCTCAGGAGGAGTGCCGTGTGGGAAGGAGAACGCGAACCCCAAATAAAGGACACGGAGTCAGCAAGAAGTGTCTGAGTCCTTTTATTACATATGTACTATGGTCTGAGAATGTAGCAGGGATGACTCATCCATAGATATGTGCGTCGTCATGGAATAAATGTTATAAAAATCATAGCAGTACAAGAAATGTTCATGGAATTAAAATCCTTTAGGGAAAATCTTTTAGGGCTTATTTTTACGGGGGCTTATAAAGGCATTAAGCATGGCAATGGTATGCGGAAAGTGACAGCTGTTTTATTGCAATATTTGATGGTCTTGCAGTATTTATGAACTGCCGTTAACATAACCTGTTGCCATGAGACACCGGGGTTTTTTGTCATCCGAGGTAGAGATATGACGTGAAAGCGCTTGTGCCCTGGATGGTTGCATTATTATGCAGGAAACTGCTGCTGCCAAAGTGGACACAGAGAGATTCAAGGGAGTGTTTCTTTATTTGCCATGAAAAGCTACTTACTCTCTCTCTCTATTTCCCCATGGCTTATTCTTGCGCAGGCTGTTCCCCTGGGGGAACAAGATGACTCCGCGAGGGCAGCACTACATGAACGTGTGGCAGGGAGACTTCCCGACTCGCTGACACGGGGGAGGATGGGTACCCGGGCACGGCACCTGTGCGTGACCGCGCATATATATGCAGCACGCGTGTGCGCACACACATGCCCTCGCACACACATCCCCTCGCACGCACACACATGCCCACGCACGCACGCACATGCACCCACACACATGCCCTCGCACGCACACACACACGCACACACATGCCCTCGCACGCACACGCACACACATGCTCTCGCACGCACACACGCACGCACATGCACGCACACGCATGCCCTCGCACGCACACACATGCCCTCGCACGCACGCACGCACACGCATGCCCTCGCACACACACGTGCACGCAATTGCACAGTCGCTACGAACTCGTACATCAATATAAATACTTCCATACGTGCATCTACACGCACTGACCAGAATGGTGAATTGTGCTCAAGTAGCCCTCATGACCGAAAACAGTGTGAGGGAGTCCTTTATCCAGCAGTGGATTGACAAAGAGCTGCAAAATTAACTTTATACAGTATTATGCACTGTGTCGGGTATATTTGGTAGTGAAGACGAACACCATATGTGCCTGTTATTATAAAAAAAAAATTAATTACCTTTTTTTTATTGTAAATAATACATTGCTTTTCGAACGTTTTTCCGAAGTTTTAATTAAAGCCTATAACCTTAAAGGGATTGGCACCACTGTCTGTGAGAGTTCCTTTTTGAAATTTCTGCTTCATGACATGATGCCAACAGCACAATTGAAATGTAATAGGCAGACGAAAACAAAAATAAAACTCGTATACTTACAAAAAAACATGTATAAGCTTTTAAATCTTTTGCTACTGCAGTAACAGTTATTGATCAAACCGAAGACACATTCTGTATAACCGTCTTGTCTGTGTCGATTCCTTTGGCCGTCGCTTTGTGTCCGAAGGTGACGGCTTTTCCTCCAAATGCGTACGGCCTTCACAACATGGTCGGGAACGTGTGGGAGTGGACGTCGGACTGGTGGACGGTCCATCACACGGCCGAGGAGCAGAGCAACCCCGTATGCCTTGCCTGTCCAGTCGTCTCTTTCACTTAACGCATGTTAGGCACTCGCGGACAGAATAGGTTTTTGGGTTCGGCCACGTAATGACCTTGGCCAGATCCCTGGCGTAAGACCCTCCTCCACCCGACAGGCAACAGGCCGGGTTGTTCTTGACCTTACCGATGAGCTGAAATAATAATATTTGGTGTGTTAAATGTTATCCATGCAACAATTAACATTTGTTGGCCCATGTGAGGTGGTGGAGGGTCTTATGACAGAAATGTTACCAGATCTTTACAACGCCTATCCTAAAAATTAATTCCGATTCAATCTATTTCCTTTATTCCCAGTCTTTGTTGAAATAGGGTCAACCAGGCCCCACGACCCAAACTGCACATTGACCAAAGGGCTGTACATGTACCTATACCTGACTCGCCACTCTAAGAGTTTGTCAGGAAAGTATTTAAATCTGTCAGGCTGTTTGAAAACGGTTGACATTCAAATGAATATATGCATTTTTGTAGCCTCGTGAGATTCAAAAATCGAAAAATCGTATATATTACGCGAGAGCCACTTCACATGCAGTACCTGGCAAAGAGGCCTGGTACATAGGCACGCAGGGAGAGTCACTAAATATTTACAACTTAGTTGCAAACTGTTCTTAAATGTTGAGCGTTGGTTTAGGAACAGCACGTAATGCTCTACTCTGCAAGATATTTAGCATTCCCCGTACAACAGATGGCACACTCTGGAAATTTGCTGCAGAAATTGTGGTGTAGCAGCAGACAGAGGCGGCAGTAGCTATTGAGTGTGCAGGCAGTGCAACTGCACCGAGGCCCATGGGCCAGAGGGGGGGGGGGGGCCCAGGCACTGAGACTGTGTAGATTGGGTGGGGGGGGGGAGGTAATTGGACAAGGGGGGTTCCCATTTCATTTTTTCTCCCAGGGCCAAATGCCAACCCCGCTGCGCCTCTGGCAATAGGAATCAAACTATAGTCCAATATTATTCCTGCTAAGGGCATTATTGCCAGATAGATATTATTTCCAGGAAAGATCTGACTTCTTTATGCACCTTTTGCATTCCCCCCCCCCCCCACTTGAAATTATTGCCTTGGCCCAGTTTATTTAAATCATTGAGTTACAATGTCACACTCATCAATGTGGCTCATCATTATTTCATGTGCACATCGGACGGCTTTCAGGCGCTATTATCGCCATCCACCACACACGCATTAGGCTGATAAATGTAAATTGTATTGAAGGGTAAAAAAAAATGGCACAGTTGTACAATAAATTCGATTGAGGGTTTTTAAATAATTCAGCATTATGTTCATCTTGAAAACGACGGTTAATTGTATAATTATGTACGAGGAAAGCAATGGCTGTGTTTGCATTCCGTATATTTTACGTGACTTTTACATTTACGTATCGTATTTTGGTTTTATGCAGCCACATGTATGGCGGTCTCTTGTTGATAATCTAAATCGATCACATGACAAGTACTGCTTGCATTAATTCTTAGAATCTGCACTCAATTAAGTTTAGTTGCCAGCGCCTCAAGCAGCAAGTTTCTTTCTGCAAAGGCTGGAAAACCTAGAGATTCCTTCCAAGTGCACGTGGTTGTCTGGGAGGTCTCTCCCTCTCTTCTGCTGTTCCCATCATCTTTAATTAATTCCACTGGCCATTTGCACTGTCGACTCCCTGCCCGTTGTGTAAGTCCAGGCTCAAGACCCTTTTCTCGATTGCCGATGTCTCTCCATTTCTCTTGAATGTTTTTATATACGCCTCATTTATCCTCCTGTGGTGCACACGTGTCCACCGTTTTGTAGAACTTATTGGGATGCGGTTGCATTACGACGCTATGTGACTCCTAAACCAAAACATCTTTTGTTCCTGTGATTAATTTACAGTTTAACACGTAGGCTTTCGTGACCAGTATATATTAAAAAAAACCTGTATTAAAGAAAAAAAAAACTATTATGGATTCATTTGAAGCCACGAGTCACCTTCGAGGGCCTCTCATGTGTTTGTGTTATTTTTTTTAGACGGGGCCTCACACTGGCTCGGACAAAGTGAAGAAGGGCGGTTCTTACATGTGTCATAAGGTAACAATAGATCACACAACACTAGCATATTGCTGTACTTACATTGCTTATTATATTTTACAAAAACATGTGGCCTAGTGTGCCTTTTTTTTCCCAAAGCCAAAGATTCCATTATTGCTCGGATTTGCTTTCTCCGTTCATTTCTATTCCTCACCACTTCTCTCGTCACATCCATTGTCCTCGTGTTTCACTCCATGGCATTCTTCCACCTAACCCTCAGTCTCCCCCTGTTCCTGCTGCCCTGCATCTCCATAGCGATTCCAATCGATATCTTCTTTGTTTCTTCTCAACACATCTCCACCAAACCGTGCTAAGTCTTGCCTCCCTTACATTCTCAAAATTCATCGTAACCTCCGCTAAGGCTTCAACTTCTTTATTGTACCTAATTTCCCTGAGAGATATTACCAACATCCATCGTAGCATTCTCAGCTCTGTCCTCTCAGCCACTGTCTTCATTGCTTAGTGCGCACATCTCTGCACCATATAGCAGAACTGTCATATCATTGTTCTATATCAGCCGTGCAGGGTTACTGCTATCTTTCTAGCATGTGCAATTCCTGATACCTCTTTCCAATTCTCCCACGTATACCATTACGGTGAAGTATTTGCACCCAAAAGGTTGACATGCTCGCGTTGCATCGTGTGAGACCTTTCCCTTTTGATGTAATAGAAGAAGAGTAAGAAACTTTGAAATGTGGACTTTGGGAAGCCACTTTTTAGAATTTAACAACTTCTGAAGTACTCGTTAACTCATCAGCAGATACATAAAAAATACTATTATAACAATTGTAACTACCTAAAATAATGCGTGTTATTAATGTCTTGAAATAGTTTTAGTGCACTGCTTTGCTCCTAAGTTATTGAAATTTATTCGTGATCTGTGTGCATTTTATTTAAAAGTGCTGCTTTTTTGGGACAATGTCACCACATAAGCCAACCCTGCTAATTGGAGGCGCAGGGGACGCACAACGAACTAAACACAAAAAGCAGATCTACAGAAATTACTTTAAAATCTAGCTTTCTTTAGATCTGCCTTTTGTGTTTATTTTGTTTTGCTTCCCCCGCACCTCCGACTAGCAGGATTGGTTTAATAGTGCATGGCTCGAGTGGCTGTCTAATGTCGGAAGAGCGTTCCAGATGGCAGCAGAAGCGCGGCTGAAAGCGGGCGATGCAGTGACCGTCTTTGATGGCTAGACAAAAGCCACCGAGCGCCATGAGTAAATGGGTCGTGTCGTGCAGCCACTACAGTTGCCGTAGATGGCTGGTGATAGCTGTGGATGACTCATCTCTGCTGCATTCTCGAAACAAATCGCCATAATAAGCATAACCCGTAAAAACAAAGTTTTTCACTATAAATCCTTTATATGCGTGGCGGCTAGAGTCCTCTCGTCCTCTGGCTTGAGATGGCTGCCACCTATGGGTCAGATGATTGCATTGCACCATTAAGCAATTGGTAATTAAATATAATATTTTTGTCCTAAAAAGTGTAAAATTTTGGGAAAACTTTTTCACGAACTTTAATTGTCACACACAACGAGTCTGTGTGGAAAATGTCAGCTCGATTGGATCACGGGAAGTGGGTTAAAAAACGACTGAAAGATTTGCACGGTCCTAAGCAAGCAAGCGAACTTAATATAAAGGATTTTAAAATGTGTCCGACCTCGTGAGATCTGGGAGCTGTGCAGGTTGAACCTTAATTAGTCTTTGTGTAATGACGACTTGACACACTTATCTTGAGATGGCACTTTATTGAAGACACGTTCACTTGACACAGGCGGAGACTGCAACAGCCCCGAGTCTCCAGCGCATCTCGCTGACTCTGGACGATCGCTCCACCAGCAGACTCTACCGTCCTCTTCCGTCACCTGACCACGCTCCCTTCTCAATCATTCCCGTAGCCACCAGTTCCTTCGTACTCACAACTGATACCCCTGCTGTCATTACCTCCCGTGACCACTAGTGCATTCCCACTGCAAGCTGGCTCCCCTGTCATTACCTCCCGTGGCCACTAGTCCACTCACACCGCATGTAGACTCTACTGTCATTACACTTGGATGGGTGACCACCAGGGGCAGAAGACGTGGGGCTGCAAGGTGGCCAGGAGGTGGCAGTGCTGAGTGTCGGCTTTCGTACACGTGTGTTTTCCCCGGCTGCTTCAGTTTCCCTTCCACATGTAAAACATTCGTGAAATTGGACAATCAGGGAGGGACTCCCTATAAAAATCAGGAACCTTTGTTCTAAGTCTTGAGACTCGAAGAGGCTTTACTGGTTTAATTATTAACATTAGATTGGTAATTAAGTATAATTGGTGTTTGCAACTTTCTTATCGTACAATGCTCTCATGAAGGCGCTATGTTTCTCAGACGGATATATTCTGCCAGTAGGGGGCGATATTGCTATGTGGTTTTACCCCATTAAGAAATTTGCGTGTAATTTTCAAATGTGGTCCGTGAAGCCGGTGTACACGGCGTGTTCTTCAACATTAACTGAGAAGCACATGGTTTGTATTTTTTGGTTAATGCTGCGGGTGTAGTAACCTTGCTGCCAGACTCGGGCCACGAACCTTTGCAACGAGCGACATACCTGTTCTGCACCTGAGGACAGCTGCTTGCGTTGTGACCGAAACGTCGTGAGAATTATTTTATTATGTTTTATTTTATTATTTCCATTCTACGTGACTTTACCGAAAGAACCAAGAAGACAAACACGCTGCCGCTCGGCGGTATTACTCTGACCGTCGCCCCGCGTGTCTCCATGTGCCCCCCACCCTATCTGCAGTCGTACTGCCACAGGTACCGCTGTGCGGCGCGAAGTCAGAACACACCCGACAGTTCCGCCTCGAACCTCGGCTTCAGGTGCGCTGCCGATGACCCGGAGTCAAACCCCAAGTCGCCTGAACCTTCGGAAGAACTCTAGCCTGTTTCGGAAACCAGGAAATGCATACTAAAATGTGTGTGGTATTTGTAAATCTGTACTTTACTTGGGATATGAATCCCAAGAGAGACGGTGAACGGTGTGATTCTAGCTCAGTGTTAACAATTGTTTGTTGTGAAATAGGCAAACATCATAGCTGGAACAACTGCGTATATATTTACAGCACTCAGTCTTTTTATATGAATGAACATTCACAGGTCTTGTGAAATTCGTTTTGTTTTAATGGCAAATGTACCTAAGGGAAGACTTAACATGATTTATTTATATAAAACCTTGCAAATTATCGTACGTCCCGAGGAATAGTCTAATCGATTTAAATATTTTAATCTGCGCTTTTTTGTAAAAAAATGGTCCAGTTGATTTGATCTAAAAAAGGGATACTATTTAGTAAGGATGTCACCATGCATCAATTCATTAAAAATTATTTATTATGCTCACATTAATTGCATTGAATGACGTGTATAAGAATATTTTGATACTTTATACTTTTTATTAGATTCACGTGACCCCCTGCTGTCACTAGAGGCAGCTGCATTCACCTCAATACAAACAAAGTAAAATGTATTCATGACCGTTCGCAAAACATTCTTTTTTTGTAAACTGTGATGTGGGGGGTGGGGGGCTGTTTGGGGGATTGTGGGGGGCAGAATCATTACAGGCCCAATGAGCAGAACAAGTTTGGTCTATTACAGTTGAGATCAACTTGAGCTATTCAAGATTAAAAAAAAATTTTTACTAAAATGTTGCGATGTGTAACGTTTTTTTTATTATATTAAAACAGAAAGATGACCTTTCATTGTGTCATTATTGATATAACAAAATGCGTGTGTGTTTAGGGGTCTTTCACTTTGATTGCCCGCCATTAATGTGCACTTTACTTTCCAGGGTAATCAAGATCAGTAATTGAGGGAATTCAAACTGAGATTGTTTTAATGCCTGCTTAAAGTGAGCTGACCAAACAAATTATGATTATGTCAATAAACCTTCCAGTCTAATTTTGGGCTTGCATGTTATCCACGTGGTATGCCTTTTTGTGGTCCAGACTTTCCGCTTGCAGTATAATCAGTTTGTATCTGAATCGTATGTCCGCACCCCTGTAAAATCTTGTTACCACGAACTCGCATGGCAATTTGTTAAACGCTATAAATTACGTTTCAGCGAATCAAATTTTAAAATTAGACATGTCCTCTACATGTCTTTTTTCCATTATCTAATTGTTGCGGAACTGGCAGGAATGCTGTAACTTTGTGCTCGGGGACATGTTAATGTGACAATGTCACCCTCTTACTGTCCAACCTAACCAGACTCAATATACAAAGGTCGATTTTCTTAATTTAAATCAAACGGAGGGGTCGAAAGAATGGAAATTGAACCGTCACGTTAGGCTGCCCTATGACCTCTGTATCTTTAAGCCAATTTCTGGTTTTCCTACCGTGGTGCTTTGTCGAAGTGCCAAGTGGCACAGTCGGCACAGCTGGAAGCACAGTTGGTGTATCTGCCAGTCATCTCACTCAACCCATGGTGCCTGGGTCTGTCCCGTGACCTTCCCGTCAGCGGGAAAGTCACGGGACAGAGTGGTGAATAGCGGGTATTGGTATCCTTAAGGTGGTGTTAATCATAATTATGTATATGCGGTATGCAGTAGTTCTGATAGCCATATATATAATTGTGCTATACCATACAACTGCGTAGGTTTTTCACGGTTTTGCTGTACAGCTCTGACGTATTTTTGGGTTGCACCGTGTAGAGTGAAACGTCGGACATGCTGAACAACACGTGGTGCAACCTAACAACACGTGGTGCAACCTAAAAACAAGTCGGAGAGCTTATAGTTCAGCGGTCGGGAACCTATGGCTCGTGAGCCATATATGGCTCTTCCAGTGACGGCATATGGCTCCCAGACAATTTTGAGTTGAAAAAAATAAAAATTAAAAAACAGTTTGGAACTGATTTTAAAATACTTGTGATATTGTTTAATAATACTGTGTCATTTTAAAGTAAACAGAAATTAGTTTTGAAGATAAATTTCACGGGTCACGCCTGCACGAAGCTCAACCTCACCACGTATGAACCAGACTACAAGGCCATCAGCAAAACCATGCAGCACCAGAAGTCGCATTAAAATTAAGACATTTTTAATTTATTATACGTTAAAAATACTATATGGCTCTCAATGAAATATATTTAGAAATATTTGGCTTTTATGGTTTTCCCAGTCAAAAAGGTTACCGACCCCTGGCTTATACCATGGTGGTGGCGGTGAAACAACAAGAAGCACTCTTCCCGTTCAAACCTAAACTTCTCAGCAGTCGCAGAACGTTTCTGTGCTTGGAGTGATAAGACAACCAAATATTTCATATCGGCTTCCGTTTGGGCTGTTGGAAAATTACATTTTTAGTGTTTAGTGAAGATGAATCATGGGGCGTGTGAAATTCATGGCGGAGGAGAGCATACTTATAATTCTCAGTATGTCCTCGATTAAACGAAGCTGTCCCTTGTATTTCCCAAACGTTTTGCTTGAGCTAACCTGAAAATGAATTTGAATGGAGCAGTGATTTGGCTGCGTCTTAAAAAGTGTGCATCAGTTTGTGGCCCACAAGATGCACGTTTATTTGTTGCTGTGCCATTGTTTATGGGCGGTGAATGTAATGGGCAAATGCAAGGTGGGAAATTAGAAATAATCCATCTGTAATGCGGGCGTAAACGGCCCTCCGGAGGTGACGTCAGGAGGGGAGGAGTTAGGTCACGTGGGGGGGTGAGGGGTTAGGCTATAGAAGGAGGGGAACCGGAAGAGGACGGAGAGTGACGGGGAACCAGGAACAGAGAGAGGCCACGAAGGGCGAAGCGGAGGGTGGCGAGATCGCCACGAACACGGGGGGAGCGAGGATCGGCACCGTTGGCCAGCGGTGACCGACCCGAAGCAGCGAGGAGGCTGCAGTCAGCAGCGGGGCTGCATACAGAGTCAGCAGCGGGTCTGCATACGGTAGCAGCCAGAGGGTCTGCACATAGGGGTAGCAGCGGGAGTCTGCATAGAGGTAGCAGCGAGTCTGCAGGGAGGAGGTTACAGTAGATGAAGCGGAGAGTCAGAGGGAAGAAGGAGCTATAATAGCAGTGAATAGCCGGGAGCTACAAATACAGAGTTATAACAGAGTGCCGTGTGGGTGAGGACGAGAACCCAATAAAAGACACGAAGACAGAAGAAAGTGTCCGAGTCCTTTTATTACACATCCACAACCTTTGTGCTCCTCCTTTTTATTGCACTCTCATCACAAGACCAGCTTTGTGAGGTACACAAATACCAGCTTTGTGAGGTACACAAAGCTGGTCTTGTGGTGAGACTGGAATAAAAAGCCCTCGCATGAACAGGTAGCATGCAGGTCTAGTTATACACACGTGGTGAGGTTTTAAATAAACAATTTACTGTATGTAACAACATAAGAATACATCGTGTTTTTCTGCTCACTTGGGCGTCGAGTGGCATTCATCTCCAGTTGAGAACCTCGAGGAAGTGGTGGAAATTCCACATCCCCACGGGTTGACTTACCCAGAAAGTGCCACTCATTCTTCTCCGATACGAAGGACTCCACTGGTCTGCGAAAAATACGAATAGATTCTTCGTCTCGTGAAATGATGCCGATTGCACAATTTGGAAGGGGTCGTTGGGTGGGGAAATGTTTGCAAGGATTAAGTGAATATGCGGTGGTAATCCATTTTATAGACCCTGGAGCGATGAAGGGACCGAGTCAACCTCCGACTGGGATTTGAACTCCTGGTACTTCTGGTTGCGAGCCAACTCTTACCGCTGCGCTACCCTGCCGCTTTCGGCGAATGGAAAAAAAAAACACTAAAACGTTTTCTGCACAACGCATTGATGCTTCCAAAGCAGCAACGTCAGGACACGTTGGGGGGGGGGCAGTGTAGTGTGGCAGCTGTGAACCGCGTTGGGACTCCACACTTGAATGCTCGAGACATTATTTAAAGCGTCGAACTTTTAACATCGGCTGGGAAATAGTTGCACGACTGTGATGTCCATTGCGGCCGATGATTATGTGCCTGCATACCAAAGAGGGTTTTAAAAATGATGGATGAATGAAAATGTAAATCCATGGGTTGTGCGTTTTACGCTTATTACTTTCGGAGGGGCGGGGGTGAAAGATAGATGTAACTGTAATTTTGATTTTACACACGTGGATTTTGCATAATAAAGCATTTTGTATTAATCTTGCCTCCGTATGCGTGGGTATAATTAAAAATAACAGCGATGGGTGGGTTGTGCATTATCCCGCATGATTATGAACAGTGACTTGTGGGTGGGGTGGGGGCTGTCGGCTTTCTACGTCATTCTCCACACCAACGATTTGCTCTTCGGTTTTATTTTTTAAAAGGTTGCGGAGGAGGAGAGAGGGTGGGGGTTACAGACGGCAAACGATAGCTCCTCAGCACAGTGCGTGGGTTTATTTCTGTGTGCAGAGCAGAATCAAATTATTGCTGTTATCGAAATCAATGTTCCTATTTTTTGTTTTCATAAAACGAAGCATTTTTGTAAATTATTTTGTCACTTGATTGTATCGGGTTAGAATTAAATCCCCATCGTGATTGATGTTGCGGTTTGTGATGGTTTGATTTTTGATTCGCTCACGGGTTTAACGTGCCTAGTCCTCCCGCGTTTCCTTGAATCTGCGACAAAATTTGCATTCTTTTGACAAAAAAATATACGGAGTGGTAAAATCAGCTCGTTGTGCGGGTTTTCGGTGGGCTGTTGCATCACGGTGGATTGATCATGGATGATGATCGGTGGTGGCTACAGTTAAAACAGTTTTTTTTGTCAATATCAAAGAAACCATCTTACAAATCGATGTTTCACTTTTGTAAATCCATGCGCGTGTGTTTGCCTATGTTTAAGTGACATCTATAGGTCAGCTTTCATTTGATTTCGTTATTTATAGAAATCGAGTCTATGAAGTCCCATGGCTAGTAATATATTTTTTGTGTGTGTTTTAAAGGTCTCTGTGTATCGGAATATTGGTAGCATTTATTCCGAAAACCCATTCTGGTTTTCCTGATCACATCTGGTGTATATTCACTGTCTCCAGATATTTAGTGCTATTTTTCCAGATGTTGATTACAGCCAAGTAGTTTTTTTTATGTAAATGTAATTATCTTTATTGTTTTGGGATTATAGCTTCACAGCAACAAGGAGGAAATCCCCTCATAGGATATACCATTTTCATTCATAATACGTCGTCATTATAGCACGCATTTTTTCCAATTAACATATGATCTCTAAGCACAGATTGAATATCGATCAAACCCAGAAATGTCAATGAAATTAAATATGCAACCATTTATCTTCATTCTGCACAAACATTCAATCATTTCATTTGCCGCTTTATAATTATTTCAACATTCGCTTTTATCTCCGTTTAAAAAAAACCCGACCGTGGCCTAGTTACGCTGTGTAACAAATTTGTATGTGTCCCTGGGTAGTAAGTGTTATTTCTTAATTGCTTATGCCTCAAAAGTACCGAAAATGGCTATGATTCTCCACAAACTTTGCTCTTGTGACCAGGACACAAAAGCACAGTTAATAATCCACTCCATTAATA